GCACGCAGCCGCAGCAGCGCGGCGCGCACTGCGAGAACAGCATCGCGGGCAGAGGGGAGAGCGACGGCGAGAGAAGGTTTATGGGCTACAGGTTCTGCAGCCCGACAGATGGAAGGTGAATATGCAGTGCCTCAGATGGCTCCGAAGGATGACGGCGACTCGACCCACTTAGGCGATCATGAAGGCCGTCCCACGACGAAAATGTGATGTAACTTTAAGAGTAGCGCGGTCGGCTATTCAAATTTGCGATCACTTGTCGATAAGACGGATCGACGGTCGGACTGAGCGCGGTCCGTTTCCGATCCGGTTCACTCCAATCACTCAGAACTCACTGATCTCTGCAGTACGACCGCCGCGATCTGCCAGCTCCGCACCGCACGAATCCCGCTCGACCGCCGCTGACTGACAGTTGAAGGGGGCCGCGCCGGCGCTGGCGACCGAGGACTGGAGCTCGCGTACGTCCGATCTCCTGCTCCACGGAGCCGCGCACGGTCCTCTCCCATCGACAGCCGACGGCCAACTACCCGTCCATGGCGGCCGGGCGCCGCACGGGGCGGCCGCGCCGACACCGCGCCGCTGCGGCGGGGAGGAGCCAGGACAGGGGGGGGGGGGCGCCGAAACACAGACAGCCCAAACACCCCGCAGACAGCTCAGACAGCACAGTCACACCACAATCTCACATGGATCCTCCCCAGTGACGCCGCGGATACAGCCGGCACCGTTCCAATGCAGACCAGTGACAGCCGCAGCACGCTGCGCCATCGGGACAGTCAGGTCAGACGGGCTCACACCCGCGGCTCCGTCCTGTTCGGGGCGACTCGGACGGTACGTCGGGGCCGTCTAAAGGCTCACCACACGGTGACGCAGGCCGGTCGGCGATGACTGATGACGGACAGACGGTGTGTTTGTAGCGGCCGGCAGTGACGCTGCCGTGGTGACGGCGCCGCCGGACCGGACCGGGCCGTGTGAAGTCCGCCGGCGCCGCGCAGTGTGCAAGTAGCCGCACAGTTCCGAGAAATCGGCCCCGCCGAGGGAGCCGATCTGTCGAATTTCGCGAGGGCAAAGGGATTATGGAGATAGGTAGCAGCTTGAAGCTTGCATGTATGTAATGCCGATAAATCACACCGATTGAGAAGCCTTTGCGCCGTCCCATCTCAGGCAGTATGCTTCTCTTTACGGCACGGTAAGCTGATAAATTCGCGACAAATTTACTGAGCGTCAGACTGCAGAGCTGTGATCTCCAGTCTAGTTGCTCATCCCAAGCCAAACAAAATACAGACTTACAAAGCATATCAGAGGATTAACGTTGCATGACACCGCAGTTTGTAAACTCCAGTGTAAAAATGAGGCTCGTCTTTACTGAACACTCACTTTGGACCACTTTGTAACTTCTATGCCACCTGTGCTCGCGGTTTCGCAATTCCAACCAATTATAAGGGCACTCCTACGAATGCCAAACTTCCAGTTCTTTTCTGTCAGCACATGTCAAGAGCATAATGGAAAATCTCGGCTTAAACTACGCCAAGTCTCGCCACAAAGTCGCCGCATGCTAATCGGCTCGACTCGGCAAGCTAATTACGCCGCGAGAGCCGGCCGGGGAGCCGACGGGATACCTCCAAATTCGGCTCATCTCGGCAGAGGCGCTGAGTGAGTGACCGGATACGGGATGGAGGTCCCGCGGGGAGTCCAGGCGCGTGTTCCGCAACCGGAAAATGAGGGATGATTTTCTGAGATCACCGATATTATTCGGCATCACGTTCGGTATCGCAAAAATGGAAAATTCTCGCCGATAATTTTCCCTTGCTGGAGAGGATCCTCAGAGCAGGGTCGAGGCCGAGGGCATATTATTCCTTTGTCGTCAGCTGATAGCCAGCGACACCGATATGCCGATCGTCCATTTTGGGAATAAATATATAACGAATAATTCTCCTGAAAACTGGACATGCCGAACGTATCATCACGCAAATAATTTTCCGACAGAGAATATCCGAGGGCCAACATTTTGCGGATGCCGAACACACGCTAGGTGTGTACGGACGGCTGACAGAAACCACCGTCCGTTACCCGACCTGTCGGCGCTCCATCTGCCGTCCCCGGTCGTATATCGTCCACCCAGCAGCGGCGTGGCGGTCCGCTCCGACCCGACACGGACATGACCCACCGTCCTCCGCCGGGGCTAGCGACCTTCCCGCCCCGTGTGCGAAGTTGCCAGATGCGTAGGGCGACTCAACGGTTCTCTGGCAACACCCCGTCGAGGGCAGTGTGTTTTGGGGCTGCAGGCAGCCTGCTTGAGTTGGCCACAAATCAAACCGGCGCCGCGTTCGACGGGGTTATTTTCGTTCTGCATTGCGGCTGTTTTGTGTGATGGCGCTGAGATGTGGCGGTGGCGCCTGAGCTTCGTTCGGCAGTTGTCAGCGCTACTGGTAAACATTGCTAGCGCGTGTTTTTGCTTGGCGTGGAACACTTTGAAGCGAACTTAGTGAAAAACATGGTTCGGGGTATACTTTAATTGTTCCGTCATAGGCTGTATTACAACTTAAAAAGGAAAAATTATGCAGTGTCAGAGGTGCATAAGCGCAGGGGCAAAGAAACCGTCTAAATTTCACGGTAAAACAAAAGACTTAGTCAGCACTAAACGCAAACATGTGTTCACTGACATTGGAAATCATATAGGTAAAACGCGACAAGTCACTGTGATTGAAACACATATCACGTAATCCGGATAACATCCCGCTTTATTAGCTCGAGATTGCAACAAGCAGCAGCTTTCAACTGTTCTTCGATGTTTTTTTCAAGATGATGCGTTCCTATGTGCCCCCTTATCTGTCTGATTTTTAACAAAGTGATCAGCTCAGACGAGTTCTACAAAATGTTTCTTGGAAGGACCACGGTCAGCTGTGAGCTGATCCTCCCACCAATCAAAACGGATTACAGCGCCGCGCCGGCCACTGTTGGGATGATGACGCTTTATAGGGGATTAGCTCGGAGCAGTTATGAAACATGCGACACTAATGGCGTTTCAAAAACAATCTCACCACTTATCTCCTCTCGGCCGTCAGCAGTGTATCAGATAACAATAATGACACAGGTGGCGCTATGGGCCGTCGCAGATATCTGCAGCGAATTCGCCGAAACGGTGACCGTCCATTCATGAGGCGTTATTCGGCATGGAGCGACAAATACGCTGTATTGAGCCGACAGGGGGCATTTCTACATCTCCGGCGGCTGGCATCAATGGCAGATGTGCTTACAACATGGCAGCGACAGGAAATACCTGGCGCCACTCGATGGGTACCTACACGTTCGTTTTGGGAAATCATCCACGGACGGCTGACCTTGTGAAGACGGTAAAAACGGGCGACCGTCTAGCCGACTGTCTGGAAAAATAGACTTTTGTGAGAGATAAATGTCATGGAAGAGAAAGATAAAGGGTAGTGAAATGGGTGATAGGAAGGGCAATATGCATGTCTAAGTGCAGGTCACCCGATATTCCTACTCCTGTTCACCGCTGTATGTGCATGTGAACTCTGAGGCTAGCGGTCACACAACCAATTGATGGACAGAAACCGGTTTTGATGTCACTTGGTTGATAAATGACATTCTACCATTAACGTGATATTTCAAGTATGCTTCACGCTACTGAATTAAATGCTGAAGGGTCCATTGGAATATTGCCGACCGTTTTAACAGATGAGCTCTTTGATTCTTCCACCAGTCCATTCTTTCGATTTCTTCATAGGTCAACATCTAAGCTGGTTATGTCACCTGCTGATCTGCGATGCGGTTTCGTGATGCCCCTCAGCCGGATGCCGTTTCGATAAGACAGGAGGCACCGTCTCTCCCCTATACAGCCCGCCTCCCGCGCCGTCCGTCTCCATTGTCCGTGTACCCTCCCCCTATACAGCCCGCCTCCCGCGCCGTCAGTCTCCAGTGTCCGTGTACCCTCCCCCTATACAGCCCGCCTCCTGTGCCGTCAGTCTCCGATCCGTGTTCTCTCACAGACAGCCCGCCTACTACGCCGCTCGTCCCCAGTGTTCGTGTCAAACGTCCCGTCACTACGGTCACGACGAGCAGCAGTCAGCACCCGGCAGTCCTCAACCGACACAGAGATTCAGCCAAGATGGGCAACCCGCACTGTAAATACTCGACAAACTGCATAACATTGGGAGAGGCTGTGAGCTTATACACTTCCGTGGGGCTCTATGTGCTGCGTGTTTAGGGTCAGATGTGTAAGCTGATGCGATGCTGTGTTGAGACATGCTGTCCGCATATAAGGTATGCACGGTGCATGGCAGAACGGAAGAGACAAACAGACCCACCCATCTATTCGGAATGGTGTATGCAATAGCAGCTTATTTTGACTGCAGTAATGCAGTAATAAGCATTCATGACACTGGATTTCCCGGCGGATTTCACTCAGAAAAAGTAATAGAGACATCCCTCTGCGGCTTACCAAGTTACCACTACCAGCTAGAGGGTTCACTCTACACAGATCCTGCTATGAAGTGCGCGGCACGCTGGCTTAGCCGGCATTTTTCATGGGCGCTATACTCGTTTCAATGAGCGGATCATCCGAGCATCCTGGTAGCAGAGGCTTAGGCTCAGACAAGTAGGGGATTCAAATATCGGCGCCGTGTTTTTGGTTGACAAATGTGACAGTCAACACGGCGCGGTCACCAAGCCGCTGCCGTTTTGGTGCTGCAGCGGCGACGAGGGAACACGTTACGCTGTCTGTTGACGCCCCCAAGGTTATTGACTCTCTCTGGTTCGGACCGCTCAAAGCGAGCTGCAAGCGAAACAAACAGCTCAGACGCCTAAGGCTTAACATTCAAAGGTATTATTTGTATTTCCGGTACTGACAAACTTGCAACAATGTTGCTCATCTAGCGTGTTCATTGGTGTGTAAAATTCATTGGTGCGTCGCCGCCTCATTTTTTAATTCGCTTGTTTCCAATAGCGAAGTAACAGCTCAAATGGGTAAATTATGAAAAAAAACATGATATGGTAACAAGATGCACTTTATTAATTGAATGATTTTGTTGAAGAATCAAATCACGAATAGGAAGTCGATCTGCAGAACACTAACTACAAACAATTAATTTGAATCAACCAGCTGAAGTTAATAGTGGAAAAGAACAAGTAAACACACGCTGACAATATTTAAGTGATGCAGCTAAGGCATCCCTCCGTAAAAGCGTAAACTGCTCCGATGAAAATTGACAACATAAGCCGAATGCAGGAGAAAATCAAATTAGTTTCGCCGTTTACGGAGTGTAAAGATCTTACTTGACATCATGATTGTCGCACGCCCTCTAAAACATCCGAATAAGGTTACAGCGATTCCAGTCATAGCAGCGAGACACCACGGTCCTCCCTCGATCATCGGGAGGCTGGCTGGGCGCCGTCGGCCGCGTGACCCGCCGGCGGAGTCGCCTCAGCCAGCCCCCACCGCCGCGCCGCCGCGGCAGCCGGTGCGTTTTCCGGCCGGATATTCACAGCAGCAGCACAGGCGGCGTCCATTGGCCTCCCTCTGGGGCCGCCCCCGGTTCGCGGTACTCACCGGGCACCTTCCTGATCCGGCCCGCCCGGCTATCCTCCGTCTAGACGGGCTCCGCCGGCCGTACATCTAGTACACCTTGAGGCGGCCGCGGTCGTCAAAGCCGGCCGAGTGGCCCGCGTTACGGACCACAAAGTTGGTGGCGTCGTAATGGAGCCGCCGCTCGCCGCGCCTCACGAAGATGTGCGGGTTCTGGCCCATCGAGGCTGTGGTGTGGATGAACGGCGTGGTGATGTTGGCCGTGCCCAGAGTGGACGAGGTGCGCAGCAGACGCTTACCGTTGTCCCGCTGAACGCTGAAATAGACGGAAAAATTGACGGTGAGGACGAGAACAATAGGATAGGTCAGTGAAAAGGCAATTGGAGCCGGCTGAAAGACTATAAAATAGCGGGATTATAGAGACGTCCTATTTATCATCGGCTGACTTTAGCCAATAGAGATATATTAAACTACAAAGGGACGCCTAAACATACCAATAAATATCTCGGAATTCGAAGGGGCCAATCGTATAACTTCAGTTTAAACAAGCGCACCGAATGCCGCTATTTATAGAATGCACGTTTCAAGCAGCTTATATGGAGCAAATCAATCAAATTTCACAGGTCATTACCGAGCCGTCAGGCACAGACCGGTGCCGGTGACACCGGCCGAGCAGCAGGAAAAGCTGCGGCCGTATCAAGTCATCGACCCAAACAGGGCGACATTACGGACAACGAGCGACACCATTGCCTGGGGCAGGCCGACACGGCCGCCAATACACCGCTAGTACGTACACGAGCTTGACTTGTCCGTTGAGCTGCTGGGTGATGCGGACGCCGGCCACGTCCCAGACCTCGCTGCCGTCCTCGGCCACCCAGTACCTGCGGGGACGCGGCAGCGCCGGCTCAGCACGCGGCGACCTCAGCAGCCGCACGGAGCTGCTCTCACTACATACCGCGGTACCCACCCAGTACTGCGTGCCTGTAATCCGGGCTCTGATCCAGTGGCAGTGCTGTTCAGCCCCACCCGTTGTTTGTACTGATCGCGTCGTTACACATTCCCGCGGTCGGCCGGACAGAGATCAGCCGTGCCTGATGACCCGGCTCCTGTCGGTCCCACGGGCCACCGGTTATCGATTTGAAATGGCCGCAGCATGACTTAATCGGACAGTCAGCTCAGCTTTACCGAAGCACGGATACTATACTTCCACCAATTGAACGCGAAATTCTGACTACGCTTTGATGGTAGATAGTGGTGTATGAATTGTACGGACGGGAAAAGATAATTCAGAGACAGCATCAGCCAAGCGAAGAAGACGTTCAATTAATCTAGCTTTATGCTGGGTGATAATTATCATCGCCAAAAAATGACCATAGCTCGGTCCTTTCACATCTCAATCTAGACTAACTATAGAAGGGATAGGTATTATCAGGAACGGTATCACCCTTGGATTTCATACACCGCAAACGATTTCTTTACATTCGAAACGGTCATCCCAAATCATACCATAAATCAATCGCTAACAAGATATTCCGTCAGCCTGTGTCATCCACAGCTGAGAGTCCCCGACCATCCATCGTCCAAAGGAGCCACCTACCGCACGAAGGCATCATTAAACTTCGGTGCATGAAAGTGTAACTCCGTCTAGAACAGATAACCCGGAAGATGACACCGAAATGCAATCATAAACGGGAGTAGGTACTATTAGACGACACCACTGACAGGTAAATTCTCTCGCTCGTTGGAAGTGAAGTGCTTTAAAGTCGTATACCTCTAAAATTGCAACATCCAGCTTTTACGAGAGCATTTCGTTATCGATGATGCATTAACTTTATCCCAGGGAGTTCTCCTCGATCTGATACATTTTCCATAAGGCAGAATGACGCCCAGATGAGACCCCGTCCATGTGCAGTGAGCAGCCGTCTCACCTGGCCTCGTCGATGGCGGCCAGACACTCGTGCACACAGTCGGGCCCGTAGCGCGACTCCGAGTAGAACACGTCCAGTGAAAAGTCCCGGTTCAGGTCGGAGAACGTGTCCGTGGTGGAGCGCGTGCCGGCAGCATCCACCAGGTACACCAGCGCGCAGCTGTCCGACGTGAAGCTGACGCCCTTGTACCACATCTTGGCATACCTGCGCCAGGAGGTGAAGGACAAGGACTTGAGGAATGGACGGATAAAGGCTATAGGCATTGGAGTCTATCTTTTGCGTCAAGGCTATCATATTGTGAGCCTGACGATCTGTGTGATCTTTATATCAACCCCGTTCGCGTATTCGATGAGTACGACTTACTTGCAGTTGCCTTCCGTGTCGTTGGTGCGAATCTCCACACGACTTCCATACTGATACACGCGACCGTTAGGGTGCATCAGCGCCACAGAGGTGCCCGTGGCGCTGATAGCCAGAACAATGTTACTCTGCGACAGAAAAGGCGTCTGTCAGCCCAGTCTCAGCATATTAGCATTTAAATTCAAGCCGGCCTACAGAAACAATTCTAGAGGCTCAGAAATGTGTCGCTACGGTGGCAAGAATAAATTGTAAAACATTGGCCTCCAGCAGCTGTGCTGATACCTATCAGTAGCACAAAACATCCATTAGGAGGCCACCTGACGAGAAATGACGGAACCTAAGTGGATTACCCTCCGGGCCGTTACCACATGAATCAATCTGCCGGCCAGTCATAGTCATCAATCAGATGAAAACACGGCTGAAGACGCCAAAACCGCCCAGTCTCCAATTACTACACATGGGCCAGGCGGCCACCCGCGGCGCTTCGACAGGGGCGCCACTCGGCGCGACATCACCTTGAAGTTGATGACGCGCACGGATCCGTTGAGCGATATGTCGACGCGGACGCGGTCGTAGAGGCGCAGCGTGATGGTGCCCATCGAGGTGGCCATCGGTCCGGCCTCCTCGGCCTCCTCTCCGGCCGGCTCGTACTCGAGCTCGGGCCGCAGCTCCCGGTCCAGGTGGGCGGCGGCCGCCATCCGTCCGGCGGCGGCCGCCATGGCCACCTTGGGCGGCAGCGGCCAGAAGCGGCCGGCGCGGCGCAGCGGCGGCCGCAGCAGCCGGCCGGCGCCGCGCGCCTGCCACGGCTCGGCCGCCGACTCGTACTGGCCGTAGTCATTGGGCACCTACGGACACGGCCCGACCCGCGGTCAGCCGGGGCGGTATACGACACAACAACAGCAGAACGGCTCGGTGGAAGGGCTCAAAACGCGCAGCATTATCTGAGTTAAGCATTTTTTCCTTTTTTTAAGACCATGCAACAAGTAGAACGAGACCAAATTATTATATCCTAAGTTAACGTTTAACCACGCAACTCGCAAGAGCCCCTAATGTTACTAATTTGAAGCAGAGTAGGTATTACCCGATCATAAATATCCCTTGGATAATCTCACACCAGACGCTACATTTTAGACCAAATACGTCTTGCGCAGAAAACAATAGTGTGTGTCATGAACAATGTTTTATAGACGCAAGACACCAATTTCCCTATGAATATAAAGATGCATCGTGTGGTGCGGCTTACAGCGCTTCCGCAGCCCTGGCACCGTTTGTCTGTAAAAATAATCACCTATCCAATAATGGAGGCTTCTGCAATGAATGAGTAACCCATAGGAAAACGGGATATTGCATGATTGAACATATACATATCAAACTTTCCTTCATTTATCAATGCTCTATGCACCATTATTCATCAGACATTATGTAAGGACTTTGCTTATTATAGTTAGTTGTATTGCTCAGGCAAAAATTATTATTACCTTCTATGAAAGACAAAGGGCTACTTCCAAGGCGTGCACAAGCCATGACTGCTATAGGCAAAAGCTAACACTTCTCTAGGCTTACTACAAATGAATACCCAAAAGACAAGGCAAGAAATGGAAAGGTTCACAGGCAATCAAAAAGTTATCAAGCCAGCTGTTTTAGTCCGGGTTCTGGGATTATCAATTGGAGGGGCTAACTGAAACAGAAAAAGATGGCTGATTTTCTAATTGGTTCAAACAATGACCATCGGAAGACAAAAAAAAAACATTTAGCACGCGAATTTAACGCTCATTCCTCATTTTTCGCCCGAAAGCGGGGAGGGGGGCGTTTTTGGCCACGCCTAACAGTTTTTTTGCAAGTGCAAAGTGCAGCGAAACTTGGTATACCTTATTTATGACTTATGATGCATTAATTTCAATCGTTTGTGAAATTTTGACCTCAGTTCACATAAAGTCAGGTCATCAGGTCAAGTTAAGTCAACATGCCTCTAAAAAAACAACTGTGATTCGGGAGAAAATTCAAATGCTCTTCCTCTGGTCGAAAACACCCTCAAACGTCGGGACACAGGTGAACATGACACGCTGAACCGAAAATTGGACCTGTGTTCCCTTTTATGCCCCTGAGGTCATCTCAGGTCATGTAACGTCTCAAATAGTTTTTTTTTACAATAACTTTAGATAAAAACATGCTAGGGCGCCGAAAGCACCATAAATGTGTTCAGCTGAACAATACCAATAGAATGACATGCAACATGATCTTTTCCTCAACCTTGACCTGAGGCCAAATCTTTAAGTTGACTTTTTCAGGGCAACTTACTAGTTCTAGTTCATTCGACGCGCCTCGACGAGACACGCGCGATGCAGGTAATATCAGCGTAATACAAGCTTGGAGTTAAAAAACTTATCGTCACTCGCCTGAATGAAAGGAATATAAAGACACAGATCCGCTGGCCTTTCAACCCTCGCCCGGGCCACTCAGCCGACATCGCTACGGTGGAGGAGGGGGGGGGGGGGGTTTGGCCGCACCAGGTTATCTCGGAAAGTAAGCAAGGTCATCGCTGAGGTCACTGGAGGTCACCAAAGGTTCACGAATTTTTGTTCCCGATTTTGCCCACTTTTCCCAAATCCGACTCATAAGTCGGGAACCAATAAAGCTACAGCGCTGCGGGAGAGTCAATATGATAGGTCTTTCAGAGAACTTTCTGGGCATTGTTCTCAGGTTTGACCTAAGGTCAACGGTTTAGCCTGCAGAGGGCAACAACTTAAAATTGGACGTTTTTTAAGGAAAAAGTTTTTGTATAGTAACTTTTATCTTATCCAACGAGCTTTATTGGCGAGTTCGTACCAATTCGCATCTTCATTCAGTGTACGTCTACGCCTTTTCATCAACGCATTAACCTTAGAAATTTAAAAGAAAATAGTTCACTTTTAACATGGGGTTTGAACTGGAATAGCAGTTCCGTAGCTTGAGCTGAGACAAGTACAAATCAGGAGCTTTTACGGCTCATCGATCACCCTAGGCCCTAGGCAAAGATTTTCCATTTCTCGTCCCGAAAAAGTGCCTTGCTGAGGAATGTGTGCCTTGCAGGGGTCATTTCCCTCTTTTAAAACTGAAGACGAGTTCTTCCTATATTAAAATATAGAGAAAAAATCCTTTATAAAAGGGTCTTATATCCTTGGCTCATCATTTTGAGCATAAATATCATAAATCCATTGCAAAAAAAAAATAATTTCATGAAGGTGAACTATTCCCTTTCAGTGGCAACCAGCGATGGCGTATTAATCACCAATTTAATTGTGAACATTCATGGGAAATTATGTCAACTGAGGTCAATGACGTTTGATGGCAGATTTTGGAAGCACTATTTTTCACATTTCGAGCGACAAAACTCGTCTTCGCCACCACCAGATAAAGCAATGGAACCACTCGCAAGACGAAAAACAATATCAATCGTCTTGCCTTTGGCTCGATGATTGGCATATTTGACATGACTATGACACTTCCGTTCATAGTTTGATACAACTCAATCTTAGATTGCCCATCAAGCCGCATGGGTGGGGTGACTTTTTAACGCCATTGCTTCTGCAGGATGTCCACTCCATGCAATGCTTCGCTACTTTTAATCAATTTGCTCGACATAACTAGCTAGCCATCAAGAACTATGGTAGTGGCTGAAAATGTTATTTCCTGACAATGCGATCAGGCCACAATGCCACGCTAAAAAGTAGAATTAGGTATAGTGCTTGCCCTAGCTACACCACCGACAGATTGTATAGCCCGTGGCCCGCTGGGGCTCCTGGATTTCTTCACCTTGCTGAGGGAGGGGGGTTTTAGCACCCCTTTCTAATTCGGCTCCTGGACCACGTAGCGACACACGATAGCCAGCGTTACAAAGAGCGTTAAAAACAAACAAAGGCGAAATTACTTCAGTCTCTTTTTACGTCAGGTAAAAAATCAGGTCACCAGAGGTCATCGAAGGTCAAATATATTTAGACAAATTTCGACAAACCGGCGCATAACTTAGAAATGAATAGGGCTACAGCGCCACAGAAAAGCGCCTTTAATAGTTATGATAATGCTCTTTCTGAGTACCTACCTATTTCTCTCAGCTTTGACCTATGGTTAATTAACGGTTTAGCCTGCAAGGGGCACAAACTGCCAAAATAAACTTTTTTGCAGAAACGGGTTTTCTGCAATAACTCTTGACTCAAAACTTACACGACCTTACTTTGACCAGCACCGTGTTCCTATCGACGAGACGCGTCGAATGAGCTATAAGTTGATTAAAAGGGTAACTTGAAATTTTGACCCCAGGGCAAGGTCATGACATAACCGGAAAAAGTCGTGTTGCAGATCAGTCGATCCGTATCATCGAGCTGAGTACAACGGTGTTTTCATCCCTCTGGCATGTCTCTATTGAAGGCTAATATCGAAAAACTGTTGGATAGTTTGGTGCCCTGAGATGACGACAGGGGCATAACGAGGGATGACGGGCGCCATTTTGCGGTTCAGTGTGGCATTTTTGCTTGTAACTTGATGTTTGAGTGTGTTAAGAATGACGTACGTGTAAAAGAGGCGCCTCTCAATTTTCTCCCCTTGACTTATAATGGAGAGGGCGCAAAATTTAGGAACCTGACCTTAGGTCACAGATACTAAAATTCCGAAATATGCATTTTATGCATACTGTTGCCTTCATCTATTGCTGAAAGTTTTTAAACGATCCGTCAATCGGTGCAGCTATTGCAAGCATTGAAACTTTTTCGGAGGTGAATTCACTTGAAGGGACCTGGTGGCCTGACCTTGAGAGACCCCGGTCTGAAATTTTCACAATATGTGCAGAAAATATGCATGGTAAGTTGTGCCAGAAATAGCGGCGCTCCGAGCCGCCGCTTTCAGATATTCGCAAAAAAAAAAACACATTAAGGACGGGGGGGGGGTGGAGTGTATTCAACCCCGCTCCCCTCCCTCAGCAGAGCGCGGTTAAAAATGTCAAACTGCTGCCCGAAGGCCAAACATGGACCTTCCACTGGATGAAATGCAAAGAGCTATCGAGTGTTAATTTCCAAGACGCCGCGTCTCTTTTAATTCACGAACCGTCCCCACTTCTCTGAATTCATAGCGTAGGTATTTCGTTTTTCGGATTCAACTTCTGAATTTGGTTTGGGATTCGATTAGGAAAGGTTTATAATTGTGCAGGCATAAAGCCGTCTTAACCCTCGCCGGCACAGGCCATTTTGCGTCCTTCGACGGCACAAAGGGGGGGGGGGTACGACCCCCCCCCCCTCGCGTTTGGCCCCTAATCGAGCTAGAGCTTTGCAGAAAAAACGAGCGTGTTGCCCGTCACGGGAGGAAGCCGATGATACCCAATTTTAAGGTCCTAGGTCATCGGGTGACCTTCCAGGTCAGGTCAGTGACCCGAAAACCGGGAAAATCGGGACCTGTTAGAAAGTCGTAAAGTGTGGCTGCTATGAGGTTTTCCGGGGTGCTGATCACGAATATCGTGTTAGTTTTGATCAGAGATGATGTCTTTAAGCATTTAGACCAGGTCAGGTCAGGGCAGGTCAGGTCAACCGGTAGGGGTTGTGACGGGTATTCGTAATACGTGTCAACCGCCTCTGACAGCTTCGTAACATGTTACGAAGGCACCAAAACTACTTCATAAATGTTCAAATGGTTGCTAAATTCGAATTCAGCTCCAAAAACTAGCCTGGAAACATGTAAAACTCGAAAAAGTGAACCGAGGTCACCCGAGGTCACCAAAGGTCAATGACCTGACCTGACCTTCAGGTGACCTTGAAACCCACCGTAATGTATGGGAACAACATCAAATCACATGTTTGAACGTTTGAAACCACGAAAAGCTTGCAAACGCGCGGCTAATGCGAGCAGACATACGCCGAATCGCGATTCCGGCCAAACATGGTCTCGGAAAAGAGGTCACAGGTCAAAGGTCATTTGGGTCAGGGTCATGAAATTTTCAGGGTAGGTGTAAAATTGATCAATGCGAGGGTACTGAAAGTTTCGTCGCGATCGGCCGCTTTTTACGCGAGTTTTTCGCGAAAAACCTTAGGGGGGTTGCATCACCCCTCTTGTGCCGGCGAGGAGGGCAGCGAGTCTTTTCACCACTCACCAGAGCGATAGAAATGCTCCTAATCTTAAATACAATTAAAACGGTCAACTTAACGTGTTAAACACTCGTGTTTATTTTATTTACAATCTCAAAGCACTAAGGCTTTTAATAAGTCGTCAGCCGTGATGAATTTGATCGGAATGCCGACACTTCCGAATCGTTATTTCCGTACGCGGGGTCTGCACCGTCTGCACTAACCATTTACGATACACCACTGCTTAGTGCTTGACGACATCAGCAGGTACCTAAATGCACTTAGCCGAGATATATCGGTATTAACACTCACCTCTTCAGCCAAGTACGAGTGGGCCGTATATAAGCTGCGCGGTCTCACAGCTTGAATAGGGTGGATCGGAATCTGCGGCACCGCCTCACGCGACTCCAAGAAATTCTCACGCCATATCATTCCCTTCGCCATAATTCCAATAAATTATTCAGCGCGTAGACCTTCTGCACAAGTATAACAAAATATCTGATGAATACCACCACCACAACACATGAAATAACTAAACAAATCAGCAATAAACGTCCACGTTTCACAAACAGCAATCCTAAATAACACAAATGCCGTTGAAGCGCAGCTGGCGTCTGTTTTGTGCTTCGTTTATTTGAGCACGTGCCCATTGTTGAACTGGTTGCTAGGCGCCTCGAAAGGGCAGATTCTCTTTAAACTGGTAAATTCGCTGATGTTTTGGACTGTTTTGGACTTTGGAGCAAGGCCATATTCATGGGTGGAGAATGTGGTATGGCAGGTATGGCATGCGCCACACCAACTTGAAAGATGGTATGGCAATGCCATACCAACTTTTCAGGGTAATACTATGAAATTTAAGGATTTCAGCTTTGTAAAAATATAAAATATGAAATAAAAATGTTTGTTTGTTGAACAATGAGTTTCAGGGAAGAAGACAAGTAATTCACTGCATACTAATATGTTTATACCATATTTTGGCAACTGCATTATAGCTGCGGTCAACGCTTCTGTTATATAGCATTGTTCCAAGCAACTGGCGCCACACCAACTTTGAAAACAATTCTCCACCCATGGCCATATTCATATATAAGCTTTGGAGGTTAGATTTGGCCACGGTACCAGTATTTAGAGAGATTTGGCAAATGAGACTTGCCCAAGGCCTTTTCGCCCTTTTCCGTCAAATGAAAATGTAACCTGCGAATACAATGGACAAGGAAAGCACCTCATTAAAAATTATCCCAACTTTTGTGCCTACTACGTATGACGTATCAAATCAAATCAATAGGGTAAAGTAGGTAATATTGTCAATAGGTAAGTAGGTACCTACTACCCCCTACTACCTACCTATGCATACTTATCAACTCGGTGCTTTGCTCTCCGAGAAAATCTGCCTAGTCTGTAGGAACAGCACTAATATATACGGTCTTGGGGACAGCGAACACTGGCGGATTTGGGGGTGGTGGTGGTGTGGGGGGGGATGCCGCATTTAGAACCACAGTAAATAAGATCCCAGTCCTCACATTTATCCCCAAAGTTAAAAGTGGCCTACTCGTTCCCCATTAATGGTGCCTATAGGTACTCTTGACTAATGATGCAACTTTTCAATCGGTCACGGGTTAAGCAGTATCGGTCTGCGACTCTGCTGACTGAACTCCGATCACTATGCCAAGCGATAACAATCCGTATAAGCGATAACAAGTAGTTTAGAGTTTGCACAAGTTTGGACCAGGCCGGGACAAATCAAACGAGAGGGCGCCTTTCGCCCTCGCAGACGGTCGACGGCCAAATCTGTCAAAAATGTTACGCCTTCCGCACCAGTTGCAAGACCATGCATAGGAAGCGGTCTGTTGTCTCCAATAAAGAGAACTTAGTCTATGAACTCGCAGTTCGCTGACACCCCGGACGGCAAGACGTTTAGAACTATGATCCATGTTCCCCAGCCCCTCAGGTCTCACTTCTGTCAAAAGAAGCCCATACAAATACCCGAATACGGCAATGGCGAACAGAAAATAATCATAAACCAGTGTGAATATCAGACAAGGCTTCTTTCTGGAATGCGTTTAAGTAGGGCATCGAGCATGGACTCTTCTATTGGAGGAATAGAAGGATGAGAGATAGGGTCCACCGACTGATCTTCATGTCGATCATTACGCCTACTGCAGGCGTCGTAGTACAAATCCCTTTCAATGTTCCTCGTCCCCTTAAAGGGACCCTCCCACCTTCAAAAAAGTTTATGAATTGGCATGAAAGTGATGTCGCTCGGTTCAGAAAGAGCGAAAACGAATATCTACCAAATCTCACCGAAAAATATTCACCTGTTTTCAAGATATAAGACTTACTTTTACTTTTGTTTACTTTTTTTGGATCTCCGCTGTTTCTAGCGACTTTATTTTAGAAATGCGGCGTTTGCGGCAGATGTTGCGCGCAAATAGCATATACCACCGCGTGCTACAAAACGTTTTAGTCAAACATTTAAAAATCGTTAGATATTTGCGCTGACGTCACACATTCAGAGGGGTATTCCTAAGCATTAGCCCCTCTGAATCAAAATGCTGCAATTTTGAAATTCAATATTTCCGATTTAAGGCATTTCTCGATGTTGTGAGTGCCGAAACCGGTAATTGTGAGCCAGGGACCCCATTTTGGCTATCTCAACTCAAATCTAATGTTAAGGTGGGAGGGTCCCTTTAAAGGGACTATCCCACCTTCTAAAATGTTGTTAAAACCAGTTAAATTGTGCCCGACTTTATAGATTCGATGACCAGGAACACGGTTCTGGCATTTATTTTTCATTAAACATCTTAGGCTTCCCATATTCCAAACACAAACTTTCAAACATGTGACGTCACAGCCCAAAATTACCTCCTTCCCCAGGCCACATTACTGTCATAAAGCTGATTCTTTTTACTCTGTAGGCACCACAACAAAGTTCAGACCAAGTTTTAAGCGATTTTTCAACGAACAAACCCATTTAAATCAGAATGACTAAACGACGTGACGTCACACTAACGGTCGCTCCATGTTGAAGATAGGGCCTTGTACAAGGCCCATTTTCAAATGAAGGGAACGAATTTCTTCAACACCAAGAGGCCGCGGGGGTTGCAATCTAGATAGATAGTGGTTTCTGAACCTCGCCGCAAACTTGGCTATCTCAACTCAAACCCCATGTTAAAGGTGGGATAGTCCCTTTAACATGACAAACAGACCACAATTCAGACAACACCCTTTCCTATTCCCTTCGACCTCCGTCAATTACCTACCTGTGGGCTGTGGCTGCCAGCCACTTCGCTTAACCAACAAAACTGCATGATTTCAAGCTTTTACGACGATACATTGTAATTCGATGTACGTTTTTTCGGCTACAAAAAATACTCGTTTATTGTTTTCGTTTTTGAAACGAAAACAATAAACGACTAGTAGCCAAAAACGCATACATCGAAAAACTACATGAAATAAATGTTTAACCCTCGCCGGACCTATTGGTTTTCTACATACGCGCCGGCCGAGGGGGGACCCCCTCCCCCCCTCGCCGTTTCGCCCCTGGTGGAGCTAGCGCGTCGCGGAAAAAAACGAGCGTGTGCGCCGTTACGAGACGCAGAGATTGGTACCCGACTTTAAGGTCCTAGGTCAACCGGTGACCTCTGAGGTCAGGTCAAGTGCCCCAAGGTACCGTTCAGTTTTTGGTGAATAACTTCGCAAAGGGCCGCAGAGCCGCGATTTTGGCAGCATCGTGTTCGCCTCGCTCAGGCGCGTCGAATGATATACTTTTTGTTTGGGTCAGGTCAACTTAGGGTGTTGACCTCAGGTATAACGGTCAGGTCAGCACCCCCCAGGTCACGAAGTTGGTCGAAAGAGGTCATGTCGCATATCATTCGATTCGGCAGGTCTTCCTGAGTCCATTGGTGGCTTTCCCGACTCGCTAGCTCAATTTGATCGGGAATTATTGACGAAAAACTAGTATAACCTTGATGACGTCATAAATGAAAATGACGTCCATAAATGAAAATGACGTCACGCAAGGTCAACATTGCAAAAGCGACGCATCTTACCTAGCAAGGAGTGCATCAAATCACGATTCTGTGTGCTTGAGATAGTTGGAGATCGTTCCCGGCGCCAGAATAGCAGTTTTCATTTTTCCCCATTGACTTATAGGTAATGGTAAGGTCACGAAAATGACCTGACCTCATATGACCTTTAGGAAAAATCCGAGATATACCAGTTGTGAGACTCATAATGGATACTAGATTCTGTAAGTTTCATTTCCCTGTGACATCTCCTCTGGCAGTGAGGGCGTTGCGAAGTTGCGTTATCTGAAGACCGTGCAGAGGTTCACTTATGACGTCATAGGTCAGTGACCTGAACTGACCCAAGAAATGCGGTTGGTGGCAAAAGAGCCGGCTTGAAGCAAAGGTCAGGTATGCCAAGTTTCAGCTCTCTATCGCCAGCGTGTTCGGAGCTATCGCGAAAAAAAAAAAACCTATGGGGGGCGGCACCCGCACCCCACCCCCCCACCCCCCTCGGCCGGCGAGGGTTAGGAAAGCATGCACCTACAACGCATGCATGAAAATTCGATCGCTGGCTGAAGTCAGTTCTCTTTCAATAGCAGTTTGCTTGTTAGCCGCCGGAGACGGTGCAATCAAGAGTATAGATTTAGAACTCCGGTCCAATATAGCGGACATGCGGTGCAGTCTACTTCCAGGCGTTTCTGCTAGCGCCATCTAGGAACAATTTTATAAGCTTCAACGGCTGACTCCTCTTGAAATGTTCTACGCCACTTTCCATCTCAGAGTCAGATCCGTTGCCACTTCTACTTGCCAGTTGGTATCAGCATCAGCCGCGGCCGCGTTTTTTATGTCGATCTTTATTATCCGACAATTTACGCCAATAAAACGCTAATCTTAATTTTCCCTTATTTCGAGCGTAATGACTAAACTGTGAGGCAGCAACCACTTTGTATCGAATGAAGAAATGAATTACGTGGTTCCATCACACAGATCGACGTGCCACGGTGGCATTTGCAGCGTGATGCTAAATCTCAAGATTGCTGTTTATATTTTTGGCTTCATTTCACTGCAACATGACCTACTATCTCCATTCTCCACATTAGTGAGGAAAAACGGCAACCGAGCAGAGTAAAAAGGACAGGGCGTTCCGCAATGCAGATGACAAATGCTCACACGGAACAAATAAGCCTCCCAATGTCTCAAACAAAGCACGTCAAACACATCGCGAGCTCATTGCACGTTCAGAACGGCTGTGACGCAGCACGACTCTGACTTCTGGGTAAGGGGCGCTCTTCCTTTTACAATAGTAGGTGGTACGGTACAACCTTCCTGATTGGCCGATAAATGAGATGTTTGAACTAGACCTATCTGTTTCTGATCTTGTCCGGACAGTTGTCAACAGTAGCAAACAACGGCTAACGAGCTACTGTTCGGAGTTTCCCGAACATAATACGACGCTGAGCTTTGGTGATTTTATAAAGCATCCGCTACTGTGCACTCCCGATCATCATACCGATCATCATGAATCTTAATGCCGCGACTTCCCTATCACGGCGAGATATACCAACGATAGATTTTTTTATAAGATATCAACCACCCCTTGCCATATTATTTTCTTCGTGTAGTTTTTACTTCACTCCATAGGCGCGGGAGCCGGGGGGACAGTGGGGGCAGCTTGCCCCTTCCCCCAACTCTGGGGCCGTGGGGGCGGTGCCTCCACAATTTTAAGGCGGAATGTCACACTTTTTTGCAAAAAGCCAAGGGATGAAAAATAAGTGGCCTAAAACTGGTAAGAAAACTAGATTTGGGGATACCCTAGGTCGATCTCTATTATGGTGTGCCCCCCCCCCCCCCTCCCCCCAGTCTGAAAGTAGTTCCCGCGTCCCTGCTTCACTCACATCACAATTTATTTTGTCATATTAACTTCCCGTGTATTGGCGCGCACCTAATCTCCGCAATCACGCTCGTTAGCGATTTGGCCACACTGAACGCTGATATGTCGGTGACGTGGTCGCGGTGTTTTTCGGCCTGTCGAGACTCTATAAGCTCTCCCTGCCAGACCAGTCCGTCCCAGGTAGCAGCGATCGTCCCGCGTGACGACATCCCATGCTCGTGTAGGGGCGACTCAGAACGTGTATGACACGAACAACAGGCTCGGTAGGACTGACCAAGACCTCACGGCTGTTACGCAACAGACGGCAGCGCCCGACAGACTGAGACAGACACGGCGACTTTTCACCGCGGTGGAGCCGCAAAACAACCCATCTCTGAGAACTCCTTGGCGGAATACTGGGTAACCTGTCTCAAATGTGCGAGTTTTATCACTTCAATCGCACGCTTCCCAATACATGAAGCAGAGTGGACTGTAAACTTGGCTTATGAACTCGTCTGCCATTAGAGACCTCCCGCGTCCGACGAATGCCCCTTTCTCTTTATTTGGTGCCTCCCGGGGTCTTTAACGTCTGCAGTGTGACCTCGCGCCATCAAAGGGCCCCTTTCCTTCCTGTCTTTGACAAGCGGACCCCTGGTGAGTCGAAGAGCCTACGAGGAGAGAAGAGCCGCGAGTCCCGGCGCACCAGCCCCGAACACGTTCAACCGCCCACACGACGGAACTGTGGATCGATGTTATATTTCATGCGACCCAAAAGGCAATTGCAACACATGATTAGAACAGAGGAAGCGAACAGATGACAGGCGAATACAAACAAGTGATTACTTCAGGCAAAACCAACGAGCCTAATTCTCTTGTGTCGATATGACATGAAAATAATGCGCAAAAAGGAGGCTCATGGCAGCACAGAAAACAAAACAGCGAAAAGAAGACACATTACCTACAGCCCGGCGTGGTTTAACTCCGGGAGAAACCCACGTCCCATCACATTACGAATGGTCTGTGTCCAACACAGCTGGCAGTTGACGGTTCCCACGACACACTATTCGGCGCTGAGTGCACCTGGACGAACCCAGCTGAACTTCTCCACACGTGGCGGTACCCGGTGAGGGGGCACTGACCATTCCGAGAACGTTCTACCGGCGCTGGCGGTAATATCAACTAATCTCGTGCCGCCCACAGACGCCCAGGTAGCTGCACACTGCTCTCACAGAGACACAGAGAAACGAGTGTCACAGGCGCAGAGTTTCGTCAACGCACGACAGCGTGGCAGCTCGCACACCACGGAGTCCTGGGAGGGGGACACTCAGTACTCCATGGTCAGTTCGAATATTCACACATATTGGAAACGTTTCAGTGACCTGAATGAAACAGCACCAAAGGTACATTGCGGAAACAAACTGAAAATGACTACTGAGAAAAGCGAAAGTAAACAGATATTGGTGAAAGTAAACGTACGCATCATATGAGCAACTAAAGTGAGCGAGAATCATCAACCTTGAAGGGGCAATCAATTGTTCTATCGTTCATTACACTTTTGAACAGCATTCGAAACAACCCTCTCACATAAATGTGTGGAAGGATGACTTTTTCACCTATATACAGATTTCTAGGCGCTCTACGGATATCGCTTCACATAACGCACCTTTAACGTAACTGTAACCGGAAATAATACTGAACTTCTCACTGTGGAGGACACGAGGGACTCCCATCACCTGAGACCACCAGACGGCGTCATCAGCCGCTCCGGTTATATCCCTCTCTGGCCGATCTCGTTACACCACAGGGCGTCAGGCCGCTACCACCCCCACACCCCGCCCTCCACTGGCCGACGCCCGGTCCCCAGACGGCCCCCAGCAGCTCACTGGGCCGCCGCCGCTCACTGCAGCATGGAGCCGAACACGCCGTGACCCGCCGGTCTCTGCAGCAGCGGCAGCCCCATCTCGGCGGCGGGCGGCCGCTGCAGGAACGGATTCACGGCGCCCGGCCCCGCGCCGTACTGCTGCTGCTGGCCGCCGCCGGCCTCGGCGCTCATCGCGCGGTGCAGCAGGTGGGTAAAGACGTCCGAGTGGGCAGCCGGCGGCTGCAGCGAGGGGCCGTGGGCCGCGGGACCGGCCGGCTGCAGAGAGGCGCCGTGGGCCGCGGGGACGGAGGGGCCCGGGGCCGCGGGACCGGCCGGCTGCAGAGAGGCGCCGTGGGCCGCGGGGACAGCTCGCAGGAGAGAGGTGCCCGGGGCCGCAGGGACGGAGGGGCCGGGACCGGCAGGGACAGCCGGCTGCAGAGAGGCGCCGTGGGCCGCGGGGACAGCTCGCAGGAGAGAGGTGCCCGGGGCGGCCGGGCCGGGAGCAGCCGGGCCGGCCGGCTGCAGAGACTGAGAGGGGACGGGGACGGCAGGGCCGGCCGGCCGCTGCCGCCCCGGCGCCACCAGCGACACGTCCACCGGCTGCGGCGGCGCCTTGTTGGCGACGACTCGCTTTCTTAGGGGCACCTTGGGCTTGCCATAAATGTCCAGCCTTATCTGGAAGCAAGGAAGATTGAAATTACTACGCAAATTTAACGTTACTGCAAAGGAGAATCAGTTAGCTATATTAAATGCGATAAAAAATGTACAAATGCAGCAGAGCCCATACAACTTCAGGGATGTATAATTAGGATACAGTCTATGAACAGAACATCACTAAATGATTTCAGGCCGAGCAGGAAATGTTATGATGGGAACAGCAATCATGAAACGTTCACATGGGAACGGAGAACTTACCTATGAAATGGTGCAATGAACATGCGATAATCCCGGGCTTTTTCTGGTTCAAATCGGCAAAAAAAAGCATGATAAAATTACCTACGGAATTTCATCTATTAAAATTAGTTTAAAAGATATATAAGATAATTGTGCCCGCCGTGTGCTATGCCGAGCTAAGTCTGATAGTCGTGTGCTCGTAAGACTGAAAAGGAGAATATTCGTACGAATCTGTTGACAAGGAGATATCACCAGCCAGCCAGCATATCCTACGCTAAACTACCACCCGCATCGACCGGTAACACGCTGGGGTCTCAGTGCGAGCCCCATGCTCGCCTCCTCCCCTGAAGCAGGCTCAAACGGAGGCCGTCAGACCCGCCGGACTGTCCTTCAACAGCGGGGCGGCGAGGCCGTGTGCCGACCTCCTCAGGTTCAGGAACCAGACCAGTCAATGCTCCATCGGTCACGGAGCAGGAGCCCTTTACCTTATCACCCGAATCATCGGCCCATCGAAAGACCAGAGACCAGTCAATTCATCCCTTCTCTTTCCCCCCTCTCTCCCGCTCTCTGGCTACCTCCCTTTCTCCCCTCTCCCTCCTCAGTGACCTGGCGGGCCTCCCTCAGTGACCTGGTGGGCCTGCCTCAGTGACTGACCTGGTGTGCGTTCCCCAGTGACTGACCCGGTGTGCCTCCCCGTCAGTGGCCCGTTGGCCGTCCCCCAGTGACTGACCCGGTGTGCCTCCCCGTCAGTGGCCCGTTGGCCGTCCCCCAGTGACTGACCCGGTGTGCCTCCCCCAGTGACTGACCTGGTGTGCCTCCCTCAGTGACTGACCCGGTGTGCGTTCCCCGGTGACTGACCTGGTGTGCCTCCCTCAGTGACTGACCCGGTGTGCGTCTCCCGGTGTGCCTCCCTCAGTGACCCGTTGGCCGTTCCCCAGTGACTGACCTGGTGCACCTCGCCGGCGTGCTGTTTAACGGCTAGGCCGCAGCCGAACACCAGCAAGCAGTTGACGTCCGGGCACGGGTAGGCCGGCAGCCCCTCCGGGTTGTTCTCGGGCAGCGGCGCTGCGTGCAAGCCGTGCTGCGTGTGCTCGTGGTTGAGCAGCTTGCGCCGCTCCTCGCTGCGGATGCTGCACACGGAACACTTGTACTTGAGCAGCAGCGTGTGCACGCGCCGCTCGTGGATCTCCAGCTCGGCACGCCGGAAGAATCTGCCGGCGGCACGGGACGGCGGCGGGGTTAGCGGGGTGGCTGCTGGATAGGACACAACATAACAAACAGAAAAGGTAACATACCACACAACATACGAACAGAAACGTGGCGCGCGGATCCAGGACAGTAAACAGAGTAAGGCGGGAAATGATGATCACTCTATTGGTTTGTCTCAAAATCACTGAACAGCCATCAGAGAGCTCGGACACCAAGTTCTGGAGAAAATGAAGTCGGTGATTTAATATCCAGTCGTGGACATAACCGGCGCGGCTACTGGTAGGACAAGAGCGTGATTGTTCGAATTCATTAACCCCCTTTGATGTCTACTTAACTGAAGAACGGCCTTTGAGATATGCGATGAAAAATGAATCCTCCCTCAACTGTACGTAACGTTTAAGGATCGAAACACAATCTTCCAATGCCAGAAATTCAGTTATGCATTCACATCAAATCAATATCAAAGACAGTCATTCCAGTCATGTCTTCAGCTACCTAATCCTCGCCTAAGCATTTCAGCAAACATCTAAGATCAAAGCCACGAGACATATATGAATAACTATGACCCTTTGATGACAGGCCCGTATTTGCAGTGACCTCACCGGGTCCCACGCTACGCCGTAAAGCCTGTGTCGTGACGGTATCCCCACCTACCCAGAGCCGCACGCATGGCCATCACCCAGTAGCGGTCACGACAAAACCCAGCCCACAGGACAACTACCAGGAGCGGCCCGGCCTTGACAGAGGCGGCCGGCCAAAGGCGCCACGTGCAGGTGATTTTTCCATGTCAGAGAGCCCGGACAAGCCACCGGACAAGGCGACCATTAGCGCCGAGTCCCGCGGACACTGGCACGTCACCCACCGCCGGACAGAGCAGAGGAGGGGCGGTGGGGCGCGGACGGTACCTGGGAGAGCGGGGGAGCGGGGGCAGGGGGGGGAGGGACGAGGCCAGACCGAGGCGGGGCGGGAGGAGACGGTAAGATGTGGAGTGGGAAGGGCTGAACAGATTTAAGAGCCCCGAAAGACATCTCACCATAAGTTCAACTTGCGAGTACCTAATGAGTAAGATGAGTTGTGGAGGGAAATGGGGAGCGACAGGGGCAGAGACGGGGCCCGCCCGGGAGCGGACCGGGGGCCGCTGGAGGTAGTTGTTCCACGAACAGTGCCGGCCACCGAGTCTGTGTTCCGTGTCGCGGTCGGCCCGCCCGCCAGACAGGACGGCGCGACACTGCGCGACTGCACCGTGAACACAGCGGGAATGCACAGGAAAGTGCCACTTTCCTCGGGATTTGTGCAGCAAATCCGATTGAAGGACGAAATTATGCAGTGATTGGGCAACGATATATCCAAAGGAAGAAAATGCGAAGGGATGATACCAGGAAATAAGTAAATCAAAGGAAATACGATAATTAGATCGATGTAAATTGATTATTACCACAATTTTATGCGATCGGATTACCGACATGAGGAAACCGGCCAGGCAAGTTGAAAGTTACAGTAGCGCAGTAAACAACAGCAGAGTGCTCCCGCAATTCTCCCCCGTGTTTGCCTTGTAACGGCCTGCTCTATCCTCCAGGTGTGAACAGTTCCATTAGCAGATGTGTTCGATACCGTACTGTAACCGATACAATCACACCGATATAAAATTCTCCAGCCGTCCGACACATGAACGCCCCCTAATATGGCGTCGGACCGCTACTGTGAGGCTCGGTACCGCTGTCCGACATTTTATGACGCGTTCACAACACCACAAAAAGGCGCCTGTAAAGCGTGTAAAATGACACCAGTCAAACAGCGGCCCCAGTCATTCTGGTGGCACTCCTAACCCAGTACCCGGCTTTCGTCGGCCACTATTTTCTAGCGGGACCGTCCCGGCCGGATCTATCACCCAAACCGAACAGCGGCCGGTGTGGGCGCTGAAATCGGGGCCGGTCCGCCGACTCTGACACACCAGACGGACATCACCGGACGGATAGAAAGAGACCAGCCGCTCCCAGGCACAGGACGAGCGGGCAGAGCGACTGGGACAGGGCACGGCACCGCGCCGGGAGCTCCGGTAACCGCCGGCGTCAGACACCGAACTTCCTCGAAACACCAGCTCCTCGGCCAGTGCTCTTCCAGTCCACCCAAATATCTATCCCCTCGTCTCTTGCAATGCCTGTCAGCCTTCCTGTCCATCCTCCCTTCTCTCTTCCTCCCTTCCTTCCTTCCTTCCTTCCCTCCCGCCCTCCCTCCCTCCCGCCCTCCCTCCCTCCCGCCCTCCCTCCCTCCCGCCCTCCCTCCCTCCCGCCCTCCCTCCCTCCCGCCCTCCCTCCCTCCCGCCCTCCCTCCCCCGCCTGCCCGCCTGCCCGCCTGCCCGCCTGCCCGCCTGCCCGCCTGCCCGCCTGCCCGCCTGCCCGCCTGCCCGCCTGCCCGCCTGCCCGCCTGCCCGCCTGCCCGCCTGCCCGCCTGCCCGCCTGCCCGCCTGCCCGCCTGCCCGCCTGCCCGCCTGCCCGCCTGCCCGCCTGCCCGCCTGCCCGCCTGCCCGCCTGCCCGCCTGCCCGCCTGCCCGCCTGCCCGCCTGCCCGCCTGCCCGCCTGCCCGCCTGCCCGCCTGCCCGCCTGCCCGCCTGCCCGCCTGCCCGCCTGCCCGCCTGCCCGCCTGCCCGCCTGCCCGCCTGCCCGCCTGCCCGCCTGCCCGCCTGCCCGCCTGCCCGCCTGCCCGCCTGCCCGCCTGCCCGCCTGCCCGCCTGCCCGCCTGCCCGCCTGCCCGCCTGCCCGCCTGCCCGCCTGCCCGCCTGCCCGCCTGCCCGCCTGCCCGCCTGCCCGCCGGCCCGCCGGCCCGCCGGCCCGCCGGCCCGCCGGCCCGCCGGCCCGCCGGCCCGCCGGCCCGCCGGCCCGCCGGCCCGCCGGCCCGCCGGCCCGCCGGCCCGCCTGCCCGCCGGCCCGCCGGCCCGCCTGCCCGCCTGCCCGCCTGCCCGCCTGCCCGCCTGCCCGCCTGCCCGCCTGCCCGCCTGCCCGCCTGCCCGCCTGCCCGCCTGCCCGCCTGCCCGCCTGCCCGCCTGCCCGCCTGCCCGCCTGCCCGCCTGCCTGCCTGCCTGCCTGCCTGCCTGCCTTCCTTCCTTCCTTCCTTCCTTCCTTCCTTCCTTCCTTCCTTCCTTCCTTCCTTCCTTCCTTCCTTCCTTCCTTCCTTCCTTCCTTCCTGCCTGCCTTCCTTCCTGCCTGCCTTCCTTCCTGCCTGCCTTCCTTCCTGCCTTCCTTCCTTCCTTCCTTCCTTCCTTCCTTCCTTCCTTCCCTCCCTCCCTCCCTCCCTCCCTCCCTCCCTCCCTCCTTCCTTCCCTCCCTCCCTCCCTCCCTCCCCCCACTCACTTGAGCCCGCACTCGCTGCAGATAAAGTCGTACTGTCCATGCTCCTCTGCGCGGTGCTTGTCCCGCTTCCACAGCGAGCCGAACCGCTCCGGGCATGTGCCGCACACGTACGCCAGCTCGTGGATGGCGTGCACGTGCCGGCGCAGACCACGCTCGTGCCTGAACGTGCGGCCGCAGCCCGGCTGGGGAGGGGCACGGGGGTAACGGTCAGTACAGACAGCAGTGAGGGGGAGGGGGCGTCATACCAAGTTATGTCGTACATTATACGGCACATGGCACACGAGTGTAGCAAAAAGGAGCATCATCACATGTCATCCACTCATGTGCGAGATATGGTACGCTTATACAAAAAAAAAAGAGTGGGAGCTAGAAGACATGGGAAAATAAGACGTCAGACACAGTCTATAACTGATGCAGTTAGGACCAGCTAAAGGGTGTGGGATTATTGTTCGATCTCATATGCAGAGCGCAAAGATCCGTATTAGCGAACGCATACGAAAAGCTCAATAAAACGACATCGCTGGGCCGGCCACCATCCAATACTGAATGTCATAACTCCGCCCGGTTATGAGAGTCGCCATCGCCCGCGTATGAGACGTACCGGGCCGGTTTATGAAACGCCCGAAACACGTCCCTACACCGGCGACCGCGCACTCCGATAAGCAATACAGTGACCTGGCCGTCTGGTGCGGCCCATTCCCAGAAATGGGTACGTCGATCAGCCATTGGGACTGATGAAACCAGCCACCGCAATAAGGACACGGACGTGAGGCCAGCGATCGCTGGTAAAACTGCCAGATACAGGTACATACATATATACAGAGATGACGCAACGGGGCTGACCGGGGTAGGGTCGGATCGACAAACTGCAGAAACGAGCCTGTGACTGACAGCATGTCGAAATGCAGGCGGGACTATGGGTGGGTCAAATGGCAGTGATGTCAATCGGTCCGGGCCATCACTGCCCAGCGAATTCCAGCGAACCTGTCATAGGTTTGGTGATTGTGGACTACCGAATCCAACATCGATATACCGTGAGTGGAATCGTATCCATATATGCAATACAAATTTGGTTATTCAGCTCATAGTAGGCTATCGCCAAACATCTCCAAATTACTGCACGACACAGCTAATGGACATCATCCGAGCCAAGCCCTGACATATGCCAAACCACAGCGATAGGGGAATCTCCGAATGTCGCATATTGACCGCGTTGAGTCACATTACAGCCCCCCTCGTGTCTCCACCGGACTATTACTGCACACACGTCAAACTCAGACAGCCGACGCGTGTAGCCCGCTCCTCCTCAGTGGCCTCTGCACGTCAGGGCGGTGCATGTAACGACCCCGTATGTACAGAGCACACACGTGGGGCCCCGAGTCGAGAGCTTCCACGAACCCGTCAGCATCCATGACGTCACCCGTTCTTATGAGTGGACAAACATCCAAGCACGTGGGGTGTTTCAATTGTGTTTCCTCAGTTCACGCAAATCACTGTGTTTCCGCTTGTGACTCATGTTGCGTGAACCGGTTTAGTGGCGTGCTAGGGCTACAGATGGACGCACGCAGTGTACTAGTCCCCCCCCCGCGTTCCAGGGGCGGGCCGACTGACCTCCGTGCAGGGGAACTCGTGCAGCAGGTGCTTCTGCTGCACGTGGGAGATGTAGTGGTCCTTCTCCGTCTTGTGGTACTGCTTCCCGCAGTACTTGCACGTATAGCGCGGCTTGTCCCCGACCTTGTGCACAACCTCCTAAAAGGAAAGACATGGTCAAAAAAGTTAATCGTCTGAGCGAGCTCCATCAGAATAAACTTTTACGCATTTTGGTTTGGGTGAAACTTCTCGACGCCGAGCCAGATTAGCTCAGTAATCATTACCATGCCATTAATTTGTCGTACTCACAACTGATAAAATGAAGCAAATAAAATAATGATTCACAGCAAATAAAATAATGATTTAAGCTTATTTTAGGTACAGCATGTGGCGATTACATGCTATATGTAATGATACATGTGCAATGCGTCTCGACTGATGTCCTGCACTATGTTGCGGCGACTGACCTGGTGCATCTTGAGGTAGTTGCTGCTGACCTCCTTGCCGCAGAGCTCACACACCACCATAGTCGGCGGCTCGGTGGGCACCACCTGTCCGGAACAGAGGGGGGTGAGGGACGGGTGAGGGACGGGGTGAGGGACGGGGTGAGGGACGGGGTGAGGGACGGGGCTCCTTGTCCCGCCCGGAACACAGACAGCCAACGGGCAGGGAGGTGCGGAGGCAGCGACAGGGGGCAGCGGCCGAGAGAAGGGGCGCCCCGACCACCCTCCCGCGGCACCCTGATTAACAGATACACAACACAATAACGCATCGAAACGACTGAAAATCTTAGAACGTACATTGATGCAGCGATGTGTCACAACTCGCAGAGAACTGCGATTTTCAGAATTGGCAGGAGATATATCTAGAGATCGGCGATGGCGAAGACTGGTAAGTCTCACAAAACACAATGATAATAAAGATAGTCCGTGAGTCACGAGGACAGAAAAGGCAGCGAACACTGCAGTGTGGGCCAGAACACACGCACACACACGGGCGAGCGTCAGAGCTCACCTTCTCCTTGTGAACGTATTGGTGTTTCTTCAGGGCGAACCGGCAGCCGAACACCTTGCCACACTGTTTGCAGGGGAAGCGCTGCTCGGGCACGGCCGGCGTCGTCACCTCGCCGCTGGCCGTCACTGTGATGAAGTCCTCGACGGCGGCCGGCGCCGACTGGCCGGCGGCCGCTGCCGGCGGCTCGGCGGCCACGCCGCTGTCACTGATGGCAGCCGCAACCGGGTCCTGGCGGCGGATCGAGAAAAACACTCAGCTCAGGGTCCTGACAGGCTGCGAGATCAACTAAATTCAGGGGCGTGGCGGCAGGATAGACTTATCTCAGGGTCCTGGCAGCGAGATCGACTCAACTCAAATCTATTCAGCTCAGGGTCCATGACGGGGGGGGGGGGGGGAGCAAGAGTTAGACGGTCTGGGTGGATAGAGAGCAGAAAAGCCCCCATCCCCCATTGGATCTGATTACAACAATAGGTGGATATGGAGCAGAAAAGCCCCCATCCCCCATTGGATCTGATTAAAACAATGAGAAGAACGATATAACCTCGGTAAAAAGACTAGTTAGTCATAATTCAGATACTGTAATTTGAAAAAGAAACGACTACCTTGCATCCAAGACCCTAGTATGATGTATTATGCCCACCCGTTCCCCAGGAGAGGGGAGAGTCAGACTGTGTCTCGGGACTGACCGGCCCCACGGTGGCGTGCAGGCCGTGCGCCCGGTACTCGTGGTCGCGGATCATCGTGTAGACGGTCTTGGCGCGGTGCGCCTGTGTCATCAGCGGCCGGTAGTCGCACACCGAGCACTTGAGCCTGCGCAGCCGCTCCTGGCGGACGGAGAGGGGCCATCAGTCCGAGCGGCGGCGGACCTTGTGGGCACTGAACAGCGGACACAGTGTCACTAGTGCAGGTACAACCAGGCGGACTTTGAGCTGCTGCTGACCATAACGAGCAGGCAAAGCAGCACACTTTATGAGCAGCACATGTTCTGTTACTTTCATACGATACATCTAGCACTCATGAATAAGGCATAGAGATGAAGTACCCATAGCAGTGAGAATACCACACAAGTCTCACACTCACCAGCCGCTGCTGAAGTTTGATTTCCCTGGCCTCCTTTTTCTGGTGTTTGTTGAGCAGCACGCGCTTGGCGAACCCAGCGCCGCAGAGGTCGCACACAAATGTCTTAATATCGTGGACGCTCGACAGATGACGGTAATATTCGATGAAGCCGCGGAACACGACGTCGCAGTGGTCGCACTTCTGGCCCTCGCCGTGCACTATCCGCTGGTGGGAGACGAGCGAGCTGCGGCTTTTGAACTTTTTCGGACAGATGGCGCACCCGTTCACGGCGGCCACGTCGCGGTGCAGGCGGCGCTCGTGCTTGTTGAGCGCCGTGCGCGTCTGAAAGTCCAGGCCGCAGTGAGCGCAGAAGATGCCGTGCCGCCGGTACTTCCTTTTACTGGAGTCCGGCGCCGGGGCCGGGGCGGCCGTCCTGCGCGCCGCCCGCGCCGCTCGCACCGCGCGCTCCGCCTGCAGCCGCTTGGCGGGACTCGGGTCGTAGTCAAAGTCCCGGTCGTCATCGGACCTGCCACCGTCATCGGAGGTGGCTCCGCCGTCATCGGAGGTGGCTCCGCCGTCATCCATATCGACGGCGGCGGGGGAGGGGACGCCGTCCGCCGCTGCGCCGCTGTCCTCCGCCGCGCCGTCAGCCCCGGCCGCGCCGTCCCCGTCCACAGAGGTGTCCAGCACCACCTCCACGTGCTCTGCCGGCTTCACGGCCGCGCCCCGCACCGAGACCACGTCGTCACTGTCACTGGCGTCCATCTCCGGCGCCGAGAGGCCGCCGCTCGCCGCCGACTCGGCGTCACTCTCGCTGCCGCTCTGAGACTCGGCGCTGAGCCGCTGCGCCGCCGCCGCCGCCGCCGCTCTCCTGCCCCTCGGCCCCACAGCCTCGGCCGCGGCCGCGGCGGCCGCCGCCGCCGCTGCTGCCCTCCTGCCTCTGACTCCCCTCCCCCTGGCCGGCGCCGGCGCCGGTGGTACCGCCGGTACTCCCACTACTCCCAGCAGTCCCACCAACCTCCCTCTGCCACGCCCTCCGCCTCCGCCTCTGCCTCTACCTCTACCTCTGCCTCTGCCTCTACCTCTGCCCCGCGGCCGACCTCTCCTGGCCGTCCTGACGGGGGTCGGGGTCACGTCAGCCGCAGCGTCCGGCTCCTCGGTCTTTACTGGTGTGTCTCCGAGCGGAACGACGTCACTGTGGCATGAGGAGGGCCGGGCCGACTCCGGCGCCGGGTCGGAGGGCGTGGGGTGGACGCCGCTCCTCCGGCCGCTGCGGCGCGGCTCCGGGGCGGGAGGCTCCACCTCCTCCTCCATCGGCTCATCTGAGGACGGAGTCGGCGGAGGGCGGGTCAGACTGACACGGAGGGAGGGTCAGACTGACACAGAGGGAGGGTCAGACTGACACGGAGGGAGGGTCAGACTCACACGGAGGGAGGGTCGGAATCACACGGAGGGAGGGTCAGACTCACACGGAGGGAGGGTCAGACTCACACGGAGGGAGGGTCAGACTGACACAGAGGGAGGGTCAGACTGACAGTCTGCCGAGTCGGCGGAGGGAGGGTCAGACTGACACGGAGGGAGGGTCAGACTGACACGGAGGGAGGGTCAGACTCACACGGAGGGAGGGTCAGACTCACACGGAGGGAGGGTCAGACTGACAGAGTCTGCCGAGTCGGCGGAGGGAGGGTCAGACTGGCCGCACGCAGAACGGAGTTCAGACCGACCAGCGACCCGTCAGTGCATAAGTACATACTGGTGATAGCGAAAAAGACTGCAGATGGCAAGCGATAACGGCAATAGAGTGGGGGCACCAGATATTTAAGTCAGCATTCCGCAAACCGACATACTTTCACCTCCTCACTTCCATAGGTTCATAAATCAAATAACACCAATCCATGTTAAAATCGCGATATCTCCCTCCCCAGGCAGCGGCACTGACCCGCCGTTTCCTGTTGCCCCTGCCCCTCCGCTCCGCCGACTGACCGTCGTCGGCTGGTAGCGGCTGGTGCGCCCGGCCGGCCTGGTGGCGCTGCAGCAGCTCGGCCCGCACCCCGCGCGCCAGCGCCTCGTAGCCCTCCAGGTCGCTGAGCAGGTCGCAGCAGGTGCGGCAGACGCACCGCTCCCGGTCCAGACTAGTGGCGCGGACACACACGTCAGTCGGTGAGGGACAGGCCGGGCGGTCAGAGGCGGCGATAGTGTGTCCCTGACTCACCCATCAGAAACAAATGCAGCCTACGAACAATACAAGGGTAGCAGCCTGATATTACTTTGAGATAAAAAAGCTAAACAAAGAGCTCAAAACATGAGTTGCTAGAAAAAATGCACACAATGAATGCCTCACCATTTGATGTCGAGATCAAAGATCCATGTGAGTCCATCTGAGTCCATCCTTTTGGGACATTCTTCCTGCCATTTTTGCAGCTCATTTGGCACTGTTTTACCTTTGCGGAGCTTACAGGTAGTGCTGCATATCAAACATTCAAATTCCATGTTGAATTCTGCTGTAAGAATTGTTAAATTAGCTCTAATCAAGCCATTGCAGTTGAATCAGCATTACTGAAGCTGAGATCTACAGCATTTTTAGGGAGAATTTTGACCCTTTCCATGTATCTGTTTGCAGGTTCCCTCCCTCCTTCCTTCCTGGACTATTCCATATGGCTGTGCCCATCAGGTAGGGAACCCCGACAGGTTAGTTGAACAGGTGAGTTGCCTGAATCTGAAAATAACATGTTACTTTTTAGTGCAGCAGCTTTTGTAGCTATTGATCCACTGAGGGGCAAACTGCCCTGACCAAACATAATCTTACCTAGCCCTCTGCCAGACTGGACAGAGTGTTAACACCCAACCAGTTAGGTGTTAGGTGTTGGATAGGTGTTCAAGTTAGGTAAGGCTATGTGAAATTAGGTAAGGATGGGTTAGGGCCTAGGGGTAAGGTTAAGTTGGGTTGGCTTAGGCTGGGCCGGCTGGGCTAGGCCAGATTATGTTAGTAGGTCAGTGACATCCCCCCAATGAATTAAATGGCATTAACTGTACCACTTATCATCATTGTTAGATTAAGGACAAGGAACAATAGCTTAGCATTGGACCCAATTCATCTGTCTAAAATCATTGGGACCCCAGCTTCAGTTTCACTGGTAAATGCATCATCCTTCAATAACCAAAAACAAAATAGACAAAAGCAATGCAGACTACAGGTCAAAGTCTTCATGTCATGAGTCAATGATGCCATAAAACATTTCTAGCATTTCAATGTTATTTCCAATTTCAATTACATTTAATTTGAACCCATTGAGCTGCAGGCTACCTATCTGCTATCATTCCTGGATGTATGTTTTTTAGTAAGGCTAAAGGCCAACCACCAACTAAAAGCAAGGAATGTCACCCAGACCCAATGCCAATGGAAATTAAATTCCCATGAGCTTGTTTGCCTGCATGCAAAGTAGAACGGGTATTCTTCTGTGCAGACACCTTTTCTATTAGGTATCAAAAATTATTGACTGCTATTTATTGCTGTCTGCTGTGGAATTATAGGAATTAGCTGAAAAATGCTGGTGGTACTATTGCACACTACACGCTCAAGGGCCCAATCTTACCAGTGCCGTAAATAGGATTTGGCAGCACTAGCCAAAGTTTACGGCACTCAGCTCAGCACTGATATCAAAGATATCCTTTTTGTGTACATCCAGCTAATCTTGTCCAATAGTTTTGATAGTGTGAATGATTGTGAATATTGCCTGAATGAATGAATAAGTGAATGTGGAATAGTTCTGAATGTTACCAAATGCTGTGAATGCGCGGCATTTGGTAAGATTGGGCCGAAGTGCATGGGAAAAACCAAACACTGAATTGTATTGTATTGTATTGTATTTACAATCATGGGCGATCCACACATGGCGTGGCGATTACCAGTCATCTACGTCACAAAAAATTGCTGATTATCATTCATCAAACCCCAAAGCATACATAGCATGTTCAGGGCTATAGAAACATTAAATACATAATATTTCAATCAACAAATTAAAAATGGAGGTCAACTGCCCGCAACCAAACTTCTCTCCATAGTTCAAAAAACAAATAATTGTTTCTCCATGTGACAATCTAAATAAATTGAAATGTTAGTAAGTCATGGAATGTATAGTCTCCAGTCCACATAGCTAATGCACTCGCTTAAAATATAATAAACTACGTTAAAATGCATTACATCCCACCAAATGGCAAAATGCAATGCACGTCACACGTCTACAAAGCACCACAAACGTTTATCTGTAGGGCTACCAAATGAGATATTTTTTGATACCAAAGACACTCATTTCGTAGTACTTTTGTGTATGCTATCTAAAAATCTGAAGGGTAACAACATGCGGAACCTAGCCTAGCCTTCCTTGCCTCAAGTCAGGAAATACATTTGGTTGAAAACGTATACCTATCTGAACTTGGCGTTTGGCATTCCCAGCGGAGCCAGGGAGGACACCGGTCGGCAATAGATGGTCACGGATAGCACCACTGTTCGCTAGAGGGCAAAGAAGCCTAATGTTGCCTTCCATATCCTTTGGAGTAGTGTTGCAACCTGCATGCTTTGTGCAGTAGCATACTTCTCCGACAGAGCTTGGAAATCTCATGTTAAATGGTCAGCCACCGTCAGCACCGGTCAAATCGCCAAACTCATAGAGCTGGCTTGACCATCCCGATTCCCGCATCACTGAGGCGTATCATAAAACTGCAGAGCATGGATGAAAACGAAGTGATTTTATTGCCTTTCGGGTGTTATAGCATCATCAAGTTGCAAAACGGAACGACAATGCAGTGCTTCACTACGTCCCGGCTCATCGAGGAGCATCATTTTTACGAAGCCTGTGTCGGGGCACAAACACTCACAAAATAGCATTCCCTCGGGCCATTTATCGATCCTCTTGTCGAGAAAGGCCCATCTGACGCATCTGATTGCCACCACAACCAACAACCAACTGCACGTGACTCAGCTGCTTCAAGCGACAAAAGGACGTGACGCCACCATATCAGCCTAGTGCCGTACGATACCTACCAGCGATGTGCACGAACGGACACAATGCACAAAACACGATACTAGAAAGTTTTGCCGAAATAAAAACGAGCGACATATAAAACACGAAGTACTTTCGACCTGACGTGAATCCGCTACAGCACTATACGACATGGCGAAATCTCACTGATCAGCGTTAGTATTTCTATACCGTAACGCCCAAACACAACCGTCACAACCTCAACAGACGTGGTCCGATTAATCGCAAAACCGGTCTATCGCGATCATTATAAGACGCCAATATTGTGCAGTTAAATCGTAAGCCATGCGGCCATTCTGGTTTGATCAGTAAAACCAGCAACGTTGACGGTGTAAGATTGTTACGATGGAATGAGACGGCACTGGCAGTGGGGTTAGTTCGGTGAAACAGATCACACAGCGATTCCAGCCAGCCAATCATACAGCACACATTAACGGCTCAACATTAAAATTCTTATAAAAATATCAAATTGATTAACAAAACAAAGACTGCACAAGCTCTGTAGCAGACATTCGCGATTAGTGCCTGCATATTATACATCTGCACATCCAGGTAAAACAATTCGGTGATTCGATCCGCCCCCACCGATGCGTGTGCTGTTTACCATTGACCGTGCTCTATCATACCCAGAGACCACCATTCACCCCCTGATCAGATCTGCAGGCTCATGCTCCGTCCGCTCCCCCGACAGTTCCATAGGTCCCTTGGGGACAAAACACGTCTACCCCCTACCCCTCTCCCTCTGCTACATATCCCGTCCCCGCCTGCCACCAAACCGCCATCCTAACACGCGCCCCAGCCGGCCCAGTCGGCGGTCCGACCCGGCCCGGGTCACTGCGGGTCACTGCGGGTCACTGCGAGGTCAGCTCTCCGCCAGCCGCTCCAGTCGGCGGCGGACCGCCGGCGGTCCGACCCGGCCCGGGTCACTGCCGGTCACTGCTGGGTCACTGCGGGGTCAGCTCTCAGGTCACTGCGGGGTCAGCTCTCGGCCAGCACGTCCCAGGTGAGGCCCGGCTCGTCTCGGCACTCTGTCATTGCGACAGGGGCGCCGGGACGCCGCTCCGGGGCCGAGAGGCACAGGCCGACCGCCAGGTTATACACCGGCGAGCCCACCTGGCGGAACGGGGGGAGAGGTCAGCCAGAATTTCCGAGTGGGCTGCTGGAGTCGGTGTGCTGCAGATGTAGACGGCGTGGTGCAACGCTAGGTACCCTCAGACAGTGTACATCATCATGCCTCCATTACTCCACTGCTAGAAGTCAGAGAGTCGATACAAATTCACCACCATAACTTATCTTGGCTTCACAGCTCCTCTCCGCGCCTCTCTCTGGCTGGCTGGACCAGCATTACCCACCTTTGCGCCGTAGTTCCACTGCTGAAGGGTCGTTGGTAGTTATAACCCACCTTTGCGCCGTAGTTCCACTGCTGGTGCGGTATTAGCTACCCACCTTTGCCCCGTAGTTCCACTGCTGAGGGGTCGTTGGTCGTTACCCATCTTTGCCCTGTAGTTCCACTGCTGTAGGGTCGTTGGTCGTTGCCCACCTTTGCCCCGTAGTTCCACTGCTGAGGGGTCGTTGGTCGTTATAACCCACCTTTGCGCCGTAGTTCCACTGCCAGTCCGGGTGTAGTTACCCACCTTTGCGCCGTAGTTCCACTGCCAGTCCGGAGGTAGCAACCCACCTTTGCGCCGTAGTTCCACTGCTGGTCCGGGATAGTTACCCACCTTTGCGCCGTAGTTCCACTGCTGGTCCGGTGTTAGTTAGTAGTTACCCACCTTTGCGCCGTAGTTCCACTGCTGGTGCGGTATTAGCTACCCACCTTTGCGCCGTAGTTCCACTGCTGGTCGCCCAGTGATCGGTGACACTCGGCCAGAGTGGGCGACTCGTCGGCGGCAGACGCCTGCAGACACCGCTCCCCCTGCGAGAGCTCCTGGCGACCCGTCTCCCGGAACACCTGGGAGGGGGAGGCCCGGGGTGTCAGAGCTAACTGTACACCTGAGAGGGGGAAGGTGGTGTGTCAGACCTGGGGCACCCACACTCCGGACCATAACAGCTATCAGACGGAGCAATGACAACTTGAGATCATGAAACGCTTTGTTGTTACATGTCCTTGCACTTCGACTAACACACTCATCGTAAAAAAACTTGCGATATAAGTGGGTTTGTTCGTAAACGCCGAGAACATCGCATGTCAACGGTGTCTTGATCTCAGTTATTGACACAGGAAGCCCGGCCACGGTTATGAGAACGGGCAGCGGTTTGAACACATCTTTTTCCCCGTCCTCCGTACCGGAGTACCGGGAAAAGATTCCTCCGTGCACATTGGCCTAGTCTGGGAATGGTTGTACCTCTGACCGGTTGGACCACTGACCTGGTCTGGTCTGGTCTGGTCTGGTCTGACCTCTCCACTGACCTGGTCCGGGTGGTGGTCTGCACACTCCCCCAGCGAGGCGCCCGCTCCGTCCGCCACTCGCAGGCAGAGCCCTGTGCCCGCCAGTCTCAGCCGCACCGAGCCGACCGTGCGGTCGTGCGCGGTACCGGGCAGGACGAGCCCGCCCGGCTGCCGGCCGCGCGTCTCCGGTACCTCCAGCTCCGGGTACACCGTCTCCAGGTACCTGAGAGAGGGGAGGGACGGTGAGGGAGGTACACCGTCTCCGGTACCTCCAGCTCCGGGTACACCGTCTCCAGGTACCTGCGGGAGGGGAGGGACGGTGAGGGAGGTACACCGTCTCCGGTACCTCCAGCTCCGGGTACACCGTCTCCAGGTACCTGCGGGAGGGGAGGGACGGTGAGGGAGGTACACCGTCTCCGGTACCTCCAGCTCCGGGTACACCGTCTCCAGGTACCTGCGGGAGGGGAGGGACGGTGAGGTACATACACCGTCTCCGGTACCTCCAGCTCCGGGTACACCGTCTCCAGGTACCTGGGGGAGGGGAGGGACGGTGAGGGAGGTACACCGTCTCCGGTACCTCCAGCTCCGGGTACACCGTCTCCAGGTACCTGCGGGAGGGGAGGGACGGTGAGGTACATACACCGTCTCCGGTACCTCCAGCTCCGGGTACACCGTCTCCAGGTACCTGCGGGAGGGGAGGGACGGTGAGGGGAGGTACACCGTCTCCGGTACCTCCAGCTCCGGGTACACCGTCTCCAGGTACCTGCGGGAGGGGAGGGACGGTGAGGGAGGTACACCGTCTCCGGTACCTCCAGCTCCGGGTACACCGTCTCCAGGTACCTGCGGGAGGGGAGGGACGGTGAGGGAGGTACACCGTCTCCGGTACCTCCAGCTCCGGGTACACCGTCTCCAGGTACCTGCGGGAGGGGAGGGACGGTGAGGGAGGTACACCGTCTCCGGTACCTCCAGCTCCGGGTACACCGTCTCCAGGTACCTGCGGGAGGGGAGGGACGGTGAGGTACATACACCGTCTCCGGTACCTCCAGCTCCGGGTACACCGTCTCCAGGTACCTGAGAGAGGGGAGGGACGGTGAGGGAGGTACACCGTCTCCGGTACCTCCAGCTCCGGGTACACCGTCTCCAGGTACCTGCGGGAGGGGAGGGACGGTGAGGGAGGTACACCGTCTCCGGTACCTTCAGCTCCGGATACACCGTCTCCAGGTACCTGCGGGAGAGGAGTGATAAAACAACTTTTGAGCCCACGAACGATATATTCATTCCATAAACCGGTAAGTACTTGTAAACGTGCTCAATACTTATCGATGGTTATTTCAAATTCTTTTTTTTTCTGCTAATAAATCCGCTGACACTGAGTGAGCCTGATATATTAGCTACCAATCCTTCCCGCTCACCATTTAAAGGACTTGCAGTTGAGTTTCTGTCGGAGTTTGATCCGGCTGGAGACGTCTCCGTACTCCATCCCCGCAGCGTCCGGAAACGCGTCGTAAAAGTGGTCCTGAGACGGCGAGCGGACAGGTCGGGTCATCAGTCATAATCACGGAACGAACACTGCGAGAGATGCATGATATGACAAACTAGAAACCCAATCAGAATATAACACTCACTTAATGATCGACGGCATCCCAAATAAGCCAGACTTATAATCTGTCACACAGCCACGGCGCTGAGCGCTGAACTGTTCTGACCGGGTACCGTATAGCTCGATACACGGTATACGGTACCTTATAGTACCTTGTACGGTACACGGTACCTTGTACGGTATAGGTACCTTGTACTCGTCGAGCCAGACGAGTACGAGCCGCAGCAGGTTCTGCAGCGTGGAGCGCGTGCCCTCGGGGTTATCGTAGGGCCGCCGCTTCCTGAACACGTGACCGATACGGGAGCAGGGCACGATCTGCATCCGGCCGCCGCACATCCACACCTGGACCGGGAACGGGGTCAGAGATCAGACATCAGAAATCAACAGCCAGCCGCGGTCAGACACGGGTTAGTGGTCAGAGGAGATGTTTAAATAATGTAACATCTAAAGCTAAAATATATCATACAATTACACATATGGCCTCCGCCAAATAAGCCATGACACACCGGTCACCGTACAGCTACAAGCGCCCCAGTTGAAGCGCCACTCTGGGCCGACGGCCGCTCTGAGTGGGCGCTGTCCCTGAAGTGGTCCGTCACGGACTGTGTGTACACACGGTCGTATCGGCACGGACCGCACGGCACTCACCCTAAACGACAGCTCGAGGTTCTCGCCTCCCCAGATGTCCATCCCCTCGTCGTAGCCGCCCAGCTCGAAAAAGTACCGCCGGTCCATGGCGAACAGACCACCGGCCATCGCTGGGGTGCTGCCGGGAGCGGGGGGGGGGGGGAGGGGGATCACAGACCGGTCCGAGTCACAGCAGCACTGCAGGAGCGCGACAGGCGAACAGGCAGACCATGCGACACGGTCATGGAACAGAGTCCTCACTATTCTCATCGTTTGTACTGAAACTATAGGCACATGCGTTAACCCTGCGCTAAACGTACGCTAAACGTACGCCAAAGTCAGCAGCTATCATATCGGATCATAATCTATCGGTATCCTGAACTTCCCGTACACAAAAACTCCCACTCAGGTCTCGCGTCATTCTGAGAAGTCCGCTCTCCCTTCGCAGTTCGAACTATGCACGGGTCGCGAGGCCGCAGCGTCACTTCCCTTAACACTCGTCCTGACCTACCCGCTCCCCTTCCGTCAATCGCTCCATGGGCTGGACGACCTACCCGCTCCTCTCCCCCTCCCCTCCCCGTCACTCACTCTATGGGCTGGACGACATACCCGCTCCTCTCCCCCTCCCCTCCCCGTCACTCACTCTATGGGCTGGACGACCTACCCGCTCCCCTCCCCCTCCCCTCCCGTCACTCACTCTATGGGTCGCACGTGGTCCTCGTCGGTCCGCAGCCTCTCCGGCGGCACGGCCACCCACTTGAAGTGCATCTCCCAGCCGAAGCCGCCGCGCACCAGTGGCGAGGCCGTGTAGCGGAACGTGTCGGCGCTGATGACGTCGATGACGGGCACGGTGACGGTGCGCCGGTCGGCGGCGATGGGCGCCAGCAGCGGCCGCAGCCAGTCCGTGTTCACCTCCACGTGCGAGTCGAGAAACACCAGCACCTGACGGACGGCGGGGGGGGGGGGCGATTAACGGAGGTAGGCGGATTGTGAGAAAGGAAGATGACGCCGCATCAAAGCCTACAGTGTAAATTAAAAATCCGCCACCAGCAGAGCATACATACAATACAAATGATTACAAACAATTCGGTAGTGTGTTCAGTTTTCCCTCCCAGTGCGGTACATTGAATTATGAGTTCAAAGAGCACACTCCGGACACGCCCGTGGCCGTGGCATTTCAGTGAACATTGGCTATTGCAGCTTCGCCGATAGAGATACAGAGCCTTATAACGAAACACCCAGCTACCGCTTTGATATGCTGAGCAATTCAGCGTTGTTACAGGGGCCAAAGGTTGCACAATCGATCAATGACGTGTGATAAGCTAAATCCAACTACTTGAAACGGCGTTCCCTTTCGCAAATAAAACGGTGGTCAGATAGGCCACACGAGTGCCGTGTCGAAATCCCTCGTGGTCGTAAGTACCAAATGTGAAGTACCTTTCAGAGCAGGGCCATCCATCTAGTGGCATCTATGACTACATACGACCCCACGCCGGCCAGAACGCAGTCTTCACAGCGGCATCATCTGATCCCCGCGCTCAGCCAAAACCCGACACTCGTGATCGAGCGATCCGATAAATCCGAAACAGGTTTAAGCCGCGGTCAGATCCTCGACCCCCGGGCTCGATATCTTTCATTCCCCTTCCCAGAGGTTTAGCTAGCGGGTTCGGTCAGAGGACTCGCGGTGTGCTACCTGGCTCTGCCCTCCCCGCCGTTCCGCCCCGTGTCTGCCCACTGGTCGGACGCCACGGAGCCCGTCACGTACCTTTCCAGTGGCCTCCGCAGCCCCGCGCAGCCGGGCGCGGATCAGACCGAGCCGAATGTCGGACCGGATCAGACGCACCTGGGAACGACCGCCAGACGGTTATCAGAGACGGAGACGGAGACAAGAGACGGCTACTGAGACGGAGACGGTCACAGAGCCAGCATAAATAGTTAGACCGAGACGGGGGACAGCTACAGAGACGAGCATAACATACAGAGACGGAACGATCAAGAAAACTATACAGAGTCAGGGACGGGAGACTAGAAAAGACGGAGACGATTGGAGACAGGCCGGACGGAGGGTGGAACAGAGCAAGAGACATTGAAAAGAGAACTGATGAATAACAGAAGAACAGCGACGATGTTCACTTACGAGCCAGGCAACAATATCACAGCCTAACGGTAGGCATGAAGCGAGGAGACGCCACTCATGAACGCAAGATTATGAGACAATACGGTATCGCTAAGCATCGAAGCGATATCGCGCAATGACTGACAAATGTACGATACACACGAGAGTTGACGAGTCACGTGCCTCTCAGCTAGAGGACGCGCCGATATCGAACACAACAAACGCGTCAGTGCGAGCGAATCAAACACACGGCGGCTTAGCAACGAATAATAAACCGGCAAGCCTATCAGGATATATATATCACATCAGAAGCAAAATGGTATAAGGACAGTGGCAAATTGGGGGGTTGGGAGATTGCCCACCACTAGAAATCGGTGAGAAGCTGAACTGATTATCTGAGATCGTTGAAAAATGAGCGTCGTCGAGTCTATCGCGTGGGCTTACCTTCACCGCGACCCGATCCGCAATGCAAACTGACAGACATGTGTGAAGAGGCATTCACTGTCACAATGCATCGCATGCAGCAATAGGTTTCAGTTCGAAACGCAGAGTGCCAAAAATTCGCGAAGTTGGCATCCATAGAAGCATTTGTTATGCTACATTGCCATTTTCAATACATTTCACCCATTTAGATTTATGAAGCATGGCCTAAGATCCCTCCACAAAATCGCTTTTCGTAAAATAGTTCGGTCGTTATAGCACATAAAACCCGTTCTTCCCCGCTCCCTCCATCCCTCGGCTCCACCATGTCACAGGTCATCCCGCCCTCCCCCGGGCCCGGCCACGCACCGCGTGCTGCAGCTGGCGGCTCTCGATGTGCGCCCGCACGGCCGGCGCCAGGGTCGGGTCGTCGCTGCTGTCGTCCACCAGCAGCACCTCCCGCAGCAGGTGGGCCGGCGAGCGCTCCAGCAGCGCCTGCAGGGTGCGCAGCAGCACCGTCTCGTCCTCGTTGTAGAAGCAGATGACGACGCTGACGTCAGGCAGCACAGACGGGTACGTCTGGTTCTGGCACCTGCGCAGGAAACAGCGGCTGTCAGTACAGCGTCTGAGGCTCAGTTCCTCTCTGAACGGTCTGAGGTCAGACTGCTGCTCAGATATCGGTTAGGGCATATCATCCTGTCCCCACCCCACCCCACAGACTGGGGGCCTGCCCCATAGCTCAGTTGGTGGAGCCTCTTAGTGCTGGCGCTAAGAGCCCAGGTTAAATGCTCCACGTTGACTATGTAAGACTTCCTGACAGGGATGGTCTGTAGCTGAGGCAGCAGCCCATAGCTAGCTGAAGTCAGTGAGTACAGACCACAGTCGGCCTTGTGGGCACATTCAGCTTCTGAATTCTCCAGACAACCCACAGCTTCCCAATGCAGTGCTGGTGGCTGGACATCAACACCAGCTCAACATGCTCAGCTAGGTATGACTTCTGGCTTGGTCAATCAATTAAAAAAATCGAAATAAATTTATCAAAGGAAAGCTAAATAAATGCATTGGCCCTAAGATAACTTTACATACAGATACACCTTGCTGTTCCAGTCCAGCCCATCCCCACTAACCAGCTGTGTCTGGTATCTGGGACGGCACGCTCCAGTCCAATCCGATCGCTGACCAGAGTGTTGAATGCATGTTTCTCGTACCCCTCGGTCTTCTTACGACGGTCTGCCTCTGATCCAACCCTGCCCAGTCTCTCCATATCAGGCCCTGCCCCACCCCGGGCCTCATGTCTGGCCACCGGTCTCAGGCGTCTTGGCTCGGTGGTGCGCTGGGATGGCTCTGTGGTGAGCGGTGCCGGCGATGAGGCAGAGCCGGTGCCTCCCTCCAGACCCAGGTAGAGGTAGAGCAGCATCAGCCAGCAGGCACAGACAGCACACATGGCCAGCAGGGTCCAGTGCACCTTGAGGCAGAGCTGCATTGTGCCCAGATGTCGAACCTCTGAGAGATACATGGAATGGTAATTTGTCATGACAGAAAACACATTTCAGCAGTAACATGTCCCAGAAAAATCTTATCAAAATGAAACTAAAATAGCTACAAACATCAATGACTGAAGCCTGATAAATCGACCACTCTCCATCCCTTTCTAACTTGATTAATTCTTCAATTCAACTTCAAGTTTCGACTCACCATGATCACTTCTCCTGTGCCGGTGGACAACTGGGTGCCTTCCATTTCCATGTGGAATCCTATGAGTCAGCATCATTCCCATTTTGTCATAACTCTGTATAAAGCTTTCGTATCAGAGTTGAAGCAATGCGGAGCAATAATACTTCAATAACTAGTGCAATAATCACACGTCCCCTCAGAGTCAGAGTGAAAGCAGCGGCGAGCAGCTGTTGTTTATGTTATTTGCGCCGTTTTTCATCTGCGTCAACAATTGAATAAAAACCTCAACATTATTTTATTTCACTTCAAATGAGGAAAAATTTTAATTGATTTATGCAAAAAAACAAAATTTATTTCATGATTTTTTTTGTGCTTAACTGTTCCTTGGAAATCCCTTGTTTATCAGTATGAAATTGGTTGGAGTCTTTCATATTAATTAAAAAACTATGCGGTATCTGTTGCGATATTGGCGCAATAACAAATCAACCAAAGATGAAAGAAATCTTTTAGATAGAATTCTAGCACCTACGTCACAAAATCTGCAAATACTTGAAATGGCTCTGGATGTTTTCAGGCATTAACATGAAAAGAGGATTACTGGTGCCTCAAAAATAAATTTCCTAACAAAATTATTTGTTATAACTGCATTTACCGAAAACCTCAAGCAGCAAGATCGGCATTTACTTCAATGTACGAGCCCAAATTATGGTGACGTCAGTAAATGAGATTAGTCTCTAAGACACACTTAATTGCCTTTCGGCGTGGCCACTGGGGAGAGCGGCGGTGGTGTGTGTGTTGTGGGGTATAGGTATATGTTGAATATTTATTATTTTATCAAAGTAAGACATTGAATTTTTTAAGTTCTAGTGAAATAATGACATGGCTCATTTGTAAAATTTATGTTTCAATGACTTGCCACATCAGTTATATATTAAAGGTTAAATGTGGTGGGCCCATCTGGACAGATTATTGTTAATCCTTTCCCGCGGCGCATTTTCCATAATATGCATGTTATTGCCCACCCATTTAATTAACTGGTACTCGAAATACCTATTATCATTTTTTATGCAGGGTGGCCCAGAATTGACAAATTTAGGAACATGGGTCAAACGATGTGAAGCTTCTCGGCCACGAACTCGCTGCCTCCAAGTTAGGAGATGGACGCCTTATCCACTAGGCCACGGGGAGGATAGGTACCAATACAGGCATTATGCATTTATAGGACATCCCTCAGCTCTTAAGCTTGAGTACTGTGTGCTGTCACTTGTCAGTGACTAGTCATGATTTCAGATATTTTTCTTAAGTCAGTAAGTTAAGTAAGAGAAGGTACTTGATATCTAGTCCCTTTCATTTTTAGCCTGGGCTGCCAAAAGGCAATGCTCTGAATCAATTCCATTTTTAATCTTGTGACCCGGCTTTGGGGCCGTTTTGCTGGTTAGCTTGTGCAGCACATCTTAGAGCAGTTAAAAATAATTTGAAGCTAGTTATATCAGAAATAAAGGCCAGCAAACTGCAAAGGCAAGTTGACAAGCCCTGTTGCGGCAACACTAGACACTCTCCAGCTGTGAAGCAGGTATCTGCCATTGCATGGTCAAAAAATGCCACCAATCTACTCATCCACCAGCCAAAAGACTGACTAGGGCTTGATACAAAATATCAGTATTTTTCACCACCTTTTCTTTGGCAAAGTTTTGATTTGGGGCTTCTGGCCTGGATTAGCTGAAAATGTGGTTGCATTGCCACAAGGCAGTCAAAAGTCATAACTAATTCAAACAAAAACTGGTCAAAACATTTTTTTGTCTCATGGATGTCCAGTTAAGATATTCTGCCCTTTCAGCAGCTAAAAAAGCTGTGTGTATGTCAGAAGGTAACAGTGCTCCATCAGCAGAGAAGACAAGATGTGTAGCATGTTGTGTGAGGCATTTTTAGCCACTGTTTACTTAGTCAGCTTCAGGTCTACTCATTCAGCTTTGTGTGGTGCTAAAAAAAAAATCAGTACCACAGTGCTACTGTGGTGACTTTCTAGCAAAACAAGGAATGCATGCCGTGAAATCAATGGCCATAAACGGGTTTGTTTTTGGAAACCAAAGCTGCTGGGAGCGAAAGGTCGCGCCATGTGTAGGTATGGAGGTTCTTCTACTTCAGGCATGAAAGACAACGCAACAATGGTATTAGGTATAGGCATCATTTTTTTGCAGCCAGTCTGGCTGTAAATTTGATCGAACATGCCCGTAGTAGGGATGCGGAGCCGTAAAATTTTCAGACGGCTCCGGCTCTGAAGAAAAAAAACTGCTCCGGCTCCGGGTGAAATGTCATTGCGGCTCCGGCTTCGGCTCCGAATAAAATGGTCCGGCTCCGGCTCCAACTCAGTACATTTCCTATGCGATCAATTACATAAAGACGGGTGGCCAAAACAATGGCTATCACCTGATGACCGGTCCTCAGGTTCTGGGGATACAGTAGACGTGGGGAGGGAGGACTGCAGACAGGAGGTTGATAGCGTACTGTGGGACACTGGTAATACGTGTTCAGCTTTTTTCATTCACGTGATGACGTAGGTACCACATGTTTTACTGTCTTGTACTGTCAAACCGAACTAGATAAATTGATTTTTCCTCTTAAAAAGCGCCGGAGTCTTTGACGGCTCCGGCTCCGGGCAAAATGTGCCGGCCCGGCTCCGGCTCCGGCTCCGCACCCCTGGCCCGTCGTGTTTTCCGGGAAGAGTTCAATCAAAAGCGGCTTTCAGCCACTTTCGGGAGACCCGTAAAACAACGAAAGCCAGCACGGGTCGGCATGCAACTCCATTGCTGGTTGATATTGTGACCAGCGTGTCGATTGCATGCGTCACTTCGTAGCTGCACTAGTTGACAGAATCGGACTGTAAACAGGAGAAAGTGCAATTTCCCTTATCCTATACGCTGATAAACACTGTTCGATCAATTCTGTGGTCTTACATGAATGTTTGTTGGCATCCTGGCATTGAACAGTCGAGCGCGAATTTGGGCCCATAATCATTCATTGAAGCATTGTTTTTTTTTTCACAGTAGGATGTTTGCAGAAGTAAAATAAACTGTTTTGCCCAATGGTTTCCTTATAAATGATTCTGTTAGATTCGTCACAACTGATCATTGGTCTTCCTGTGATGATATGGTTTGACTTTGTCATTAACACAACACGTTTTCGCCCGGCAGGTATTACTGAAGCCTCGGCTCCCAGATAGCGGTTCACAATGACCGAGTACGACCTGTCGATGACGGTGGCGTCCTACCTGGACCGGCACATGGTGTTTCCGCTGCTGGAGTTCCTCTCCCGGCTCGAGGTCTATGACGAGACCGACATCAACAAGTGCCGGCTCGAGCTGCTCAAGGGCTCCAACATGGTGGACTACAACATCGATATCCTGGAGCTGGTGTACCCGGACCGCGAGGTGCCGGCCGAGATCAACGACCGCCGCAGCGAGGTCATCCAGGAGTGGAACGAACTCAATCTGGAGACGAAGCCCATCTTCGCCATCCTCCACGACGAGGAGGTGAAAAAGCAGATCCAGGTATCGCGCGACTCGAAGCAGCTAGTCGACTTCCTGGTGGAGCGGTTCAACTTCAAGGTGGAGATGATGGACACGCTGTACAGGCTGGCCAAGTTCAACTACGAGGTGGGCAACTACGGCCGCGCCGCGGAGTGTCTGTACCTGCATAAGGTGCTGGTGCCCACCAACGACAAAAACTACCTGAACAGCCTGTGGGGCAAGTTCTCGTCGGAGATTCTGATGCAGCACTGGGAGGCGGCCGTGGAGGACATGAACCGGCTCAAGGAGTACATCGACAACCACCCGTTCAGCAGTGACGCCCAGGCGCTGACGCAGCGCTGCTGGCTCATCCACTGGAGCCTGTTCGTGTTCTTCAACGCGCCCAAGGGCTACGAGCTGCTGATCGACATGTTCCTCTACCAGCCCAACTACCTAAACACCATCCAGACCATGTGCCCGCACATCCTGCGCTACCTGGCCACGGCCGTGGTCATGAGCCGCCAGAACCGGCCCAACGCGCTCAAGGACCTCGTCAAGGTCATCCAGCAGGAGTCGTACTCGTACCGCGACCCCATCACAGAGTTCATCGAGTGCCTCTACGTCAACTTCGACTTTGACGGCGCGCAGCACAAGCTGGAGGCCTGCGAGGCCGTGCTGGCCAACGACTTCTTCACCGTCTCCTGCCCGGCCGACTTCATCGAGAACGCGCGGCTGATGACGTTCGAGACGTTCTGCCGGATCCACCAGGTGATCAGCATCAACATGCTGGCGCAGAAGCTGAACATGGACCCCAAGGAGGCGGAGCGGTGGATCGTTAACCTGATCCGGCAGGCGCACCTGGACGCCAAGATAGACTCTGCGCAGGGCCACGTCATCATGGGCCAGCAGGCCGTGTCGCCCTACCAGCAGCTCATCGAGAAGACCAAGCACATCAGCTTCCGGGCGCAGACGCTCACAGACACCATCCGGAAGAAGCTGAGCGCCAAGAACCAGGAGCACGGCGGCTGGGCGGGAGACATGTGACCAGCTGCCGGTCGGTAGCGCCAGCGACACTGTGGACTTTTAATATACATTCGGATGGTTCGCGGAGGACGTGAGGGTTTTTATCTGACGGTCGAGTGTCGGTAGTGGCGGGAAGAGAAGGGTTGATAGGGAGATTAGTTGCGTAGATCAATGTCTTGTGCACTCGGTCACACATCTGACATCATGGGTTTCATACCACTTTGTACTCAATTTGGCCCACGCATTTTCGATACATTTTTAAACAAGTTGCCTAAAATCACGTCAGTTGGCAAATATATTGATGACACGCGCCTCATTGGCATCAGCCGCGGTGGGCGAGCCAGGACACAAAGCGTCACCTCAATGAAAGCCCGAGGGTACACGCGCGGGTCGTCACAATATAGGCACGCGAGTCTGGCAATACATACAGATAATATAACACCTCAACACATTACCCAGTGTATAATAATCAAAGCCACGAAGGACTGTAACATCCTCTTCAGCGGGTTCGATCCCAAGGGTGGGGTCACTTAGGCTCGAACCCGAACTGGAATGTGGCTATCCCGATAAGTTAATTGAGTTAGCACCGCCGCCCAGAGTACGGTAACAATTTTAGGGGAATGTCGTCAATAACGCTATCCGCGCCGCGCCGGACGATGGCCAGGGGCCGCCCAGGGCCTCGTTTCATAAAGCGAGTCCGTAACTTACGCCGGTTTTTGGGCTTGTATTGCAAGTGCATGTGAAGCGATGGCGTTAGTTTAAATCGTTGAATTTATTTATCTTGTAAGCAAGAACAGAAGGGAGAAGGGGAAATAAATTTATCGCTTCACATGCACTTGCAATACAAGACCAAAAACCGGCGTAAGTTACGGACTCGCTTTATGGAACGAGGCACTGGACTCGGTTCCCCACAGCAGAGGCACACCAGCGTGCCCACGGCTCCCTCCTTGTACTGGGTCCGAGTACCCGCTGTACCGCGGCAGCTGCCGTCTGACTGGGCCCGCCGGGGTACAGCCGCAGCCCCGCGGTACAGCCTCTGGCAGAGCGGCCGCTCAGAGGAGGCCGCTCTCGGCCATCCGCTGTCAGAGGACGCCCTCGTCGCGCCGCTGGCCGGCCTCGAGCGCGTCTCGCAGGCTCGAGGTGACGCCGAACAGCTGGTTAAAGTGGCGCACGTACAGTTCGCAGTGTTCGCCTGAGAACCGGAGCGGACAGACGGGTCAGCCACAGGTCACAGGGGGTTCCTGGTATAAATGGAGCATTCAAACAGAATATGATGGTAGTCCAGTAACAGAGCAATGTCCCCCAACAGTCCGGCCACTCACCGGGCGCAAAGTCCACCTTCCCCTTGGTCCGGTAGTTCCTCTCCTCGAAGAACTTGAACGTGGTGTAGAAGAGGTCCGGGTCGCCTGAGTTCATGGCCACGTCCAGAATTTTCCGCGCCGACAGACCGGACACCATCTCATTAGCCCTGGCGTACCTGCCGACACGGGGAGGGGCGCGTCACTCAGGGGACGCCTGCCACCCAGCCATACTGGGTCCTGGGAGTGGGAAGACGTGTCATTCCTTTAATTTTGTTGTTTTTTAAGGCGAAAAAACTAAATTCCAAAATTACCCGTCTCAGGTACCAACTGGGCATGGCCTGGTAAATAAATACATATCGTATTTATTGTATTAAATGTGTATCGCCGAGACGTGCCACCTGTCCCCAGCTGGCATTATGAGATGTGGGTACGCACCTGAGGGCGGCCGTGACGTCGTTCCTGGCCAGCATGACCTCGATGATCTCTTCGTTGGCGTTTCCGAGCCGCTTCAGCATGTCCAGGGCCATCTGCTCCGCCGCCGGGTACACGCTCTGACACAGGGGAGGGGTAGTTTAGCTGGTGGAACTCTTCAGATACACACTATAAGTCTGAGAACGGCCGGGGAGGCGCTGCCAGTAGAGCCCAGATACACACGGAATACGGGGTGGGGGCGATGGCAAGCACAGGACCATCCAAATCCACACTCCGAGCGCAACCACTTGGTACTCACTGACGACATTTATTCTCACACATTTCAATCGATACATACTCGCTCGCTCTCTCGCTCTCTCTCTCTCTCTCTCTCTCTCTCTCTCTCTCTCTCTCTCTCTCTCTCTCTCTCTCTCTCTCTCTCTCTCTCTCTCTCTCTCTCTCTCTCTCTCTCTCTCTCTCTCGCTCTCTCTCTCCCACCCGACTGACCTGCAGTGAGAGCAGCAGGCAGGCGAGCGGCTTGCTGTCGTCGACGGCGTGGTACTGCAGTAGCTGCTGGAGCTGATAGAAGCAGCCGCGCAGCACCAGCGTGTTGATCAGCATCTCGTACAGAAAGTGTTCCACCGACACACCGTGCTGCGTCAGCGACCTGACACGGCAGTGTTACAACTCAGTGTCACCACTCAGCAGGGGGGCTGGAGCATCTAATACTAGACGTCAACAAACTCATGTCGATATTAATCTATCGCACATACAAGCCAGTAGCGCCGATAAAGAGCGATCTACTTCAAGGGCCGCACAAAACTCGAAACTCTCGGCACATCAATGCATTTCACCACACCTCGAAGCATCTCCGACCCCCCCCCCCTCCTCCCCCTCCACCCTGCTCTGCCCAAGACGGCACCTGGCACACTCGACCCTCCTCCCCGACCTGCCCCTGCCGGTACCTGACACACCCGACCCCCCCCCCCCCCTGTCCTGTCCGTGACGGTACCTGACACACTCGACCAGGACGCCGGTGACCCAGCGCTGGTCGGCGCGACTGCCCATCTGCTGGCTGACCAGGTCGCAAAGCACCTCCGAGTGCAGGTCCGACTGGGTGATGACAAACGGCGCCGGCTCTGTGGGCGCCACCGGCGGCGAGGTGCCCAGCGCCGAGACCGGCGAGCCCATCTGACGGCCGGAGCGGCACCGGTCAACGGGACGAGAGCGCAACAGGAGAGCACTTAGCGGCGCAGTCGCGGTCGTACCGCAGTCAAAAATAGCACGCAATCTGTGTCTGTGATTTGTGAATGCGTCTCCCTTGTTCCTATAGGACAGAGCACACAATCGGCGACTAGCAAATGCCATAATACAGTCAACTACGTGGCAAAAACCTCGCGAGGCGAACAAAACATTCTAGAAAAAACATTGAAAACCACTGCACCCGGCCCGGCCATCCCAGCCGGCCGCAGCGCGCCGCTCTGCCCCGCCGGCCGCAGCCCGCCCCTCTGCCCAGCCGGCCGCAGCCCGCCGCTCTGCCCACCTGCGAGCTGACGGTGTGCTCCTGCTGCCGCCGGGTCTGCTCGTTCAGTAGGTCCAGCACGCCGCCCACGTCCGCCAGCCGGGCGCGCTCCGTCTGGCGCAGCAGCAGCCGGCGCAGCAGGCGCAGCAGCACGGGCCGGCCGGCGGCGCGCGCCAGTAACAGCCGCGCCGCCGCCACCGGGTCCGGCAGCGCGCCGGGGATCGCCGCCGCGCACAGCTCCAGCGTCCAGAAACAGCCCAGCTTGGCGTCGATGATGATGTTGGGCTGGAACACCACCCAGGTGGCCGCGTCTGCGGGGCGCTGGTTAAGGAACTATCACAAGACATGTACTAAAACGGAAAACTATACCGAAATCCGGGTTCACGTAGTCCGCGATAAATTGTGAAAAAAAAAATCAGCACTGATCCTATACTCTAATAACGTCAGCGGTGTTGAATCACACATTCAGCAGGTCAGAAGGCACAAACCCCCAGCCACCGATCCCATGAGGACGCCACAGCCCCTGGCGCTCGTCCCCGTCCCTCTCAGAGGACCGCTCGTCCCGGCCGCTCTCTCTCAGAGGATACAGAGCTCGCAGGCGAGCTGCGCAGGCTCGTCGGCATCCAGCGCGGCGGCGCCGGCGCTCAGCCGCAGGTGGAACGGTCGGATGGCGGCCGGCGGCGCCACCGGGCGCTGCAGCGGGGCCGCCACGCCGGCGGCGTCTCCGGCGGGCGGCAGCGTGATGTCGAACACCTGGGAGGTCTGCCAAGAGCGGAGAGGGGGTGAGAGCCTGAGAGGACGGCGCGGACGGCGCGGCCCTTGGACTCCTGTGCCTAAGTCGGGACTCTTGTTCCCACCTTGGACTCCTGTGCCTACCTTGGACTCCTGCGCCTACCTTGGACATCTGTACCTAATCTTGAACTCCTGTGCCTACCTTGGACTCCTGGTGGTGCACGATGACAAGGTTGTCTATGATCGATATGGCGAAATTGCCCCGTGCGTTCAGCTGCAGGGTGCTCGTACGCGAAATGCTGCCGTCTCTGCCGAGTAGAGGGGGGGGGGGCTATGTTAGCATGGTGCACGTACGGGGACCCGCGGCCGCAGTTGCTACTGTACAGTGACCCTGAGTAAACTGTCCCAGCACCCTCACAGGGAACAACGATAAGCTGTCAGAGGACACGCACATAAAACCTCAGCTGCTCTTAAACCAGCATTCCGGCAGTCCGGAACCGGCAGTCGATATCAATGTTATCGGTTGTTACTGGACAGGACAGACGGTTAGAGTTGGGGTTCGTGTAAAGTAGCAACTGCGGGTCCCCGTACTACCATTTGGCGACATTACAGTTGAGCAAACAGCAAAGATATGCATACACAATATATGTCGGACCATGATGCTCCACGGTGTAGTTCGGATCCATTGGCTCAACGCTGCGTGGCGTGGTTGGGACCTACTTGTTGGCCCACTCCCCTCCACTGTGGTCGGGACTCGGGACCCACTTGTTGGCCTGGTGGACGCGGATCTCTGCGGGTTGACCGGCGGCGTCTGCGGCCGAGCCGGGCGGCGCGTGCAGTAGCGCCAGCACCGTCAGCTGGCCGTGCAGACTGCACACGGTGACATCGTGGCAGTGGAGCGCCAGGCGCGCCGGCCGCGGCGCCTCCAGCAGCTCCACTGCCAGGGCGGACGGGAGAACGGGGGGGGGGGGGACGGTAATACCAGCAACTCCAGTGCGCGGCGGACGGGGGGATAAAAACCGGGTATGAAAATTAATGTCTGACGACTGCAGACACCAACACCGCGCATTAGCTCAGCTTCTCCCGCTCCTGATCACAGATCGCAAGCTAGCAGACTAAAATTTATATGCATTCCTTTACTGTTAAAATCATTTTCCTTCCCTTCCGAATATTTCAATGTTGAGTGGAACATTAAACCCTCAGTACAAAACCCCTAGCTACCAATTATTTCAACAAACCAGTGCCAGGTAGTGCCAGACACACCCCCTCCCATCCCGCCCTGCTGACCACACCGGCACACTGACCACCCCTCTCCCCCTGCCCTCCCCGGACCTCAGCGCCCCGCCGCCACCCCGGCCCCGCTCACCGTCGAATTTGGCCAACTTGGTCATGGTGCCGGCGGCCCGGAACGCGAACGGCTGCAGCGTATTGCCGAGCGCGCCGGTGGACACCAGCAGGTAGGACAGTTCCGCGGAGAACACACACCAGTTGGACGACAAGCTGCACGTCTTCAGCGACTTCAGCTGCCGCCGCGACGGCACCACCTGGGCGGCCGGGGGAGCGGGCACAGCGGGCAGGTCAGGTCAGGTCGGAGACCGGAGGGCGGCAAGGAAGAGTCAGTGGTCAAATGTCTGGGGCAGACCAGATGGAGCGGCCAATAGCAATGAAGATACTCTCACGTGTAATACGCGATGAACTCAGACTAGTTTCCCGCTATCAGGCAGACGGCCGGCCCCACCTGGTAGTGCTCGACGCCGCGGTCGGTGACGTACACCACTTCTGAGTCGGCCACCCAGAAAAAGTCCACGATCGTGGCGCTCTTGCTGCGGCAGCTCTGCGAGTACTCGGCCTCCGAGTCGCGGTTCACAAACTCCTGCCAACGAGGCGGCCGGCCGTGATCGTCACGTGACCGAGCGGCACCGCGGCGGAGGCTGCCTCGCAGGGCGGCCTGCGCGGTCAGCTGACGGTACTTGAGGGTGGAACTGTGGCGAGCACCCAGCAAAATATACCCACTTCCTTAACCAGAGAGCCTACACTGGCATATAGGCGACGAGGCGTGCTTGTACTAAAAACTATAAGCAACTCAGCTTTCTAAATAGTTCAACTGTCATACCAGCAGAGGGGATAACACAGCTGGAATTTGTAATCACAAACCTCGCCAAAGACGAAATCACGTTGGGTCTTACCACGGACGTTTTGGCCCTTTGGATGGCCAGCACCTTCATGTCCGGCGAGTATTTGATGGAGATGACCGGGCCGCGGTCCTCCATGCGGAAACTGGTGTTCCTGGCGGGGTCCAGACTCTTCACCACCACGCCCGTGGCGCCGCCCGAGCGCACCGAGAATATCTGAAACGACCGCGGCCGGCTGGCGCTGATTGGCAGCAAAGGGGGATGTGACCGTCCAAAACACCTACTGCAGTAATAGCACTGTCAATAGGGTGACATTAATTGGCAGCTGATTGCTGAATAACATAAAAAGATACCTGCTGAATGCTGGGGTGTTTTTGGCTCAATAACTTCTAGAGTGGTTTGTTCTGATGTTCTGATTTAGTCATCATTTAAATGAAAACTTAAGGAGAAGGCCTGAATGGGTGCTTAGCATGTTATACTGAAGACAGTAGCTTGTATAATTACCTGTTTGTTTGCTTCATCAAAAAAGACTGCTGTCACTTTGTTGACAGCTTCAAATCGAATAGGCTCTGGATTGAGGTACAGAAGGTGATCTTGCTGATCTGCCATTTTCAGCAACAGCTAACTGATCAAGCTATCACCTGGAGAGACAAAAAGAGTTGAAATGATCAAATTACATAATCAATAGGTAGTGAAATTCTCACTCACTTCAATATAAGCAGCAGAGGAAGAGTGTAAGTGAAAGGAAAGTGAACAAGGTGGTAGATGGGACATGCCACAGATGTCACAGATTAAAGAACATTAGCATTACTATCTGGCCAGTGGTCACTTCATAATAGGCTATTGCCACTATTGTGATATTCATATTGAAAGGGACAGGCATTAATCGATGACATAAGTACTTTTTAGCATCAAGTAAGATACTAATACTATTTCTGTAAGACCATATTCGACTATCCGATTTGGAACCACCCTAAGAAGCCGATTGACACCTTAGGACCTGTCAGGCCTATGGGACCTTTTACACCTGAGGGGGCATTTGCCCCCTGTAATGCTGTCAACAGAACAGTGGGGTGATACAGTATCAACATTGAATCACAACATTGAAATTGTACTTTTATTGATATATACTGTGAAATCAACATCATAGCTTCTCTCTCATGAGTGCTGTTCAGGAGCTGTCTTGTCGGCAGACTGACAGCCACGGTTATTTCTTGGCCTATTTGTCAAATGCTTGAGATCTGTGCTGTTGAACAGCAAGAGTATGAAATGAGAAGTGCCAGCTTGACCTTCCTTGTAAAGGAAACCCTCCAGCCCAGCATGCCAATAAAAACAGCAACTAATCAGCAATTCAGATTGGGCTGTATTTTCTTGAAAAATCAAGCATGAAAATGTTGGTGGGACAGTGACACACAGGTAAATTTGCAATGATTTAATGGAGGCAAAGTTTTGCTTTGTCCTCAGCATTTCTCAGCATTTGTTCTCATTACCAGCATTTGTTGCAGCATTTGTTCTCATTACCAGCATTTGTTGCAGCATTTGTTCTCAGTACCAGGGCGACGTAAGAGTGAGGTGAGGTGTGTGAAAATATGATCCTCATTCCTCAAAAAGCACGGAGAAACTACCTGTAATAATCTTGTGGGAAATTTGAAAAATATGTTTGATCCTGGTTTGATCAATAAATGAGAAAAATATAAAAATAGCGTAACCCGCACGGCGCACGCACGGTATATAGGGCGCACGCAAGCCTGCTATACTGCCTTGAGCCTGCCTGTGTGAAAGATTCGCAATTGAAGCAGGTGCGCAGGATCCGCATCCAAGTTTTATTCCTTCCAAATCTAGAAAGCTGCCATATTTTCCACCTATATGAAGGGAACCCTTCGTGGTCAGCTTGCTTATTAGTAAAGTAATCTTGAGCTTGCTTGAGTTTTGCTTTGGATTTCGCCAAAGTTCTCTTTATACCGTGGGTTTGGCTGGACCCTGGAGTCTTATATCTTGAAGAGTCTTGGCTGTGCCAAGGCTATGTAAACCTGACGATGAGCTGGACCAGGGCTGAACAGTGGACACCGTGCTAACTACAAACGTAAAGAGATTGGGGTCTTTCTGGGTCTTTCAACGGATGCTGAAGAGAAAGCCGAATCGGTCGAGCTCCTCTGTCGTTCCAAGAAAGATGCTAATACCACATCAGCTCATTGAGCAGGCTTTGGTCCAGTCCAGATTTCAAGTTCGTAAAGACATCTTTTGAAGCTGAGAACGCTGCCTGGCGTCTACGTAACACGCCTCCTTGGTCCTTGAAGAGAGGCATGGCCTAGCTTTCAGCCCCAACCAGGCGAGCCGGAGCCGTGAAACACAGCGCAACTATGAATCAACAATGTATTATTGTAATTCTTAGCCCATCATTATATAATACAACACATTCATATCACTTCACGATACGCAAAGATGCAAAAAGTGTCCAATAAACTGTGAACCCATATTTGTCAACGAGCTGGGTGTAGCGCGGCGCCGTATCACTGTCGGGCGGGCGGACGGCGGCGCCGCCCCGTCCGTGGACGACGGCGGGGCGGACCGGCGGAATGGGGCCACTCCCGTCAGCTGGAGGTCCAGGCAGGCGCGCAGTTCGGCAGGTCACCAACGAAGCCACGATTTCTTAGGTGGAAGATGTTGATTAAGTCGGAGAAGCAGAGGCGTGACAGATTCGCGTATCCTCAACGTTGCGGGTAGAACGCTTCTGGGCCGAATCACTTTTTCGCTACCCTGCCAGCCCGCGACTTAGGAACGTGAAAAGACATGATAAGGAAGATGCCGGAACGCACGGCAGCAGACAAACCGATGGGCATTTTGAAGTGTGAAGCGAACTAGCCGTCCGAGCCGCCGTCGGCCGCGGCGCCGAAGGACGAGGCTCGACGCGCGCGGCCGAGCGGCACGGCTCGGGACGGGAAGCCGGGCTCCGTCCGAACGACGAGGCAGCCGGCGGTCGGCAGTAGACAAACGCGGCGCCGCGGCACGCCGGCGCGGCCCGCGCGCGGGAGTGGGAAGACTACCGTCTACCAGCGGGCGCCAAGGCCGGTGCGTGTCGCCGCGGGTGCGCGGCGGTGCGACACAGTGACCGGGCGGGCCGAGCCGCGGGTCGCGGGGGCCGCGCCCCCACCCGTACTGGCGCCAGACGGGCGCGCGCAATCACACCCATCGGGCCGGCCGGCGGCGGACAGGGCGCACTCACACCCACACGCGCTCCCCTAAACAACAGGCTTGTGCGAAACTCGCCGACACCGCGGCGGGGCAGCACCGCGCGGCGCGGCGGCAAGACACGTGAAGAAGAAATGGAAACGGAGAGCACCGCCCGAAAACTGCACAATCGCGCGGCCACGCTATTCGGCGTAATTGCACTCGTTCGCTGGTATGTCAATGGCCGCATGCACGCCCCCTACCACGCGCACAATTAGTGTAATGCATATAGGAGCCACCGAGCCGGCGACATCCCACTCGAAGCGAAGCTGACCCTACCCCGGGAGCGGCCGGCTGTCGGTCGGCCCCCTGGAACGGCGGCGGCCGGGCCGGGAGGGGGGGGGGGGAGGGGACAGGACAGCGTGGGAGCCAGGCCGTTCCTGCGAGAGGAGGAACAGGCAGGGTCGGAGTGAAGGGCCGACGACCTACTTCAGTGCCAGTGTGGGCAGCATCAAGCCACTCCAAGGAGGACGTGTGCTCTGCTTGCCACAAAGCCTGGCAGGCCGGTCAGAAAGGCCCAGTTCAGTTGGACGAAGAGCAAAATAGAGCCTGACCATACCAGCCCGACCAGTGAGGGGGTTACAAGATCAGGGAGGGGAGGGGAGGGGAGATCAGGAAGTACCGGGGAGGGAAGAGCGATCCGTGCGGCGCCGGGGACCGGTGCCGCCCCCTCTGGCGGCCGCGGCCGCCCACATGGAAGACACCGACGGCCGAGGAGCGACGCAACGCGCGCGGCGCTCATAAACTTTGAATACGAGCAAAACAACTATGTTAACAGGTACAAATATAAAATAGTTAATGATCTATGCGTGACGGTGCGCAGTGTGGCCGCGTGCCGCGCGTCCGCCGTTCACTAGCGGCCGGCGCGCCCGCCGCCTCGGCATCCCGTCGTCTCGCGCGCGCGCGATCGCTCTATGTACACTGTTTGAGCAAACCAAAGTGACCGGCGGCGGCGGCGTCTGGGCGGCAGCGCTGGCGGGCGGGGGCGGGGGCGGGGGCGGCAGCGGGTGGGGGCAGGCCGGCGCGCCAGACCCGGCCGGCCTGATATGCACCCGCCGTCACCGCCGGGGCGCGGCGCGGCGGGCACCGGCTCCGTCGGCGCGGTGCCTGTCCGTGGGTGTCTGTGCGCGTGTCGTGTCGGTGCCTGTGCTCGTCTGTGAGGGTCGGGAGGCCGCCCACGGGCGCCTTATTGCAGTGCAGCGTCCCGCGAGCCGCCGGGGGCTGGCAGCGTCCGCTCGGTTTGCCCCGCGCCGGCCGGACGGACACGATCAGGCGGCGGCGGCGGCGGCGGCGGCAGGCAGGCTGGCGGCGCCGGTCGGGCGTTATGGAATATCCACTACAGTCGGAGCCGGCGGGCGGCTGTCGAGTGGCGTCTAGCTGCTGCTGGTCGACGCCAGCGGCGAGAGTGGCGAGCTCGGCGTCCGGCCGTCCGCCTCGCGCAGACACCCGTTTATCGTCACCACCAGCTTCCGCGAGCCGGCCTCGTTACGGTGTTCGCACAGCCAGACGCCCTGCCGGCGCGCGGGCAGAGAGCGTCAGACACACCGCCCACAGGGAAAGCGCCAAACACCACACACGTACGCTGAACGCACCTCAATCGCACGGTCAGTGGGTATCTGCAGCACAGCTAGGTTTGTCTCGTAAATAAAAACGGGTAAATACTAAACAACATTCGTAAGCGAGAATCAAGAGAAAATCACCGTTGCCGAGAGCTTCGCGATTAAGTCTCCGCAAATCTGCTTGCTAAATATAGACATTGACTCAAGGACTGGGGTCCGTATTATTGTGGATGATCTAATACAGGGACACCACTGACATCACTGGAGCCGCAGCGGCGCCGCAGTCCGTCGACACTGAGTGGCCCCGTACCTGCCAGGTGCCGACGTTTAGCCGGCCGTCGGTGACGGGAATGGTGAGCGACGAGCCTAGGAAGCAGGCCTTCACGTGCGCCGGCTGAAACACGGGCCGTCGGTCAGACGGGGGCCGCCACCCGGCGAGCGGGCCGGTCGGCAGCGGCGGTGGGGCACGGAAACACTGCACTGGGACGTGTGACAGTCCAGACCAATACCAGCGCTAAACATGGCTGCATGATTATAGCACCAGAAAGGCGAGCTACAAAGAAAGCTTTATCATCAGGCTTATAAAAAGTGGTTGACCAAAGCCTGTTTGACATATATGCGAACAATTATATTAATATCAGCTGAGAGCACAACATTCTAATCATGTATAGCATTTCTGGCTGCTTTTCTCAGACAAGACACCTAACCTCCTACAATAAACCTGACTATGCCTCATACATTACAAACTGTAATAAGAGCTGCAGCATAGGCATGAAGCTAAACAGCATTTCATCATTTCCTTACCATGTCATCAGGTCCTTCAGAACAATGTTTGTATGGCAGACCCTGAGAATAAACACAAACGATTATCATAGGCAGGCTTATAAATGGCTATGAACCACCACAGGTAATGTCATTAGTTAGTAAATCTCTGCTACTCCAAAATCAGCCTCTGAAACACCAATTTTAGGTCCAATTATTAGGCATTGTCTACCATCTGCTATCACAAAGCACTCAGCATTATGACACTGCGTGCCCAGCCTGGGCCAATGATGTCTGAAGGCAGTTTGAATTGCTTAGCCTTACCTCTGGCACTATTTTGTTCAGCATCATCTCCATGTCATCCCGCACGTGTGGGTCCCAGTTCTCATTCAGTGATAGGCTGGCAGAGGTGTGCAGAACTGAAACAGAATGCCAGCCAGAAGGTTAACACTAATTGCACAACAAATGGCAAATCAGCACTTTATTATACTTGAAGGTAGGTACCATGGGCGCCGCCACCGGGGGGGACGGGGGGGACGCGTCCCCCCCACTCTCAGAATGGAAGAGGGACGTCCCCCCCCCAAACTCATTACGGAGCGAGCGAAGCGAGCTTAGTCTTTCGTAGATAACGGAAATTTCTGAGTATGAGCGGCCGGCACGCTTTTGCGAGGCTTATATCTCAGCAGCCACTTGACCGAATTACATGCGATAATTTTCGGTAGGGTAGCTTTATTCCTTCTAACAAGTGTTGGACTATTCCCGATGCATGTGGGTGACCCCTTATGCACGTGCCACGTGAAAAATGAAGTGTCAGTTTTGTAACATTTGCAATATCTCGGTAATTACTAGGCCGATTGCGCTGAAAGTTGGCATGTATAGGTAGGTACCCACTAGGCAATGCATATTCGTGTGCTATACAGTTGGGGTGCTGCTGCACGTGCGCACGTGCAGGGGTCGATTCCAGATCTCGAGAACGGCTGAACCGATTGTGCTGAATTTTGATACATGGTTAGGGACCGGTTAGTAGGATACCGTGCAAAAGTCAGTTGGGACCCATTTTGCACGTGCGCACGTGCAGGGTGCCGCTTCCAGACCAGAGCTCGAGAACGGCTAGGCCGATTGCGCTCAAATTTGGCACATCGTTAGGGGGGACCGGTTAGTAGGGTGCAGTGCACAAGTTAGTTGGAGGTACCCCCTTGCAATTTCGCACGTGCAAGGCCCACCCTCTTGCTCGCTCCGTTGGTCGCCCCAAAAGGCGTTATACTGGTTGTTATCCATACTCGAAATTTGCTTAGGCCCTTCTGTCCAATGAGGCCATTTCAGAGCCGGAAGGATGAAAGAATTAGTGGGAGACATTGGTCTGGGCAGCCACCCTAGTGAGCCACAATTGGGCTGAACCCGACCAATTGAACAGGCAGCCCAGCCCACTGGCATTCACTGCACCCGGCAAAGGACTATAGCTCCAGTGGAGCCATTCCGGCATGGGATAGTTGCCCGTCCAGCCCGGAGCAGGGGGGTTGCGGCTTGGAGGAGAAGGATTTGACTGTCCTGAGGATGGAAGAGATAGAACGGTGCCGAATCTGAGAGGGTCCAGGAGGTTTACATACTCAGTATATGGGGTGTGGGCCTACATGCATTGGTCTGACCCCTGACACCTCGGCCAACAAAATATCCAGCTCTTGTCCGACCTGTCATCGCGGAACTGCCGATTTTTGATATCGTGATCAACGTGAGTCGTATAACACGACTGGCCGAAAATGGGCCTAATATATTTCGTCAAACCAGCCAAGAGAGCATGACTAAACCAATCCGACATCGGAGTCAAAATCCGAACAATTTCGAAGACTTCAACTCCGTTTCTAGCCAAAACTATCAACTCCGACTGATTCCGGCTCCGACCCCACAGTTCTGCAGTCACACGACACTAAATTTCCAGCTTCTAAGAAATAAGCTATACGGTTGAGAGGACAACAAAACTTTGAGGCGACTTGACTCCTTCACTTGGTGACCTGACCTAAGGTTTTCTGGTAGGTATCAAGCTTGTTACACGGGCTGCAAAATCCGTATTTTGGAGCAGTTTTGCCTGATGTTTTTTGCCAATTTTCGCGGCGCTTCGCGCCGATTCATGCACGACCCAAAAAGAGAGATTGTTACTATACAACGCCCCCTCCCCCACGCGGGTGTGCAATATGCATTTCCTATGCAATATGCATTACTGATCAGATTAGTGGCATACATCAGCAATTATAGCCTGATAGAACACTGGAGGTTTTGCCGTGTGAAATTGAATCGGACATCGGGTGTGTATATAGGTAGGTACTTGGTGGGTAATCGGTCTATAGCCATACCTAAACTACTTTCCTCAAACCAGTTGTTTTGCCACAGTTATGAGTTTTTATGCTTAAAATGGTCAGAAAATAACATAATGAATATTTGCAAAGAGGATTTTATTTTATTTTTACATGAGAACTGTTTTCCATCTTTCGTAGAGGCTACTTATATTGCAGCGGAATTGCTGATTACGCGTTGACCAAGCATACTCGTATTACGTAGTTCAAACCAGCTGAATGCTGATTGGCTAGCATTTTTTCCGTAAGGGAATGGATTCCTCGGTAATGGAATGACAAAGTGTAGGTAGTCTATGGGAATGACTTCAGTCTTCAAACCTAAAATCGATACCGATATCTTTGGCTAGGGTGATCGTTGGGCCATAAAAGCTCTTGATTCGTTAATTCTTGTCTCAGCTCAAGCTACAAAACTGTTACTTCAGTTTAAAACCCTATGTTAAAAGTGGCATATTTGCTTTAAACGTTCAATATATCGGACCGAAAAAGCCACGGTAAGAATGTCTACTTTTGGGTTTTCAGTCGGTCAGTCCGTCCCCCCCAGTCAAAAATCCGTGGCGGCGCCCCTGGTAGGTACCCACACTCCCTGCCAATGGTAGGTCTCTAAAGTAGGTACAAGTAGAAAAATTAATGAATTTGAATACACTGAAGCTAACATTTTTTCTACAGTTAGTACAGTGCCTTCCTACCTGAAGTTAAAAAAATATAAAGTTATTTAACATGTTGAATAACAAAAAAATGAAATGGTCCATTTAAACCATGTGGGTAGCTACCTACTGAAGCACTCAAGGGAAGGGGGTAAATGTGAAGATGGAGTCCAAGCAGACAAATACAAAATCTAACCTGACGTAACCTTACCTACCAACCTAATAAGCTTCAACCTACATACCTACAACCTACCAACCCACAACCTACCAACCTACATACCACTTGGACTTCATCTTCACATATACCATGAGGGGCAGGTAGTTGTAAAGTACCGTCACACTTGTCTTTTGCAACCAAGGAGAGGTGCTACACCCAGATGCTTTATCAAACCAAACCAAGCCTAACCAAACCTTACCTAAAGCTTACAGCTTAGAAGCTACAACCTAACCTACAGCACCTCTCCTTGATTGCAAAAAAAAACAAGTGTGACATCTGCTTTACTACTACCAGTACCTAATTCTCCAGAGTTGCACCATTTCAATTCACATGGGAAAACACATGAACTGAAAACCCAAAAGCTTGGTAGTGACCATTTTATAAAAAAAGCTTTCTACTGCTCAGAAAAATCACATGAACTAGTAGTGCAATTAATTTGCAACAGGAAAATGAGCGGACCTTGAAACACCAGATCCATTCCGAGTCAACTTTGGAAACTACCAACACATGGCAAAGCAACACATGTTTCGAAAGTAGTTTGACTGAACTAATAAAAATCATTGTTTTATTGAATGAAACACATTCAAACATCATTATTAAATATGAAAAAGTCTGATCTGGGGGATAATTATGTGAAAAAATCGTTAATAGACGAGCAATGACGCAGGCGACATCGTTTTAACTCACTTTGTAGATGACACATTCCCACTGAAAACTGTTTTAGCTCTGGGACTTGTCTCAGAATTTCGTCGGTCACAAGATGAACACCTCGTTTTTGCGGTCTTAGCTTTATTTTTCTTTGAAACCACGCGGAACCAATATGTAAATTCCCATTGGGGGACGCCATATTTGTATTTTACAAATGAACGTTGACCTTCATAATCGCAGCATTTCCGACAAACAGCCAAGGTTCTGCGCATCCTACTTTTGATAGGTGGCGCTGGCTGTTATGGGGGCAAATATCTATATTCCTGGCTTATTGGGCGAGGATATATTGCCAATTTTGGATTATCGTATGCTAAATCTTTCCACAGATTCTTAACGTGTTTTTGGGAAGCCACATATTGATAGAAAGTGACAGATTTGATCAGTTGTGGCTCAAATAACGGAAAATCTGAAATAGCAAATTAGCTTTTTCATTTTATGTTTAATTTAATGATAGGTGTAAAATGTCGTGATATTACTTATATTTTGCTTCTTGAAGTATGCAAAGATATTCAATATCTGTTAGAAAATCGAAAAATATTAAACCTATGTTAACTCGTACAAATCAAAAAATTCCAAATAAAGGCACTTGGCTGCAGAATAACTGCCGAGGGCTATTCAAGAAGCTGCAGAATAGGTTTTGTTTAAAATGTTTGCCTTGACTACGACCTTGACAACGGCCTTGGATTCTTATGTAAATATAAACATCTTGATCGTTACGAGAGTTTCATTGACTTGGGAATGCTGATGGTGGCTCGTTGACTTTTATTGGTTATATAAACTTGCCTATTTCCCGCTCCATTGCAAGAAGGCTAAATCCGTTCATATTTACAAGAACTCTATGTGATCATCATGTCCTTTGGCACCTCGAAAGAATATAAAGGAAGAGGTGGCAAACCGATGGCAAGACCGAAGGCGAATGCAATGCCCGTGGGACGGGCGGCCTCGACGACCAGTTCAAATGGCCGATGGTGCACCCCCTCGTTCGACAAACCGACAGGAAATGCTGGATGGGGAGCAACGTCCGCTGCGCCCAGTTCTAGCGGCGACCATAGTGGCCTTTGGAGGCCACCATCGGCACAACATAATGGCTCGTCTTGGGGACCACCAGTTTCTTGGCCTATGCACGACACTGCCTCCGTGGGTTCAAATCCCGGGACATCTTACCCATATCGTGCACCCACGGGAAGCACATATTTACCCGATTGCGGCGGCTGGGCCCCTCCGAATTACCCCCCAAGAACTGTGACTGGTTGGGACTCTTCAGCGATGCAGCCGGCCCATGGGCCGGCCGGCTGGGAGCCCGTCGGCTCGTTCCGCGCGGCGCCGTGTCACGCCGAGTACCCGCCATACCCGGCGCCGGCCGGCCCACCGTCCCGCTACCCGGCCCCCGGCGGCGGCTGGCCGACCGAGGCGTCCTTCCAGCAGCCGCACGGGCCGGCGGCCGCGCCGGTGGTCCCGCAGCGCGGCCACCGTCCGGCAGAGCCCGCCGTGGCCGCCGGCGCGCCGGCCACCGCGCTGGGCGGACCGGGCGCCGCCGGCGACGCGCCGCAGAAGACGCCGCCGCCGCTCAGCACCGACACGCGGGTGGTGTGCGGCCCGCTGAGCCGGCTGGCGGCGCTGCCGGCCGACCCGCGCCGCTGGCTGGTGCTGCTGGCGCAGCTGGAGGAGCCGCCGGCCGCCGGCGGGCCCCGCCGCCGGTTCACGGTCCGGGAGCCGGACGGTACGCGCACAGAGTGCGTCTACTACGAGCTGGAGCGGCCGCTGCCGGCCCTGCACGCCGGCAAGTGGGTGCGCTGCGTGGGCCGACTGGACGCGCGCGGCGTGTTCGTCTGCGTGACGGCGCGGCCAGCGGCGCGCCAGGACATCGGGCTGCACCGGCAGCTGCAGCAGCTCGCGCAGCAGCCGGCCGCCGACGGCAAATGACGGACCGGACAGTCCGCCGGCCGCGGACGGCAAATGACGGGCGGTTGCCGGCCCTCGAGGACAAGTCGGCGGTGAGTGACGGACTCCGAAGCCCGGATAGCCAGTGCGTAGGAGACGGTGCGTGGACTGCTCCAACGGTCAGTCAGTGTTTTGTGGATGACAGGTGCGGTGAGTGACGAGTGCCAGCCTCGGAGTAAGCCGACCCGGACGGTGGGCGATTCCACTCCGCCCTCGGCCAGCAATCCGTACTGCGTCTCAGTCAGACGGCCGTGTGAGGTAGGTGCAATGTCTTTAGACGGTTATGAGCTATTGTAACCCGTTACTTGTTCTTCCAATGTTTATTTGATGTTTGTTCACCATGTTGTGCGAACTTCGTTTTTGCCTTCTCATCACTATCATGAGCACGATGATGGGCTCTGTTGAATATTTACTCTTGCTGTGCCCGATGTGATTCCTTTTGTCGGGCACAGTTCGTAAATAGTGACGCAAATAGCTCGATTACGCTATCTTGATCATGATGCACTTATACCTTGTCAGACACATTTGACACATATTTGACTAACGAGCATCGTGTATCGTGTGATCCTAGATTATTTTGACTTATGGCTATCACAGAAATTAAATAAAAAGTTATTGTACAATAATTGATGAGTTCAACTAAGCGCAAAACGTATAATGTATGAAGCCTGAAGCACGCTAAACTCAGTATGCAGAAGTCACATATTTATTATCGGACATCGGACGTAACAAACAACGGACTGGTGACTTCACGGCACTCCGCCTCAATTTGTACTCTACGCTCGCTCCTTTGACTAGCATCGGCCGACTCTGTCGCCGGTCTTGTACCAGAAATTTGCGACTGATGTGCTCTGGGAGCCGCACATGATCGCTGCTCTCGCAGTCTCCTCGGCGCCGGGCGGCTGCCTCTCGGCCGGCCCCGTCACCGGTCTCTGCTCGCGGCAGGCTCGTTCGGCGGGTCGGAGGCGGCGGCGCTCACTTCTCCGAGGCGGGCAGGCCGCGCAGGTAGTAGCGCCAGGCGGGCGTGTGGCCGTGCGGCAGCGTCGGGCCGGAGATGGTCAGACAGGCGGTCAGCGGCCGGCCGGCCGACAGCTCCACCGGCGGGCCGCGGCTCACGTCGAAACTCACCGTCACGCGAATATCCTGCCGGGAAATGGCGGAAAAGTGGTCACTGAACTGGATGGGGGAGAATATGGACAAAGGGGACACTGGGGTAAAAGGAAACCCGCTCGAAAAGGTTGAATAAAGCATTGAAAATCAGATAGCGGATATAACATCACAAAACAATGAATAGGAGAGGCAACGAGGAACCAGAAAGTCGAGAGCTGATTCAGATCTTATGTTCTAGTCTAAACCAAACTGGATACCCCTCTATATGGGGACGCTTCCTTCCCGCCCTGACGCCTACCTTTTTGGCGCGGATGGTGTCAGGCGTTTTGGACAGTGAGAAGTAGGGCGAGTCCACGTAGAACGAGTAGGGCGCCGTCGCCGGGAAGATGTTCTTGAACGGTATGACCACGTTGGCGCCCGATTTGATGTTGAGCGGCCCCTGCGGCTCTGGCAGCGTGCACGTGGCGTACACGGCAAACCTGGTCGACACACGACGATTGAGCACCTGTTATAGGCATTCTGTGCAGGTCGAGACAACGTCACGGAAAGGTGTACAACTTTTATGATCCGAAACGCAAGGCAAGTTAACCTGAAAGAACCGCAGCTTGATGAGCGTGATAGCGTGCTGTTCATGAGATGGTCAGCAGTCTGGCAGTAGTACCTACGACTGTCCGCCGGATGGATGGATGAGGATGAGTCCGCCGGTGGGTGCCCCGGTGGTTACCTGTACTCGCCGCCGGCGGGTGCCCCGGTTACCTGTACTCGCCGCCGTTGGGTGCCCCGGTTACTTGTACTCGCCACCGGTTGGTGCCCCGATGGTTACCTGTACTCGCCGCCGGTAGGTGCCCCGGTTACCTGTACTCGCCGCCGGTAGGTGCCCCGGTTACCTGTACTCGCCGCCGGCGGGTGCCCCGGTGGTTACCTGTACTCGCCGCCGGTGGGTGCCCCGGTTACCTGTACTCGCCGCCGGTGGGTGCCCCGATGGTTACCTGTACTCGCCGCCGGTGGGTGCCCCGGTGGTTACCTGTACTCGCCGCCGGCGGGTGCCCCGGTGGTTACCTGTACTCGCCGCCGGTGGGTGCCCCGGTTACCTGTACTCGCCGCCGGTGGGTTCCCCGATGGTTACCTGTACTCGCCGCCGGTGGGTGCCCCGGTGGTTACCTGTTCTCGCCGCCGGTGGGTACCCCGGTTACCTGTACTCGCCACCGGTGGTTGCTCCGGTGGTTACCTGTACCCGCCGCCGGTGGGTGCCCAGGATACCTGTACTCGCCGCCGGTGGGTGCCCCGGTGGTTACCTGTTCTCGCCGCCGGTGGGTGCCCAGGATACCTGTACTCGCCGCCGGTGGGTGCCCCGGTGGTTACCTGTACTCGCCGCCGGTGGGTGCCCCGGTGGTTACCTGTACTCGCCGCCGGTTGGTGAACTGAGCACCAGGCCCCGCTCCTGGGTGCCGATGTCGATGGGCTCGTAGGCGAGGTCCAGACTGGCCTCGACGCCCTGCGGCCAGCCGGGCGACGCGTATACGGCCCTGTCCACGGTGAGCTCCTTGCCGTCGCCCTGCGGGTTGCGGCGGGGCGGGACGGGGTCAGTAAATCCGCCCATCCTGCACCGGACCCACCGACCACACAACAGACAGCCGCACACTCCGCCCGGCTCCCGGGTCCCGGCCCATCCCGGTCGGCCCTGCCCGGTGAGCGGCCGCACCTTGTTCTGCAGCTGGGTGAGCAGGTCGGCGAACGTCTTGGGCTTCTCGTCGTCTCTGTCCCTGCCGGAGCCGCGCGCCTTGCGTCCGCTGGTCTCCGGGGTGGGGCTGAGCTCCGGTGGATCAGAGAGCTGCGACAGCGCCACCAGCTGACGGCACCGCGGGCGAGCAGACGGGGTGTCAATGTGGAATTAACGGGCATTTGCGGAGCAGAATCTTAAACAACAAACATACCTCAGTGCCAGTATATGCTATGTCACATTCGAGACACGTTTTAGGTTAATGGTTGCGGGTTGACCCGCCTGCCTTACCATCCCCTCCCTGTCTCCACCGGACCCCTACCTCGGTCTCCGTTTGTGTAGTGTTCTCGGCGCGTACCTGGGTGGTGTACTCGCGTGGCTGTCCGTACCTGGGTGTTGTACTCGCGCGGCTGTCCGTACCTGTGTGGTGTACTCGCGTGGCTGTCCGTACCTGTGTGGTGTACTCGCGCGGCTGTCCGTACCTGTGTGGTGTACTCGCGCGGCTGTCCGTACCTGGGTGGTGTACTCGCGAGGCTGTCCGTACCTGGGTGGTGTACTCGCGCGGCTGTCCGTACCTGGGTGTTGTACTCGCGCGGCTGTCCGTACCTGTGTGGTGTACTCGCGTGGCTGTCCGTACCTGTGTGGTGTACTCGCGCGGCTGTCCGTACCTGTGTGGTGTACTCGCGCGGCTGTCCGTACCTGGGTGTTGTACTCGCGCGGCTGTCCGTACCTGGGTGGTGTACTCGCGCGGCTGTCCGTACCTGGGTGGTGTACTCGCGCGGCTGTCCGTACCTGTGTGGTGTACTCGCGCGGCTGTCCGTACCTGTGTGGTGTACTCGCGCGGCTGGCCGTACCTGGGTGGTGTACTCGCGCGGCTGTCCGTACCTGTGTGGTGTACTCGCGCGGCTGTCCGTATGTACCTGTGTGGTGTACTCGCGCGGCTGTCCGTACCTGTGTGGTGTACTCGGCGCGGCTGCGGCTGTAGTTGGTGTATTTGACCGGCCGGCTGACGCTCTGGCCCAGCGGGCAGCTGAGGCGCACGGTGCCGGCCAGCGGCGGCCGACGCGCCGTCACCGACACCTCGAACCCGTACGTGCCCATCTCCTGACTGTGTACGTCCAGCGGCGCCTCCGTGCAGCCCTCGCGCAGCGGCAGCACCTCGAACGAGACGCGCGCCTGCGCCGCCCGCCGCACCACAGCGCCACCGTCAGTCGGGGCAAACGGTCTAGTGCAGCGTCACAAAGCACAACAGGATCGGAGAAGGTAGTACAGGCCACAGGTCGTAACGCAACACTGGAATAAATTATATCGGAAACATGGACAAAACATCAAGCCCAGCCCCAGACGAAACTCGGCGTGGCGAGTGTCGGGACCCCGGTCCCCGGCGCAGCGCGCTGACCGGCGCGCGGAGTGCGGACCCACCTCCTGACCAGCCGGGAAGTGGATGGTGCCGTGGTGACCCAGGATCAGCTCACTCATGTTGCACGTCACCTGACACGTCATAGGCGAGTCCAGCGGACGCTCCAGAAGCACTGGAACCCAACGCAGACAAGAGCAACGTGCGAGCGTGGTCGGAAAATCGACAGTGATCGACGGGGTGGATAAATAGCCACGGGAAACCGCGAGACGGCCTATAAGCGCTCACACTCTCGGCAAGCTGGGAGAGGGTTGGGTAAGAGAAGCACGAGTTTGTAGTGCGGGATGTGGGCACCGTGGACGGGTGCCGTACGTACCCGAGTGTTGGACGGCCTTTCTGACGACCGTGTGCAGCTCGACCCGCTGGCGCTCGTGCGTCTTGGCCACCCGGTAGCCGAGGTCGTAGAAGAGAAACTCTCCGGTATCCTCGTTACGGAAGGACAACTGCGGAGAGGGGCCGTGACGGAAACGTCACAAGGCACGGCGGGTCGCGGGATAAGCTGACATTTTCATTAAAATGTGAAAGTATTTAAAATATTCGACAGTTGCAATCAGCGCAACACATGAACCACTGTCGGGGCGTATCTTGAGCCTTTTATCAAAGGTGTTTGCGATGTCGAGTGGCGAGCGGCTGACGCACCTTGACGTGGAAGTTGCCCTCCTTGTAGTAGTAGACGTTCAGCGTGTACGGCACGGTGGCCAGGGCGGGCACGTCCAAGTAATCCAGACCTGTATCCAACGAACGGTTAGATCAGAACAGTTATAAGGCCGGCGGCAGTGCGCAGCGGCATATTGCAAGGATGCATGAATTCATCAGGCGGCTTATAAACCAGTAAAACGCCTTTTGGGCGACCAACGGAGCGAGCGAGAGGATAGGCCTTGCACCGTTGCACGTGCGAAATTGCGAGGGGGTACCTCCAACTAGCTTGTGCACTGCACCCTACTAACCGGTCTTTAGCGATGTGCCAAACTTCAGCGCAATCGGCCTAGCCGTTCTCGAGATCTGGAAGCGGCACACTGCACGTGCGCACGTGCAAGCGGGGTCCAAACTGACTTTTGCACGGCACCCTACTAACTGGTCCCCAACCGTGTACCAAATTTGAGCGCAATCGGCCCAGCCGTTCTCGAGATCTGGGAGCGCCCCCTGCACGTGCGCACGTGCTGTAGCACCCCAACCTTAACACATGCAGATGAATTATCTGATGGAGACCTAACTGTGTACCGAGTTTCAATTCAATCGGCCCAACCGTTGTGCCGTTATTGAGGTTGCAATTTTGGGGGTTCTTAAAAAATGTCCAACTTTACCGCGCGCCACGTGCGGTGGTTGGCAAGAACGCATGGTGGCCATCACACCACATAACTTTTACGTCCAAGTGACATTCAGTAAAGAAGACCGCTTGTCAATCGGATGTCCCGTTCCTAAGATATTAGCTTTTGAAGAGCGTCCCCACGGCCGGCCGGCCGGCCGGCCGCTCATACTCAGGATTTTCCCTTAATTCAGTACCAGTATAACGCCTTTTGGGGCGACTAACGGAGCGAGCGAGAGGGTGGGCCTTGCACGTGCGAAATTGCGAGGGGGTACCTCCAACTGACTTGTGCACGGCACCCTACTAACTGGTCTCTAGCGATGTACCAAATTTGAGCACAATCGGCCCAGCCGTTCTCGAGATCTGGAAGCGGCACCCTGCACGTGCGCACGTGCAAAATGGGTCCCAACTGACTTGTGCACGGCACCCTACTAACCGGTCCCTAACCGTGTACCAAATTTGAGCGCAATCGGTCCAGCCGTTCCCGAGATCTGGAAACGACCCCTGCACGTGCGCACGTGCAGCAGCACCCCAACTCTGGCACATGTATATGCAGTGCCTAGTGGGTGCCTACCTACATGCCAACTTTCAGCGCAATCGGCCAAGTAGTTACCGAGATATTGCAACAATTACAAAAGTGACACCTCTTCGTTTTGCACGTGGCACGTGCATAAGGGGTCACCCACATGCATCGGGTATAGTCCAATACTTGGTAGAAGGAATGAAGCTACCCTACAAAAATTACCGCGTGTAAATCGGTCAAGTGGTTGCTGAGATATAAGCCTCGCAAAAGCGTGACCACGGCCGGCCGGCCGGCCGGCCGGCCGGCCGCTCATACTCAGAAATTTCCGTTAATCTAAGGAAAGACTACGCTCGCTTCGCTCGCTCCGTAATTACCAATCGTGTCATAAGCGATACGAAAAAAGTATCACTTATCGTGGAATGTTAATTATAAGAATCTTATACACAAATCGGCATGACATTAAAAAGTCTCCGACTATAATGCTGTCATTATTAGGGCGACGTCAGTTCACAGCCGCCGTACCGGAAAGTCGGACGCTGGCCACCTCGGACTTGTCCTTTTCCTTCTCACTGCGAACCACCTCGGCACGGGCGGCGAACCTGGCGGCAGACGCGGACACGGACAGAGAGGGCGTCAGCGGATGTTACGCTGCAGTTTCCCACCGCCTCACATTGTGTACCTCTGCCGTCCACAGTTAGCATAGTACGCAGTACGCACCTCTGCGGCTCGGTGAGCCAGTTGTTAGCTCAGCACGCACCTCTGCGGCTCGGTGAGCCGTGTGTTAGCTCAGCACGCACCTCTGCGGCTCACCGTGTTAGCTCAGTACGGACCTCTGCGGCTCGGTGAGCCAGTTGGTGACGTCCACCGTCTCCTGGTGGCTGGTCTTGCAGGTGATGTCGGCCGTGAGCCGCCCGACGGGCAGCGGCGGCTCGGCGGTGCCCAGCAGACTGTAGAGCAGCGCCTGGCCGTCCGGCAGCGCCAGGAACACCGAGCCCTGTACACACCGGGCAGAGCGCCGTCAGAGCAGAAGCGCCACAGCTGGTACACTGCGCGGGAGCCAAATTGGCAGCGGGGCGCTAGAAATAATGCCGATAATTCCGACAATTCCAGTCAAGACCGTCTCAGTCTGTCCCGGTCGCGGCGGTGGCGGTCCCGCTCTCACCGTGTGTTTCTGTCCGGTTGCCGTCATCACCATGGGTTTGTAGGTGACCGAGTAGACGGCCACCGACTGGGCCGGCACCGAGAGCACCTCCTGGCCGCTCCAGAACTGGCCTGATACCACCGGCTCCACCTCCCAGCCCGTGTTGGTCCTGGTAAAACACGGTACAGTACGGTACAGACAGCGGTACCACCGGCTCCACCTCCCAGCCCGTGTTGGTCCTGGTAACACACGGTACAGTGCGATACAGACAGCGGTACCACCGGCTCCACCTCCCAGCCCGTGTTGGTCCTGGTAACACACGGTACAGTGCGATACAGACAGCGGTACCACCGGCTCCACCTCCCAGCCCGTGTTGGTCCTGGTAACACACGGTACAGTACGGTACAGACAGCGGTACCACCGGCTCCACCTCCCAGCCCGTGTTGGTCCTGGTAACACACGGTACAGTACGGTACAGACAGCGGTACCACCGGCTCCACCTCCCAGCCCGTGTTGGTCCTGGTAACACACGGTACAGTGCGATACAGACAGCGGGTACCACCGGCTCCACCTCCCAGCCCGTGTTGGTCCTGGTAACACACGGTACAGTACGGTACAGACAGCGGTACCACCGGCTCCACCTCCCAACCCGTGTTGGTCCTGGTAACACACGGTACAGTACGGTACAGACAGCGGTACCACCGGCTCCACCTCCCAGCCCGTGTTGGTCCTGGTAACACACGGTACAGTACCGGTACAGACAGCGGTACCACCGGCTCCACCTCCCAGCCCGTGTTGGTCCAGCACAGGGTGTGCTACCCTGGGAGCAGCGGTGCCGCTCCAAGGGAGCAGCCCGCATGAGATAAAGGTGCCTGTCCAGCCCGGAGTGGGGTTTGCGGCGTGGAGGAGAAGGATTTCAGCGTCCTGAGGATGGAAACGACGGACGGATGTGTCCACGGCTGCGCCAGCGTACTCACTTGTTGGCGATCTGTATGGATCGGACGTCCTCGGTGCGGACGGGCGCGGTGAACTGGAGCGGCTCCTTGGCCACGGTGACGGGCACGCAGCAGCCGGTCAGCGTCAGCGGCAGGCTGCCGTAGTTCTCCACCTCGCACGTCACACCCTGGGACGGGGGTGGGGAGACTCGGATAACGAGAGATGTAGGTACTCTGATCGGACAGCGGCGGGAACAGAGGGAATGTGACAGAGTCGAGGAGAGGAGAGCCACATTGACACCTGAACTGACGGAGACAGTCAGTTTCGTCAGCGAGGCTCGTCGCCGAACCGCACTACGAGCCCTTCCGGCCCATCTCTAGGATAACCAGCCACCGCCACGGAGTCACCCCTGCCCGCGCGGTGGCCCATCGCAGACTCACCTCCTTTTTGATGACGCTGCTCAGCTCGCGCGGGTGCATGGTCACCTCGCAGACGACGCGCGACTTGGGCGCCGCGTAGCCGTGCGCTGGCCAGATGGAGAACTCTGGCTGCAGCGGCTCGGCCGGCCAGCGGAACCTGCACCACGGAGGCGGGGGTACACGGTCAGACGGTCCGGGGAGCTGCGGCGGTCTCTGTATTATAACTGGCAGTAATCCTGCAGGCTGCGCTACGAGAGGATTTGGGACCAGCGCAGATCAGATAAACGGCAAGCGTCCCCTTTCCTATCTTCCTCCTCCCTCCCTTTCTCTCTCCCCCGCCGCACCTGGCGCCGATGTCCCCGTCGTTGATGATGCAGACGTTGCGTTTGACCCGCGAGTAGGCGGCCACGGCGCCAAACGGCAGCGTGGTCACGTCCAGCCGGAGGTCCATGCCCTGGCAGGTACCCTCCACCGTCAGCAGCGTGTGCGTGATACCCAGCGCCGTCAGACGCACCTGGAAACGTACCGGTCCAGTCAGACTCGTATTCAGACCTAAAACATGATCTTACCCTACATCGACTGGAGCCAGGCTGGGGGATCTCGGATACCATACCTGTCCTTTGAACCAGGGTTGGATGATTTCAGGATAACAGTTGTACCTACGTCCTGTCTGAAGCCGAGGTTTGTCGAATCTTGGATAAACCGTACCTGTTCCTGGAACCAGGGCTGTCGTATTTTGGAGAAGCACTGCAGCTCGAGCACTACCGAGCCGCGCGGCCGGATCTCGGCCTCTGCGGGCCGGAGCCGCAGCACGGGAGACGTGAGGTTCTGCAGTCCCGGCGAGCTGCACGTGAGCTGTGGGAGAGAGAGGGGGAGGGAGCAGGAGGTCAGCTGCAGCGAGACCGGGGAGTGTTGGGGGTAACACAACTACAACTGTACGTTATAAGGTCGATCGAGGAACGGTGGAAAACGCGGTGGCAGCAGCTGCGATCGACTGGTGCACGGACCTGGAACTGGCAGCGGACGGCGGCGTCGGCGCGGTTCACCACGGCGATGGAGCGCTGCAGCCGCTGGCCGGCGCGGAAGTCGCCCAGCACCAGCTGCTTGTGCTCCGAGTTGGCCACTTCCACCTGGCCGGCCGCGGTCAGAGGTCAGAGGTTGGAGGCCGAGCTAAGACTAGAGGTCAGCGATCAGAGAATGGTCCATGGCTAGAGGCCAGCGCAGACATAGGTCTGCGGCTAGAGGACTGAAACCGAGGCACGCGCGATAAGCGTGCATACAATCATTTATGTATATGTATACAATTACAGACGATCGTAATTAATACAATCATTTGCGAAAGTTTACCAAAGCCATCAGACCTTCCAGACCACTACAGCTCACACCTGCTCCACATAAGATCGACCACAGTAAGGACTGGATATCCCCCCCCCCCCCTACCCCGTCCGCTCGCCTCGCCACTGACCTGGAAGCGAATGCCCTGTCCGGCGACGCGCAGGGCCCGGTGCACCTGTCCGTTGATGACGATATTCACCGTGTGCAGGTAGCGGCGCACCTCCAGCGGCACGAACACGATCGGCACCTGAGTACGGCGCGGGACAGCAGACCGTTACAGGCAACACGGCCAGCGGACAAAACGGACGGCGACAAAACAACACAGCTAATTTACAGATAAACAGACGGCGGGTGAGTAGAGAAAAGGTCCCAAAGACTGAACAAGCTTAGAGAGTACACGATTTCATAATGATGAGCAGCAGTGAGGGTTGGCCTGGGGTTAATAATGTTCAGCGTCAATTATAATTTTGCTGGCGGCATTCGAGATGGACTGCAATTGCTGATGAAATGAGACGACTTACGATAGCCTTTTCTCCGGGCGCGATCACCGTCTGTTTGAAGTCAATCTTCAAAAACGACACGTCATCATGGCTCACGCCCACGCTGAAAACAACGAGCATCAGCATGAATGTAGTGACTCCAATAACCTCGTGACATACTTCCCTGGCATCTTTATAACGTGACTGCGGCGGCTCGCTAATGTCCCACTCGAAGCCAGCCTCTACCATCACCTCAGTGCCACATGTCGCTGTAATCTCACACCAAATATCACCGCCGAGGCCACCCACCGCTCAGCCGCGGCGCACCGACCTGACGGGGTGTCTGTCGCGGTTCTCGACGCGCAGCTCGGAGACAATGGTCGGCATGCCCTCCCGGTGGAGAAAGCACGGACCGAAGTCGATGGCAGAGTGCGAGTACCAGATGTTGGGCGGCTCGGCTGAGCCCCGCACCATCAGCACGAAACACGGACCGTTCGTCACCTGAAACACGGACCACTGGTCACCTGAAACACGGACCATAGTCACCTGAAACACGGACCGTGATCACCTGAAACACGGACTATAGTCACCTGAAACACGGACCGTTCGTCACCTGAAACACGGACCACTGGTCACCTGAAACACGGACCGTTCGTCACCTGAAACACGGACCGTTCGTCACCTGAAACACGGACCACTGGTCACCTGAAACACGGACCACTGGTCACCTGAAACACGGACCGCTGGTCACCTGAAACACGGACCATTCGTTACCTGGGACACAGACCACTGGTTACCTGAAACACGGACCATAGTCACCTGAAACACGGACCATAGTCACCTGAAACACGGACCATAGTTACCTGAAACACGGACCAGTTACCTGATACACGGACCGTTGTTCACCTGAAACACGGACCTGAAACACGTTGTTCACCTGAAACACGGACCGTTGAGTTGAGGTTAAATGACTTCTCGTTAGCAGGTACAAGAAACGTGGTTGATTGGATCACTATTAGTATTTCGAGCTAATTGTTGAGTGCTGGTGATGACATTTCACCCACCTTCACCAGTATCTTGATGTTCGGGAACTTGACTTTGGCGGAGCAGCAGACGCCAAACTTGCAGGTCACCCTCTTACGAGGCTCCACAAGCTCTCTGAAATGTCACAATAACGACGTAAGCATTAAATATTAATTACGACATACGAGTGTAGCGGCATTAACATAGCATATGCGATGTAGCACGCATGCCTCCGATGAATATATGAAAAACGATCAAACACGCTAAATATTTATAATCGGGTAATAGCACGATCTCAATAATTAAGAGCACTTGGGTCGCCTAAAATATTCCACATGTATTCAAAAGTTGTCATTCGAGCCCGTACCCCTGTTCACTGCCCAGTGCCCACTGCCTAGTCACTGGTCGGGGTCGAGGGTGACTGCGGTGCGCGGCGGCGGCTGTGCCCGTGCCCCCCCCCCCCCCCCTCTGTTGACTGACCGATGGTCGGGGTCGAGGGTGACTGCGGTGCGCGGCGGCGGCTTTGCCCGTGCCCCCCCCCCCCCCTCTGTTGACTGACCGGTGGTCGGGGTCGAGGGTGACTGCGGTGCGCGGCGGCGGCTGTGCCCGTACCCCCTGTCCCACCCCGCTACTGACCGGTGGTCGGGGTCGAGGGTGACTGCGGTGCGCGGCGGCGGCTGCGCCCGTGCCCCCCCCCCCCTCTGTTGACTGACCGATGGTCGGGGTCGAGGGTGACTGCGGTGCGCGGCGGCGGCTGTGCCCGTGCCCCCCCCCCCTCTGTTGACTGACCGGTGGTCGGGGTCGAGGGTGACTGCGGTGCGCGGCGGCGGCTGTGCCCGTGCCCCCTGTCCCACCACGCTACTGACCGGTGGTCGGGGTCGAGGGTGACTGCGGTGCGCGGCGGCGGCGACTCGGTGGCATTCTCCAGCTCCACCGTGAACGGAAACCGGCCCGTGTTCACCACCGAGATGGCGCGGTACACCGTCTCACGGCACGGAATCTGTAACGGACAACACGGGTCGTATAATATTTACCACATCACGGTACACCGTCTCACGGCACGGAATCTGAAAATGGGTTGGTTTAGTAATGCGTCACACTTATATACACACACAAAATTCCCTCAAAATATAGGCAAACCGCAAACCGCAAAATATAGCAAACCGTCTGCAAGCACGCGGTGCCTACCCGTACATTAACGTAAACCGCTCACGTAAAAAGGTCCATGCAGCACGTCCAACAACTGGAGCCGTTCTCCACTCCTTCCTCTGATTCCTCCCCCGACCCCACATCCCCGCCCGTCCGTCTGACCAGTCCGAGGTCGATCTGGTTGACTGTGGCGGCGCTGAGCGGGTGGTCGCGGCCGCGCGGCTCCACCAGCGTGGCCTCGGCCTGCAGCGTGTAGCCCTCGGCGCTGACGGCCACCGTCAGCGGCGCGTGGCGCGACTCCACATAGAACTGCAGCGTGAACTCGGCCGGCCCGTCGGCCACCGCCAGGTACTGCAGCCTGACGGCGCGGTGAGGGATGGACGGGACGGAGGGGTCAGATACGCTGGTATGTGGCAGTGTCAGGGGCTTTACCGAGGAAAGGATATTGGGTGACATGACAACATTCCTTCGTGAATTAAGATGAAAATAAGACACGACATGAAGACATGAAGAAAGACGAACAAAAGACTGGAACCATACGACCTCACCTCTTCACACTCCTACCTCCAGTGCGACTCCCAATTCCTCCCCCCCCCCCCCAACTCTCCCCTGCCCTATGGCCGTTCACCGCAGGCTGGCTGCCTGCTCCACAATGACGCCTCATCCGCCCTCCCCTAGGCCGCTCACTGGAGGGTGGCGGCGCCTCTGGCCGGCACCAGGCCCTCGATGGGCAGCACGGTGAGCCGCAGCGCCTGGCTGGCCGAGTAGCACGAGTCCAGGTCCAGCTGGAAGCGCAGCGGCTCCGACTCCTCGTTCACCAGCGTCAGCTGGCCGTGGGAGGTGGTCCCTGCGGCGGCGGCGGCGGTCAGAAAGGTCGGGAAATAAGGGGCTGGGGAAGCAGACGGGGTCACCGTAGCCCATAAAACGACTAAGGACCCAGACAGCCTGGTTGCAGTAAGTAACAGTCACCCATGAGGACCCTACAGCTCTCCCCCCAGTCACGCCAACCCCTCCCCCACAGCTCCCCGCCCTCGGACTGACCGGTGAGCACTGCCGGCAGCCGTAGCACCGGCTCGGTGGCGTACACCAGCGGCTCGCGCGCGCGGCCCACCAGCACCAGGTCCACCGTCAGACGGTGCTCCCGAATAAAGAACTGCCACCGAGACTCGAACGTGCCCTCGGCGCGCGGGAAAAACTCGAACGTCACACGCGCCCGCTGGCCTGGGGGCAGAGGGGCGGAACGGGAGATGTGTCAACAGTAGATCCAGCAAACATACAGCCTGTCCGATGGTCATTTATTTAGGCATAATTATTTCAATCGTGGATGCAAAATTTCGTCTTTATCGGCATATCGAACTAAAAGCGTTTTAAAAAACACGCAACCAGCATCAGATCACCGTAATTCTGAGCGCCTGACTCCCGACTGCGCCAGTTACCCACCCGAGTTGACCATGCCGGAGGCGTTGGCGCAGTTGAACCAGGCGTCGCGCGGCCCGTCGTCGCGGCTGCACTCGCTGAACGTGTAGTGCCAGCTGGCCTCCGTCGGGTTGATGATGCTGAACGTCCTGTCGGCAGCCACACACCGCCCGTCAGTCGCCGCGCGGGGAATCGATATCGACCCTCCGAGCTCGCGGTCAGTCCCCACCGAAGCTCTACCGACTTTTCCACCACTCACTGACCAACTCATTTATCCCATGACCTCCCCCCCCCCCCACCGGCCCTGCCACCGACCTGGCCACCTTCCTGTTGACGCCGACGGCGTCGATGGTGACCACGCGCAGGTCGCAGTCGGAGGGCGGCGTCAGCTCGTCACCGTTCTCCCGACAGCCGGTCTGGTCCAGGTCAAAGTGGCAGACGGGCAGAACGCCGCAGCCGTGCACCGAGACGGTCGGCGCCGGCGCGTCCTCGCTCAGGTACGGGATGCTGGAGATAGGGATTGTGTCAGGGTTAGACTTCTGATACGTCCTCACTCAGGTACGGGATGCTGCGGGATCACTGTGTCAGGGCGAGACTGCTGAGCCGCATTCAGTCACAGGTACAGGATACTAGGGACAGGGCAGGTCAATGGCGAAGCAGAGGATATGTCTTAACTCAGGCACGGGTTTCTGAGAACCGGGAGACGGCGGGACAGCGCAGGAGATGGATGAGACAGCTGATATTTAGTTCTCACTCTTGTACATACCATCGAATTATAGCGAGGAATGCGTGTGTGAGGAATGGGGTCACTGATCAGCAATGTCGCACTGCATTTGCCCATCCCAAGATCGCCCCGCAGTCCCAGCCGCCCCTGTATTCAGCCCACCTGCACTTGAGCGTGCCCGAGTACTCGAGTATGTCGAGCGGCGCGAACCGGACGGTGAAGGTGACCGCCTGTCCGGGCGGCACGGTGCCGGACGCCGGCGCGATGGTGAACGGCACGTAGTCGGCCAGCTCCGAGATGCGGCGCGTCATCAGCTGCAGGAAGCTGGCGCCGCTGTCCGAGCGCTGCGAGCCCGCCACTGAGAGCAGGGGAGGGACTCAGTGGACGGCACAGACTGGCGCCGCTGTCCGAGCGCTCCGAGCCCGCCACTGGGAGCAGGGGAGCAGGGGAGGGACTCAGTGGACGGCACAGACTGGCGCCGCTGTCCGAGCGCTCCGAGCCCGCCACTGAGAGCAGGGGAGCAGGGTTGAGGGGATGAGAGGGGATTCATGAAGAGACGGGGTTAAAGACGACATGAAGAGACGGACAGATTAATATGTGATATAAGAGTTTTGCTTAAAGGGATTACAAGAACGATTCGTCCTATCGCAGACATGCAGTAATGGAACGAATGAAACACCTACATGCACAGTTGCGGCTAATTGTACTCGGGCGTACGTCTTCCTTCACTTCCCGAGCGGACCCCGCTCTCGCTCACCGGACGTCTGTGAGTCGAGCTCGCCGCTGTACACCTGGGTCTCGGCCGAGACGGGCCGCGCCGACGGCGGCACGAACTCCAGACTCCAGGAGTAACGCACCTCGGCCAGGCCGATGTTCTCCAGGGTCACCTCTTCGGTCCGCGCCTGTATGTACACACGGACCGTCACACACGGACGGCGCCAGACTGGAGACAGGCGGACCCGCCACCTAGTTCTATAGGGTGAATCCTCTACAAGTCACAGCCAGCCCGCTGCACACACCGTCCCCCACCCCGTCCGTCCGCCGGGCGGCCCACCTGGAACATGAACGTGTCGTCGAATGAGACGGCGCCGCCGGTGAACCTGACGCGCGCTAGGTCCGTCTGCAGTACGGCCGGCACGTCCAGGCGCAGCGCCGGCGCCGGCGCCAGCTCCTCGAAGGCCGGCTCGCGCTCCGGCAGCAGGCGCGACACCGTCTCGGCCGGCCGGTCCGCCTCCTCCGGCCGGCTGGGCGGTATAGGTGGAGAGGGGGCACGTCAGCCACGGACGGCTGGATCCGGTACGTCAGCATACACACAAACCATTATAATTCCAAAGACACAATAGCCAATCCCGTGCACCCGACGTGATCTAAATACTGGTCAGGGACGCGTTAGTTCCCATTAGTGCCAGCCTGCTGTGCCATCCGTACCGACCTGGCGCTGTCGCTCGGCTCGGCCGGCACCAGCTGCATGGTACGGCTCCGCTCGTCCCAGCTGGAGCCCGTCTCCGGCTGCTGGTGCTGCTGGTCCAGCTCGCCCGGGTACGCTATGGCCGTCACCACGCAGGAGACAGAGTGCTCCGGCTGCCGCGGACAATGGAATCCGTCACCATAGAACACAGAATTGTGTTCCGCTCGCCACGGAAAGTTAACAGTCATTAGCCCGCATTACTACAGATGAATAAGTTGCGTTTGGTCTCAGCAGTCTGTGTTGGCACAGTCAACACAACCTTCTCTGATAACAGAGAGCCCCGCAGCGTTATTGATATTCTCACCTTTGCCGGTTCTACTTTGGCCTTTCCGCGTTTGGTGGTCGGCGGCGGTACGTCCACTGACGGCTTCACGACCTGAAACGGCGGACCATGCAGAACTGTCAGCACTGCAGACAACAAAGTTTTGACAACAGCAAGCCGCTAACATGCTTTACCGGAAAGGTGCTTGCGCCGTCTCAGTCGAGCGCATTTAGGTTCTGAGTAAGACAGCACAGGTCTATAGAAACCAGGCTAGCATGGATAACGTTAAATAATTTCAATATACCCTAGATGTATTCCATTCGACGGTCAGGCAGCACAGACAGCAAAGTCACGGGTTTGTTGGGTGGTCACTGGTCATGGGCCGGCCGGCGGATGCCGATTCGGACGGCGCCGAGTCACCTTCTCGAAGTTGATGGCCTCGTTGGCGACAAAGGTGACGGTGATTGTTTTGATTTCTCTGGGAGCCAGGTGGCCGAAGGCAGGGGAGAAGGTCAGGTACTGAGAGTTGTGCCACTCGAACCTGGCGGCACAGCAGGGCGGCGGTGAGTTACATAACGGCGCGTTACAATTACACACTAAACAAGTTGACAAGTAGAATGGATAGCTGTTCGTATTGTGCGTCCTTACGCCAAAAGGAATCCCCATTCGAATGGGAACTGTCATCCCACACATACATTGAAGCTCCGAGTTTTTACAGACGTCCCGAAGTATTACCTGTAGCGGGAGTTATCGGAGCAGTTCTCCATCCGGAATTGGCGATTGTACGCCACTCCAATGTAGCATGAGACAAACTCCAGCGTATACTGCAGCTGTGGAGGGGAAGAACGGGACCAAGTCAGCTGGTTTTGGGAGAGGGGACGTCGAGTTATTTATCGATTAAAAAATACATTTAACGATAAATAGCTCTTCACAAAGGTTTACGTTGTCTACAAGTAACAATATCGGCCCATTTGAAGCACACACGGATAAATTACAATAGCTATTAGTGTCATTTCATTGCTGCAGAGCCGCGTTTCGCCGTTTCCCTCCGAACCTGGGGCATGTCGCTGCCGAGGACGAACTGCGGCGGCGGCTCCTCCTTCTGGCTCTTGGGCGGGGGCGGGGGCGGCGGCGGCGGCACGTAGTGGCTCACCGGCAGGCCGTGCACCAGCACGCCGCTGTTGTAACCGTGACCTGGTGGAGGACAGGACGAGTTTGTGAAACGGCCGCCGACATTAGTTATATTGGTGTAGTCATATCGATCACCTAACAATCAGAAACTGTCATGCAAATGAAAAGAGTATGGCAGGTTATTTAGATCGTTGAGGCCAGCGATGAGCTTAGGGGTCGTTCCTTGTGACATCCATTCCCTGACAATCCAACGATTTTAGACGGTTTATCGAGACGCGCATATCCATGAGGCAACCTTTCCCAGCCCTGGAGAATTACTGTCCCCCGTCCCCCTTTCCTCTTCCGCCGCGTGTCCGTACCGTCGAGCCGTATGGCCTGTCGCTGGTACGCGTTGTAGTTGACGCTGAGCAGCAGCAGGCCCGAGCAGCGGCCCACCTGGCGCGGGCAGAAGGTGACGGCCAGCACGGCCTCGGCGCCGGCCGGCAGACACAGCGTGCCCAGAACGTACTCGTTAGAACCTGGCGGAGCGGTCAGTGGGTCAGCCGGACGGTAGGTGCAACGGACGGGCGAGGTCGGCGAACGCGGGTCATAAACGTCATGGTGATGTCGGTGGAAACGGTCCCGTTGAAGCAGCTGGCTGGGATGGTGGGAACATCGACAGCAGCTAAACAACTGGACATTGTGATGACGTGATACACGAGCGCCGTACCGGCGGAGCGTCGGCCGAGGGGCGCGGCCACTCACTGATCATGCCCCATACCCTGCCGCGGCCACTCACTGATCATGCCCTGCCGCTCTCCGTTGATGCTGTACTGGAGCGTCCGCTCGTCCGGGACGACGCTGAACAGGTCCCGGCCCTCAGCCAGCAGCAGGTCCACCTGGGGACACGGTTACAGTTACCCGAACATGTCTACCCGAACACGCACAAAGGTGCAGACCACACTGCACGGCAGATAACGGGACACGATGTAGGCATGGATACGATTCACAACTGCTACCCCGTCAGTGTATTCAATTTGCCACAACTGTCCCTCCACCGCCCGCCACCACTGCCGGTCGCGCTCACCATGCACTCGACGAGGCCGGCGTTGCGGAGTCGGACGGTGCCGGCGGCGCTGTCTCCCAGTCGCGTGGAGAGGAAGTGCAGCAGCGGCTCCTGCTGGCGCGTCACCTCCGACGGCTCCAGGACGTCCAGCAGCGGCAGCGTGCCCTCGCCGGACACCTGATAGGGAGAGGACAGTACAGTCAGAGCACACGGCAGCGGCAGCCGCGTGCCCTCGCCGCACACCTGACACGACAGTCGGAGTCAGAAGAGACATACATTCCCCAGTCGCCACCCGAGGAGGCGGGGTCCAAACAGTCAGCAGAGACGACAGCGTGCCCCCGATCACCATGTCAGTAGACGGTTATCACAGACACAGCTCACGGCGAAACGAGAAGAACCGTCGTCTGTGATTCGACGAAGCACAGACAGAAGAGGCAGCCCGGGTCGATCACGGTGTGTGGCAACTGGCTTTACTGGACAACGAATCGTCCAGTAACCCAGCGCGGCGAACAAAGTAATACCAGATACGGGCATTTTATTAGGGGTTGACGTCTAGGCAGCATGAGCTCCAATTACGACAGAGCTGAGCGACCCACCTCGAACGAGATGCCCTTGCTGCGGTCGACGCCGGTCGGCTCCTCCACCTGAATGTCCACCACGTTGACGAACGTCTGAAAAGGAGGGCGAAGATAACGTAAACCACAGTGGAGAGGATATACGACTAGAGAACAAAGGGCACGTTCATCTCCGGTAGAGAGCCGCGGCACCGTCCTTCCGTCGCACGATACTGTGCCGGCGAGCAGGGCGGCACTGCGGCGCAATCTACCCAGACCCGGTCCACAGCCGCCGCGGGACAGGTGATCCCACGGACCGATATACCGTCCGTACCGTCAGAGGTGGCGGCGGAGTCCGTACCTGCAGCGCGTTGGGCGTGAACGTGACGGTGACGGTGATGAAGCCGTGGACGGAGATGTTGGCCCGGGTGGGGCTGACGTCGAACAGCTTCCCTGTCTCCGAGACCGCCTTTGACTTGGCCGTCGTCGCTGGTGAAGGGGGACGGAGACGATGCAAATTAACTGATAAAGCTACGGACAATCGATGAACTGAACACCATCAGTAAGATTACAAATATTGCCAACACGGTAATTGACGAAAAATATCAGAACGACTTAAAACGTCGATATTGGCAAACAACCCTCTCTCCCTATATCCCTCCCTCTCCGCGCTCCCTCACCGGGTCCCGGCTGTTTGACGGCGATCACCACGTCGACGGGCACCATGCTGGTGTTGTGCACCTTGAACGACACCCTGGCAGAGTCTCCGAGCAGCGTGGGGCTCAGCTGGAAGCGGTTCTCGGCGCGGCCGTACACACCGCCCGGCGGCGCCTTCAGCTGCAGCGCCGCGGGTCAGGGTGGAGGTCAGAGGGCTCTCTGCTGGACACTGGACAGTCAGCTGCAGCGCCCGGGTCAGGGTGGAGGTCAGGGGGCTCTCTGCTGGACACTGGACAGTCAGCTGCAGCGCCCGGGTCAGGGTGGAGGTCAGAGGGCTCTCTGCTGGACACTGGACAGTCAGTTGCGGCGCCGTGCGGTGGGTCAGGGGTGGAGGTCAGAGGGCACATAAAACCGCAACAATGTGAAAACGCGTGCCAAACAATATTCGTTTTTACGGTGAACACTGTCCCACCATCCCACCCCTCTGCCGTCTCCGTCGCTCGGCCCGGCCGCCCCGTCCACACCTGGCTGCCGGGCCGGTAGCTCTTCAGCGAGTCGACCACGGCGTGCTCCTCGAAGATGCTGACGATGCCGCCGTCCTGGTCGCGGATGCTGGCCGTGGTGACGTTGCCCAGAAGTCGGAACGGGATGCCGACTCCGTCCCCGGCGTCCGAGATGCGGATCACCAGCTCCTGACCGCGGGGGAACGGGGGAGAGGATGGATGAGTGGGCGGATTACGGACAGATGGAGGGACGGATGGATGATAGCACTTCAGGGTAGTCGCGGTGACCATCAAATGAACACACAGTTCCCAGAATTGAGCCGCCTGTGGAGTAATTGGCACGTCCTGTCCCATCACCTTTACCCGTATGTTCGAGACACCACACCGTGTACCCCCCCCCTCCACCCCAGACCCGCTCCCCGCCGGCACCTGGACGTCGGAGATGGGCTCGCTGGAGACGGCCTCCACGTTGACGACTGCCTGAGAGCTGACCGGGATCGTGCCCATGGCCGGCTGCAGCGTGTAAATGCCCGCCGTCAGCTTCATGGCCCGCGCCTCGGTGCTGCTGGGCGGTCCGATGGAGCGGGGTGACAGGTCAGGATAGGACGGGAACTAGGGGAGAGCGGTCAGGACGGGCAGGGCTGGGAGCAGAGACCCCCGTCTCCGCCATCTCCCTCTCGGCTCCGACTCACCCGCCGCCCTTGCTGCTCTGTCCGCCGCCCAGCTTCTGCACCACGGACGCCGTCGAGATGGGTCCGGCCGTGTTCTCCTGGCTGGTCGACTTGCTGCTCGACGAGCCGCCCTTACCGCCCGACGTGCGACCCTGATCAGGGGGAAAGGAGGGCCGGTCAGAGGTCAAATAACGGCATGACGAACACGAGACTGAAACTAAATCGACCAGAATGGCGTCGAAAGTTGCAACATGCTATACCAGCTACCACATTCGAAAAGATAAGCCGGCGGGACGCACCCGTTTTTTGGCCTGCGGCGAGTCGTGCCCTCCGGCGGTGGGCTCCACATTCTTCCTGACGATGTGGTAGCTGAAGTCGAACTTGCCGTCGTTCTTGATGACGAAGAAGCCCGTCTTGCGGACGGCCACCGGGAAGTGTCCCAGATGCAGCTCGTGACTAGGCGTCACAGAGTACCTGCGAACGGAGCGCGATCATCAGACGGTGGATAATACCGGCGGCTGTGCCAGGGTCGAACCGTCATCGAACTCAGAGACGCAAATTCATAGACACCCAGCGACATTATGTCTAACGTCAGCCAGGAAATATTCAAGCATGACGAGTTGCACCCTTAGCTTGAATATCATGCAACAGCATAAGACGAACACAAGTTATGCTTCAAATGAAGCGGGATAAGACTCTCTTTTCTAGCCAGTCACCTGAAAGCCCATCCACCCGATCACCGCACTCACTTGCAGAAGAGCGCCCGCACGCTGACGCAGACGGGGATGAGCGCGATAACCTCACCCTCCTCCTTCTTGTGGAAGTCGAGGATCTGCACGCGCAGCATCTGCGATTTCTTGATCCAGATCTCGGAGTCGGTGCTGAACCACATCTGGAGGGGCGGCGGCGCGGGGCACATCGTCAGACTGCGGACTTTACAGGAGCGCGGAGCTGAGAGACGCGGGCCGACTCTAGACGGAAGGCGCGTCCGGCTGTGTGTGTCTGCTTTAAACCTAACTTTACCAATCTGCATATCCAAACTAAATTTACCGTACAAAGCCAAAACCAAATGAATGGGTATGTGAGGAAGTATGTTTAAGGCGTACCTGGATGTTAAGCGGCCGCTCGTGCGGGTGCAGGATTCCTCTGTCGGGACTGATGTGGAAGCCGTGGGTGAGCGACTTGGCCCCCTTGGGCACCGGTTCCGGGTCTTCCAGCCACGCCCTGACAGGAGACACGCGGGTTAGAGTTAATTATAGCGGGCAACATAACCAAAGGACGGCGAAACAAAACAAATGAGCTCGCTCAGTCCGCGGCTACCCCGAAATGGTCATTATTCATTGAGTGCCGTCTTACTTGAACATAATTTCATATTTTCCTTTGTTCTTGATAGTGAAGGTCTGCTTGCTCTCTTCCTTCACCTTGATCGTTCCAAAGTCCACTCCGGTCGCCAGACCCTGCCGACATTGAGAGCTCAGAGGGCATGTCGAAAACTGGCTGACGTTCTCAATAGCAAACTTCAGCATTTTAACGTTATGTTCAGATTTCAATCAGACCACAAATCATCGCCAAAGGCTACACTACAACTACGTCCACCGACCGACTAGACCCGCGGCCCTCCCAGCCCTACCTTTGGGAACATGAGGTCGACGGCCACATCGAATCCCTCCGCCGACACGGTGATGGTCTCTGACTGCAGGATGCCCAGCGTGGTGCGCGGACTGCGCGGAGACGAGGTGGTCGCGCTGTTGTCGCTGCCAGAGCCGCCGGCCGTCGTCCCGTCGTCGGCCGCCGGCTCCTCGAAGTGTTCGGTGATCTGACAGCGCACAAACGGCAGCGGCGAGCGATCAGCGCCGGCCGCCGTGGCCGGAGGGGGGCCGGCCGGCCGGGTGAGCTCAGCGCGGCCGGCGGCGGGGGCGGCGGGCGGGCGATGACGCCGACTGCGGGTGGGGACGGGCGGACGGTAGAGTGGCGCCGGTCCGAAGGCGATGGCGGTGGTGACGTCCAGAAAGGTGGTCCCCGGGTGATGGGCGAGCTGCTGACCCGCGCCGCCGGGCCGCACCCCGGACGGCCTCCGCGGACGGTCCGCCAGGCCGTGAGCTGTCTCTGACAGCGGGAGACGCGGGCTGTCCTTGGAGCCGCCGCTGTCACCGGCGGACACACACCTGCCCTTCACCACAGCGACCCCATCCCCTTGTCCCGCCCCGTCCCCTGCGGCCACATCCCCCCGCCCCGCCCCGTCCCCCGCGGCCGGCGGTCCCCCGGCCGGAGCGGATCCGTCCCGCGGCGGGCGGACGGACGGCGGCCGGTCTGTCGAGCGGACGGCGCGGACTCCGCCGGCAGACCGCGGGGCGGACAGCGGGTCCCGGGAGGGGCGCACCCGACACCGGGGCAGCAGGTGGGACATAGTGGACCAGGGGCGGCGGGACCGGCCGCAGCGAGCCGTGGCACTGCGCAGAGCGAGTCACCGCGCCACTGCGAGCGGCGGCAGCATTCGGTACATGATGAATAATGCTAGGTACCACTTAGAATAAGCTTATTACACTTCGACGCGTATAATCACGAGCAAAACACTTGAGACTATCGACGATATGTGCGCTCCGTGGAACTTGTAAAAAACGACTTAAAGTAATAAAATCATGCTGAATTTGTCACAATGATCTTTCAGCAGAATATAGAATAAAGTAAAATGTAGGCACGAAATAGGTTAATGAAAGCGCAGAACTGTTAACTACAAAAACGATTTCCCACTGCACACGATTCTCCTACCTCGAGTTTGATCTTTTTGTTGTGGTAGAGGCAGGGCCGGATGGGGGAGAACTCGACCTCGATGTCAGACACCCCGAGCGGCATCAGCGTCCCTTCTTTGGGCCGGAACGTGAACCCCTCGCCTGCCGAACGGAACGGCAGTTATACCGACAGCTCAGCACTCGGCTGAGCAAGCGCACAAACCGTGTCAGTACGGAGGTCTCAGTGATATTATAGCAGATATAAAAAAATACGAGACACCTCTGACCTAGCGTGGCACCTATCCCGCCCCATCCTGCCGTCTGGTCCCGGTCCTCACCGAGCTGTTCAGTGTCCACCACTCTGAACTGGAGCGGAATCAGGGAGCGGTTGGTGAGCACCAGCCGGCGCGTCTCGCGGCGCAGCAGCAGCACCCGGTCGAACGTCAGCTGACGTTTGTCCACGTGCACCTCCGGCTTGGCGCCCACACACGTCAGCTGACGGAGGGGGGGGGGGGGGCGTCAGTCAGTGGCCGGTCATACACACATGTGTCAATAGCATCTGCTGGGCCGCGACGGACGGAGAGCCGAGAGAAACCAACTATATCGGGTGAATTAAAATAAGAGTCGATGACACTTAGGAAAATGTGCGCAATGTTTCTGTGCCTCTGTACCTTTGTGATCCAGGGGTCGGGGTCAATGTAATAATCATGTGATCCAATGGTCAGTGTGTATTACCTTTGTGATCCAGGGGTCGGGGTTGTCCTTGACGCATCCGATGAGCATGTCCTCGTAGGGCTGCGGCGCCGGCGGCAGCGCCATCACCTGCAGGTAGTCCTTCTCACCGGGCGCCAGAGACAGGCTCATCGGCCACAGCTGCCGGAGGGATAGCACACACCTTATAGACGAACATCAACAATCTGACTCAATAATTGCTAACCGGCATAACTTCGACGACATACTGCGCTGTGCATCCTAGGACCAACGTCCTACAGCATTGAGCTGGTGCCTCTCAGACACCCCGACAGTCATATGGCCGCGGTACTAGCCACCCACCTGGAAGGGCGGCACCTTGAACGTGTCGTTGAAGAGGTGGAAGGTGATCTCGACGGGCAGCGGCGAGATGTTCTCCATGGTGATTTCGGCCTGGTGGCCGTGGGGCCTAGGAATGGACAGTGGACACGGGATGGAGCGTCAGTCCATATCTGCAGCCGCTTGTACGGGCACCGGGACAGCGCAACTGGCACTGTGCACATAGGACGGCCGAGCAAAGAAAACTTGGCCACGGGGGTGTGAAAGCAGATGTAACATACGAGAAAGCAATTACTCGGCGCTAGTAACGTTTATATACAATCGGTAGCTTTGTCCAGTGACACTGACACTGGTAATATGACACTGGCTGTACTGACACTGGTAATATGACACTGGCTGCACTGACACTGGTAATATGACACTTGCTGTAGGTATATACTCGTACTGACACTGAGGGCGGCCCGGTGACTGACGCCGAGTTGTGACGCGCCACCTGCGGCTGCTGTTTGGCCGCCGGCTTCACCACCGGCAGTGGGCCGAACGAGAGTGTGCGCGTGCCGCGGATAAACGCCACGCCGTGCTCGGTGCCGTAGTCCTCCGAGCGCATCGGCACCTGAGCGCGCGGGTCGGACGGTACGGCAGCGGGTCAACGGTATTGAGGAACGAAACAGCGGATCGGACAGCAGACAAACTGACAGAAGAAATAGGTATGCCCCAGTGATTGGCATTGACGTTAGGTGTTATGTCAACAAATCAAACAGCAGCGCCCATAAGCGTCCTTTCGCGTAGAGCGTTCCCACCTTGGCGTAGAGCGTTTTGATTTTCCTGTTGATGAGCGGCAGCACGCAGCTGCCGGAGCACTCGAGGGTGTATCGGCGCCGGGTGCCGGCCGTCTCCAGCTGCAGGCGCGCCTGGTACCGGCCCGGCCGGTTCACCTCGAAGTGCACCACCAGCGTGAGCTCGCCCTCCGCGGGCACCACCCACCGGTGGCCGGAGACCACCGGGTCGTCGCGGTCTGACAACAGGTCAGGTCATACACCACCCAGCGGTAGCCGGAGACCACCGGGTCGTCACGGTCTGACAGAGACAACGGGTCGGGTCAGGTCAGGTCATACACTCTCCGGTTTCAATTTCTCTCCCTCCCCATCCCGGTCCAGTCACAGGGCTCCCTCTCCTCCCTCCCTCCCCCGTTCACTCACGGAGCGCCTGCCGGATGGCCGTGGCCAGGTCCGTGTCACACTTCCCCTCCCCCCTCCCCGTTCACTCACGGAGCGCCTGTCGGATGGCCGTGGCCAGGTCCGTGTCACACTCGCCGCCCATGGAGCCGCCGGTGCGCTGGTCGGCGGCCAGCGACGGGTCGCTGCGCCGCTTCCCCTTCAGTCGCCGCTGGCCGCGCCGTTTGGGCGGCGGCGACTTCTCGGGCGTGATCCGCTGCGCCTTCTCCTCCTGTGTGGGGACACGGGGAAAAGGTCACGGACGGAACGCCAGGGCATTTACACCGAGACGGGACGAGATATGCCGCCAATGGCGGGTAACCAGTAGTGCAAAGAAGCGGACGCGCTCTGATAATACTATATCTCTATCCGTTATCTCAACAAACCGATCTCCGCAGCTCGGGTCCCTCTGCGCTGATAAGCCCGCCGCACCTTTTCGGCTGCGGCCGCCTCGGCGATGGCGGCCCTCTCGGCGTCGTCCAGTCGGAACGTGAACACGGGCTCGGTCGTCTCTGGCAGGGCGCGCAGCGGCGGCCGCTTCAGAACGGTGAACGTCCTGCAGGGCGTCAGCGGCGGGCCCTCCGAGCCCTGGCCTACGGACGGGAGGGGAACGGGGACGGGTCATACAGAGCGAGCAGAGACGGGGATGAGCGACTGGAAGGCAGGCGGCTACTGAGGTGTTCGGTATACTACAGGAGAGGGTTAACACCCTCCTGTGGCAATTCATTACAGATCAAGCAGACTGTTTGCCTCCATAAACAAGGAAATAAGTACGCTAAAATAAATGCTCTATAGCACACATTTATTAAGAAATTTACGACTGATGCCGCCGGGCGGCCGCGGCACTGACCCATGTCGTCTCGGACGCTGCTGGGGCTGGGCAGCACGCCGCTCTCGACCAGCAGCCGGTAGCAGCAGCGGCAGTCGAGCGCGCCGCTGAGCAGCACGTGCGTCACCCCCAGGTCGGTGGGCACCCGGAACTCGTCCACCGTGGTGGCCCGCTGGGGAGGGGGGGGGAGGGAGGTCAGAGGGGACTGGGGAGGGCGGTCCCGGGAGACGAGAAGACAGACGGGCTGGGAGAAAACGGCTAAGCGCCGGAAGAAAAGGGAGGGTCTCTGCCAGTTGCCGATAGTAAACTGCCTCAACACCTACAATTCAAATGCAATTTATTTCTTTGAAACAAACTTCAAAATACGTGTAACTGCGGCCAAAAAAGTATTTCCGTTACAGCTAATATTTCGACTGGTCTCGGCTACCCTGTAGATAGAACGAAATCCATCGACATTATAGACTTGCTCTGTAGAGAGCCAATCATAATTCGCAGATAAGCTATGTTCTGAATTCATATTGAACATCGATTTTTGTCACCCGGATTTCAAAGCTCGGTAAATTCCGCGGGTCTCACCCCAGCTGGCGCGGGGCCCGGCCGCTCAGGTCACGTGACCGGCTGTGACCGGTCAGCCAATCAGCGACCTGGGACGGCGGCGTTGCCCGGGGCGGTGTGGGGACGGAGCCGGCGGCCGGGCGGCCGGCCGGCCGGCGCGCAGTCGGCTCTCGAACTCGTGTTGTGATGGCGGCGGACGGGCGAGCTGTGAGGGGCTCTCCGGGCCGGGCCCGGCCGCTGCTGCTGTTGCTGATATGTGCCGCCGTGGCGCCCGTGTCCAAAACTGCCGAGACCAGTTTCGTGATGCGCCAGGTGGACCGTCTGCCGGGGCCGGCGGGATTCACCGAGACGCTGGAGGAGCAGCCACTCTGGTTCCGCGAGGCGTTCTACCGGCTGCCGGAGGAACTGCAGCTGACGCTGCGGCTCTGCAGCACCCAGAGTCTGGAGCGCATGGTGGAGGCGCTCGGCAGCATGCCCGGCATGAAGCGCTACGACCAGCTGGCCAGCTACCTGACCGGCATCGCCGACGGCTGGCGGGACGCGGACGGCTTCGACGTGCACCGCGAGGCGGACGAGATCGCCTCGCGGGAGGCGATGCTGCGCGGCCGCGGCGGCGGCGGCGTCCAGGGCCGGAGGTCCGAGGCGCTGGTGGAGGCGGGCGGTTCTGAGGAGGGAGAGGGGGAGCCGCAGTCGCCGCCTCCGCCGGTGGTGGTCGGCCCGCTGCACCAGTTCGCCCTGCCCTCGCTCTGGGAGCTGATCGAGGAGGCGCGCAAGGCCGGCAACGACACCGGCCTGTGGCGGCTCTCGCTGTCTGGCGGCGACGAGCTGGCGGTGGCGCCGGTCAGCCGGCTGGACCCGGCCGAGACGGTCTCCCTGCTGCCGGTGTACGGCCCCCGGCCGGACGCTCCGCCCGACCTGGTGCAGGTGACGTTCCCCGTGGCCGAGGCCAGCCTGCGGCAGCTGCTGCGCACACCCGACGAGCTGCTGCGCACGCTGCCGGCGCCGGCGGCCGCGCAGCTGCCGGCGCGCACGGTGACGGCCGTCACGGTGGAGCACGCTGGCGACGTGACTGTGACGGGCGCGCTGGCGGCCGCCTGCGCCGACAACATGACGGACGCCGAGCTGGAGACGCTGGTGCACAGCCTGCTGCAGCGGCCGCTGGCGCCGGCCGAGCTGGCCGCCCTGGCGCACGCCGTCGGACGCCACTGGCCGGCCGAGCGGGCCGCCTGGTCTGCCACCCACATCAGCGTGCTGACGGCGCACCGGTGCGAGCTGCTGGCGCACGTGGCGCTGCCGGCGCTGCTGGCTCTCCACTCGGACACTGTGGCCGATCTGGTACAGAGCTGCCAGGGCCTGTGGCGGCCGGCGGCCGGCGGCGGTCCGCCGCTGGGACCCTACGTGCGCCGCTGGCTGCAGAAGGCGCTGGAGCGGCGCGGCCCGCTGGCCGGCTGGTCTGCCGAGGCGCTGTCGGAGCTGTCGCCGCTGCTGGCCGGCGCGCTGCCCGAGGAGCTGCGACAGCTGGGCGAGCGGCGCCAGCTGGCCGCCGGCGCCGAGCTGTCGTTCGCCAGCCTGGACCGGGCGCAGGCGCAGCCGGTGATCGCCGGCCAGCTGGAGGCCGCCGAGAACCTGACGGCGGCGGGGACGCTGTACGAGCTGCTGCGCCACCTGCAGCCGCAGCACGTGCGCCAGCTGGGCCGGCTGCGCCACCAGCTGCTGGCGCTGGCGCCGTGGCTGGTGGACGACCGGGAGCAGAGCGGCCAGTACGCCACACACCTGCAGGTACGCCAGCCGCCCTGCGCGGCTAGCCGGGTCTACGCTGAATTGTTTCACTGTTTAAGCTTCCATTTTTTAAATGTCTTACATCAATTTCTTTCCTTTGAAATTGCAATCACCAAATGTTTCTTCTTACTAATTTTATTCTAGCGTGAGAAACCTGGCATTGAGACCTGGCGGAGCCTGTCCGTGCAGAAATGACGTAACACCGAACAGTCCGAACCTAACCACGGCTCTGGCTCTGACCCGCGTGCGTGTCCCGCTCTCGGCAGTTCCGTCTGATGCTAGACTCTGAGCTGAGCAGCGGTAACTTCTCGGCCGAGCAGCTGGCCCGGCTGGGGCCGTTCTTCTACACGCTGCCGCTGTCCGACGTGTACAACCGGCTGGTGGAGCGGCGACTGCGGCTGACGGCCGCCCAGCTGGCCGCCATCTCGTCGCCGCGCCTGGAGCCCATGACGCGCCGCGTGCTCATGTCGACGTTCATGCTGAGCGAGGACCGGCTGTGCCCGGGCTGCCTGCGCGGCGTGCCGGCCGAGCTGCTGGGCAGTCTGACGGACGGCACGCTGACCTACCTGCGGCTGCGCGGCCTGCTGGACGCCGCCGCGCTGGCGCAGCTGGTGCCCGCCGCCGACCACATGCTGCCCGGCAAGCAGGCCGAGCTGCTGGAGGCGGTGCGGCAGCTGCTGCGCCGCGGCCGCGGCGTGGCGGCGCCCCTGGTGGCCGGCAGCTCACAGCTGTGGGCGCTGGCCGGACCGGAGGACACGGCGCTCCTGGTGCCCGCCGTCATCTCGCGGATGGAGGAGCTGGCGCTGCGCCTGGAAGGCCCCGAGCTGCTGCGGCGGGCCGCCGAGTACCCGCGCCCGCTGCTGGCGCAGGTGCTGGCCCACTACCGGGCGGCCGCCGGCGGCCTCTGGAGCACGGAGAGCCTGCTGGGCCGCCGGCCGGGCCGGCGCCGGCCACCGCACGGACCCTGGGTCTACCTGAGCGGCCTGAGCTGCACAGACGTGGCCGCCGTGACGCCACTGGACCTGCCGCCGGTCGCCGAGGCGTACGAGCGCCATCTGCGGGCCACCGGCCGGCCGCACCTGCCACTGCCGCTCTGTGTGTGCCTGCAGCAGCGGCTGGTGCAGTACCTGCAGGTCCGTCACGCCATCGAGCGCAGCGCCAACGAGATCGACGCCGGCCGGCTGGCACTGCCGGCCCTGGAGGACGCGCCGCTGTACCGGATGTCTGCTCTGGAGGTGCGCGCGCTGCCGGCCTGCGTGCTGCTGCTGCTGCCGCGCCACTACCTGCTGGCGCTCTCGCCGGAGGCGCGGCTGGCCGCCTGGCTGAAGATCGGCCGGCTGACCTGGCCCGACATCGCCACCCACCTGTCTGTGCAGCGCAACGAGGACCAGTTCCGCTGGGTGGCCCGCCAGATGCTGCACGACCTCAACGTCACCAACGCCACCACGCTGACGTTCGAGCACGTGGCGCAGCTGAACCAGCTGCTGCACTTCCTCGACGCCGACACGATCCCGCAGATCGCGCCCGAGGCCTTCAGGGAGTGGATCTACACGCTGCGCTCAGGCTCTGAGCGGCTGGTGTGCCGGCCGCACCGCGCCTGGGCCGCCCTGGTGGGGCGCGCCTTCGGACCGGCCGCCGCCTGGAACATGTCCACTCCCTACTACCTGGGCGGCTGGATCTTCGCGCTGAACGCTACCGAGCGCGGCCGGGTGCGCCGCGAGGACCTCCGACTGGCCGTGGACGACCACAACGCGGCGCTGTTTCAGCCACTGCCGGACGTGATGGGGCGCCGCGCCGGCCGGCCGCTCACCTTCCTGGAGGCGTGCCGCGAGCTCAACGACACGGCGCTCGACCTGCGGCTGCTGTTCGAGGTGGCCCGGCTGGCCGGCGTGGTCGGCTACCCGCAGCCGCGCGCGCGCCGCAGCGTGCCGCCGCCGGTGTCGGCGCGCGACCTGCGGCAGCTCGGCCAGGACCTGATGACGGCGGTGCGCAGCAGCAGCGTGCCGGACCAGGTGCGCGGCCGCGCCGAGGTGCTGGTCGAGGAGCTGGTCGCCGCGCTGGGCGACGGCTCGGCGCCCGAGCAGCCGGACGCGCTGCCGTTCGACTTTGTCCCCTCGGCCGGCGACCGGCTGAGCTGTGACGACCTGCGCGCGGCGGGCCCGGCGGCGGCGGCCGTGCTGCCGCACGAGCTGCAGCGCATGGCCGACGCCGACCGTGTGGACCTCTGGAGCTGTCTGAACGCGCTGGGCCGGCTGCACTGGCAGCTGGGCGGCCGCTCCGTCTCCGAGGTGTGGAACGTGGCCCGCGAGGCCAACGGCGACTTCATCCTGCCCGACAACCTGGTGCACCTGGGCGGCCTGGTGGCGGCGCTGTCCGCCGACGAGCTGCGCCAGGTGCTGGTGGCCGCGCCCGGCCAGCCGCTCTCCACGGACGCGCTGTCGGTGCTGGGCGCCGTGGACTGGCGGCCCGACCAGCTGGCCGTGCTGGTCAACACCACGCTGGGTGTCACCGAGGACCCGCGCACCAGCCGGCTGCGCCTGTACGCCGAGCCGCAGGCGGTCACCGCGCTGGGCAGCCTGCTGTGCGGCTTCAGCCCCGGCCAGCTGCGGCAGCTGTTCAACGACTCTCGGCCGCACCTGTACCGAGACACGGCGGCCGCCGTCGGACGGCTGGCCGGCTGCCCGCACGACAGCGTGCTCGAGACGCTGGCGCAGCTGGCCGTGGACACGTTCGGCCCGACGGCCGGCTGGAGCGAGCAGACGGTGGCCGCCGTGGGCGCGGCCGTGGCCGGCCTGCGCCGCTGGCAGTTCAAGGCGCTGACGGCTGAGGCGCTGCGCGGCCTGACGCCGGTGGCGGCGCGCCGCGCGGCCGCCAGCATGCTGGCCACGGAGCTGTCTGCCGACCAGCTGCGCCAGCTGATGCCGCAGTCGGCCCGCGAGCTGCTGGCCCAGCCCGGTCTGAAGACCCCTCAGCGGGACGCCCTGGAGCGGGCGCTGCACGGCCGGCGCTCGGCGCGCGCGGCCGCCGACCCGCCGCCGCCGCCGCCGGCTCCCGTCGCCGAAGACGAGACGGCCGCCACCGACGGACCGCACGCCGAGCCCGAGCCGCACTCAGACTCCGACTCGGACTCTGAACACGACCACGATCACGACCACGAGCTGGAGGCCGTGCCGGAGCCGAGCGCCGAGCCGCGGGCCGACGACTCCGACTCTGACTCTGACTCAGACTCTGACTCCGAGTCTCCCGTGGAGGAGCCCAGCAGTCAGGAGAGCACCCAGGAGCAGGCCAACAGCACGGCGCCGGCGCGGCTGCCGGCCCGCTCTGCGCTCTGGCTGACGGCGCTGGTGCTGGCGGCGCCGGCGGCGTAGCGGGGCCGCCGCCAGCGCGCGCCCGTCCCGACACCGGGCCGACGGGGAGGGAACGGGGACACAGGGGGCAGATTGGCGCGGCGGCGTTGTTATGGAGAGTCGTTTATGAGATGTTATATTTGTATTACGTGGAATGTCTAAGCCGTATCAAGCGGATGATTGTTTTCACTATAAGGTTGTATTTTACGATCGCCGATTTTGGCGTCACCTATGCCGTGCCATGCAGTTATCGATGCCTCCAATAAATGAAGTACGGCCCAAATGTAGTTTCTGGAATTTGATCGATATCTCCTGCCAATTGAATGGGGTTAGACTCCTGGTACTCGTATGTGATTGGTCCCTGCGCAATGCTGGGGGCGGGGGGGGGGACTGGACGGAAAAGAAACACATGCGGCAGTATGGGGTCTAGCATCTGAGGATACCAGTAAATCAAATGTCTTTACGTATTCGAATGCGAGGATCGAACAGTGTGAAAAGTGGGTGCCGGTGGTGTCTGCTTGTTAAGCTGCCTTCAGCCGTTCAGGAGCCCAGTGGTGACTGAACGCTAGAATCTAGCTCACGAGTCACGGAATTGACTAGTTTCCAATATGACTGGAGCACAGGCAGCCCGCTACGCCCTGAATGTCTCAACCCGTAACATGGATGACGCTGAAGTCTTTCCGCTCACCAATTCAAGGCAGCAATGTCTGAAGTGTTATTTGTGATAGCCGTACCAAAACCCAGTAGGTAGCCAAGCATGGACACAGAGCCATGGTTCAGACAGCATGAGTAGGGCACATTGTAATAACACCAGCCCTCTAGCCGCAGCCGCGGTGGACACACAGTAATTGACTGCACCGGCGCACACTGCAATGGAAGTACGATACAGACACTCCCGAACACAGCGACAGCACCGAGCCCTCGACCTTAGCTCCGAGCGGTGACAGAACCACGACGGACGGCGGGTTCACGACAGAATCGACGAAACGACCGTAAAATATGACGTGTTGCGTGTGTAGGCATATTAACCAGCGATGTAAAGGCTGCTCCACCCTCAGTCAAACCACCCATGCATTTCGCCATTCACTGCTGATATGTGGAAATAAGGAACACACCTTGGAGAGGGTGGAGTTTTTGCCAGCCCGCTGGCTGCGCCCCTTGGAGCTCCTCTTGTGCTGCGTGGCGCCGAACTTGAGCGAGTCTTCGGCCGGCATACCCTGCAATCACGAACAGGGTCAACGGGTGGATCACGAAATAAAGAATGTAGAGTGATAACATTTGAAAGCAGAGAACCAGGGTTCGAGAAACACGATAAAAACATGAAAATTACGTCCGTATTTGATGCAGCAAAAGAAGAAAAAACAACCGGAGCTGCCACGACTTAGAGCTTAGCAAATAAGAACTTTTAAACACAACCGTCCCTCCCTCCCTCCCCCCTCCCTCCCTCTCACCTCGGGCACCAGCTGTCTGCCCCTGTCCACAATAGCCAGCAGGCAGACTCCTCCCGTCCCCTCCCTCCCTCAGTCACCTCGGGAACCAGTCTCTCCTTGTCGACAATATCCAGCAGGCAGACTCCCGGTCCTCCTTCCTCTCTCTCTCTCTCTCTCTCTCTCTCTCTCTCTCTCTCTCTCTCCTCTCTCTCTCTCTCTCTCTCCTCTCTCTCTCTCTCCTCTCTCTCTCTCTCTCTCTCTCTCTCTCTCTCTCTCTCTCTCTCTCTCTCTCTCTCTCTCTCTCTCTCTCTCTCTCCTCCTCTCTCTCTCTCTCTCTCCTCTCTCTCTCTCCTCTCTCTCTCTCTCCTCTCTCTCTCTC